AATAAACTACTAATATTATTAAAAAATTATTAAACTGCCACCTAATTACTACTAGTTACTTATAGCTTTAAAAAGGGGTATAAAATTTTTTATTTTATAAGGTTTTAAGATTATACCCAAGGCTATAAGTAAAGTAATTACCTTTTTTATTTTTTTATAGGGTTTTAAGGTTTAATAAATTATAGCTAAAACACCGCCGGCTTGGTATTAAAACTTATTTTAAATTATAATTTAGAATAAAAAACTATGTTTATGTTAAAGTTAAAGTATTAAAAAAAAGAAAAATCTTTTATTTTTTTTAAAAAAAAAAAAAATAATAACTAACTACGCGGCAAAGGCCGTAATAAAAAACTATTATTTAGTATTAAAAGCAGAAGCAGGGGCCTTTTTAAGTATTTTTTTTTTATACCTAGTATTTTTTAGAAAAAAAGGCATAACAAGCTTATTTTTTAATAAAAAAATATTTATAAACTAATAGCTATTTTAGCTATTATTAAAATAGGCTGGGGGCTGTTTAACAGCAAGCTAAAAAAATTAAATAAGCTTTTAAATAATTAAAACTAAAACTTTTATTACGCGGATCTTAGGGCTTATTTTTTTTTATAAGCCTTTATTATTAGTTTAACTTAGTAAGTAAATATATTTTAGTAATAAAGGTATTTATTATGGTTACCAGGGTTTATTTATTATAAAAAAGTAATATTTTTTTTTATATAAAATGGCAGGGGGAGGCAAGTGCCCTTATTATAAATATAGTAAAAATAGTTACACCCGGGGGCTGGATAAATATAGTTATTTAAGTTATTAATTAACCTATTATTTTCACGTGCCTAAATATACTTTATATACTATAAGTAAACTTATTTTTTATTAGCTAATACTTATACTAGAGCTATTTTACCAGTAAACTAATTAAAAATAAGATATACTTATAAAAAAGAAAAGGCCAGAGGCTAAAAAAAAAAAGCTTAAGGGGGTGGTAATATAAAACCTACAGCAAGGGCATTAATAAGGGCAAAGGCTAATATAGCACCAGGCAAAGCAAGAGAAAACAAGCTAAAAAACACGGGGGCTATAATTAAATAATAAAATAGCTATTATAAGGTTAAAAATTAGTATATTTAATAAAGCGCTAGCGGAGCGCCACTAGGCAGCAGTTATTAAAGTAAAAAAAACTTACTAAATTATTATTTATAACCTTGCTATATATTTTAAAGGCGCCTATTAAATATAAGTTATACTAGTTATCGCCGCCTAAGAACTAATTAAAATTAAAGTCTTTAAAACTAATAGGAAACTAGCGTAAAAAAAAAATTAGGGATGCCAAGGGCTTTTAAAGTTAGTAAAAATATTATATTAAAGGGGTTTTATAACTATACCGTAGTAGGAATATAAAAAATAAAAATAAAAATATTTTAAATTATTATAGTTATAGCTAGGCGCTTTTTTTTTACTTACTAGGAAGCCAGGGCAGCACTTAAAAGGGCTTTTTTTTTAGTTATAATAAAAAAAAGGCAACTTTTTATTTAGTAAAAAGTTTAATAAGTTTAAAAGTTTATAAAACTATAAACTATACTATAATTTATGCTTTTATACCAGGTATTATTAAAGCGCCGCCTTTCCCCTTTTAGTTATAAATAAATATTATATTTTATTTAAAGCACTATAAATAATAAAAATAGGATATTAAATTTAATATATTAAATAATATTTTAATAAAGTTAAAAATAGTAATAATAAAGCTATATTTAGTATTAATATTAATAATAATAATGGTGTTTTATTATTATCTTTTTTTAGTTTAGTAGCGGGTCGCGGACGACCCTTTAATTAAAAAAAAAAAAATTATTAGGGCTAATATTTTTTTATTTAATATTATTAAAGCTAATTTATTATTAGTCTAAAGTTAATATCTTAGGTAACCTAAGCTTTAGCCTTAGGCTGCCAAGGCTTAGTATACCTTATTATTATATTAGGTTATATAACTTAACTAGGTTATTAGTATTTAGGGTCTTGGCTACTAGTTARGTAAGGCTAGGGTAGGCCTTAAGTATAAGCTAAAGTAAAAACCTGTGCGTAAAGTATTTAAATCTATATTTACTTTTTAGTTAGGAATAGCTTAAGTATAGCTTAAAGGTTTATAAAGGTGGCCTTAAGGCCAGCCTTCTTTAAAATTTCTAAGCAACTTTTTTAGTATTATTTAACAGGATTTAAAATACTCCATTCTTATTGGTTAGATTCCTTTGTTAATATCTTTATTATTAGTAGAGATCTTCGAGACTTGTCGGTCTTACAAAAATATAGCATGGATAGGGCCGGCCCCCTAAAATTTAATAAATTAATACTTTTTATAAATATACCTAGCTTATTACTTTTTTTATATATTAAAATAATAAAAATTATAATTTTATATAGTTATTACTTTTTTAATAATATATTTAAAAAATAAAACATGGATAGGTACCGCCCGTGACACCCCATGTTATAAATAAGCTTTTTAATACTATATTTTATATTTAATTAGCTTGCTTAAGCAGGTTTAACCCTTAGTAGCTATAACTTAACTAAATCCTATAGCTATCCCCCCATGCTATAATATATTAAAATATTTAAATTATACCCAGTATAATATTATATATTTTTTAGGAGTTTAATATTTTTTTATATAAAAATAATTATGCCCTTAAATTATTTAATTATAATTTTATTTAATAAAAAACCTTTTTAAGCCCCTAGTATACTAAAAAATTAATAAAACTTTTTATCTAGTATAAATATGTTTTTTACTATTATTAAAAATTTAAAAAAAAATCTTATTATACTTATAATAAATAAGCTTATAATTAATAATTTATAAACTGCTTTTAAAGCCCTTAAGCCCTTAAAACCTTTAAACCTTTAAAACCCTTAAACCCCTAAAACCCTTTAAACCCTTAAAAGCCTATATATAAATTTTAGCAGGGGCTTAAAAAATATTTTTTTTAAATACTTATTAAAAAACTATACTAGTTTTAAAATTTAATTACTAATATTATTAATAGGCCTTTTAGCTCTTGCTAAAAAAGGCCATTATTTTTTAAAACTTTTTTACTTAATATATTATTAAAAACTATAGCACTAAAACTAACCAAAAAATTTTTTTAAATAAAAAATAATATTATATTTTAATTACTTTACACGCTATTAACCGCGCGGGATAAAAATATTTTAATATATAATTAAGTTTAATATCCCCTTATATAAAAATAAATTATTATATAAATTAATCCCTTTTAGTATTATAAAAAACAAGCCATAGTATTAATAAAAACTAGCTTGCCTTTTAATAGTTTATTAATATTAAATTACTAAGGAAAACAATTTACTAGCTCTAACCGCGGCGCTGCGCGCCGCGGCCTTCGCTAGTAATATAAGTAAAAGACATCCAATCAACCCATGATTGGCGCTCCTTTTGCATGTGGTGCGCACGTGACACGCCAATCGAATCGAGCGCCCCGATCACTAGCACAAGGCTCTTTTGTGACAACCTCGAGCAATCACATATTAGACTAGAATGAGCAGGCTGCTTCTATCAGGGGCTCTCAGCCCACTGAGATCTGCTGGGTAAGGCGTTTTTCACTGTGCATCTTCAACATCGCTAATGGATGTTCAGTATACCCAAGCAGAACGGCCTTGTATGTGTCGAGTGAACTTTTCGCGGATCAGTGGCCACAAATCTGGCTCCTTGGGAGTTACATCTAACTGAGTATTATCCGCAGTGCTTTGTCTCCCGAAATATATGGATTTCTTTGGGATCCTCAGCGCCTCGTTCCTTGCGGGGCCGGGCTCCTCGTCCTCAACTGCTGCGGTGGAAGTCCTCGACCCAGCAGCTGGTATTTGAGGGAAAGGTTTCTCCTAATCAGGAATTGTCAGAGAACAGTACCTCCCCGAAGCAGGATGAGGAGGCTTCTCCGCTGAAACAGGAAGCGCCGGAGAAACAAGATCTTTCTCTCCCTGGTTTTGTCGAAGGTCCGGACAACAACAATACTTCGCCCTCAGCTTCTTCAGCTGAAAAGACTGTGTCTTTACCCATTGAAAAGGGGGACCAACCAGCCACTGCCACTTTGTGCGCCTCCTCACTCTCCTTCACAGAAGCTATATTGTTCCCTTTTTTACGCAATAACTAACTTCAAAATGTCAAGTCTGAAAATGTGGTTAAGGTAAGACTGCGTCCCTGATGCAACTCAAGACTACATCTAATTAAAGCTCTTGCAACATGAAGGGACAACTGCCAGTGTATTAAGTGTGTTCATCACCAAACTAAACAACGGATTGTAGACACCTTTGCCGTATGTTTATTCTTTCTTGTTCCTATCTGTACTCCTGGATCTGACAAATCTCTATTGATAATTCCAGATTCCTCAGGACATAGACGTCCAGGAAATTTCCAACACAGGCTCACGTGTTTTCGTCAAATGTAGGAAGTATTTCCCGTTCTTCTTATATGGAATTTGATCGTCTGTTAGGGTCTGATGGACATGCAAATTACTTTGAACATAGGTGGCTGGCTCTTAACACCTACAAGGGAGGCAGCAAAATCCCGAATTCTGCATCAATAAGTTTCCGGTAAATCCGGACGTGATAGAGACTATGATGTTACTTTACTGACATGCCTGTAGCCCATTCAAGATATGGGTGAGGGAGCATGATTACCCAACAATATCTTACTCCGACGTCATGCACAATGATAGAGGAGTCAAGAAATGGCTACAACTTATCGTAAGTAATCCCCTAAAACCTGATCAAGTCTACGCACTGACACCGACAAAGTATGATTGGGGCTTCTGTTTTGTAAAAGATACCCCGGTTAATCCTGAAGCTACCGAGGCCCTGTTGAAGCGGATAGCCCACATTAGGCATACCCATTATGGTAAATTCGAATGCTCTGATGATCGGCACACCTTGAAATTAACAGTGTTAGGCGGCTTTTGGGATTTCACAGCCGACTTATCCTTCGGGGATACTGCATATACCAATGAGGCTCTCGGTGCACACACAGACAATACATACTTCACTGACCCAGCACGACTCCAACTATTCCATCTGCTGTCCCATACAGACGGCGATGGAGGGGCTACCTTGCTTGTTGATGGCTTCCGCGCAGCAAAGAGGTTATATTACGAGGACAGGGAACACGGTCGAATCCTAAAAAATACACAACACCCGTTCCACGCGAGTGGGAATAAAGACTCCGTCATCCAACCCGTTGAACAACACCCCGTTTTCAAAGTCCAACCGCAGTTCGCCGGGCGTCTCTACCAGGTCCGCTGGAACAATTACGATCGAGCGGCAAAGTGGAATTGGTCACATCAGGATCAAGAGGCCTGGTACAGGGCCGCGAATCACTTTAACGAAATTATTCATCAAAGGGACATGGAAATACGGCTTCAGCTTGAACCGGGTACAGCGCTCAGTGAGTTTATTTGCATGCCATACTGAGCTCTGATCAAACGACTAATTGATGCTCCTAGTCTTTGACAACTGGAGGATGCTGCATGGTCGGTCTGCCTTCACTGGGAAACGAAGAATGTGCGGCGGCTATAGTAAGTATCCTTTCTTACGCACCCATGCCAAGATTCTTCTCACCCCCGCTGAAGACCTCAGCGGTTATTCTGGGCTTGAAGCATGGTCTAATCAGGTATTTGTGCAGTCTCGAATGATGACTTCCTTTCTCGATATCGCGTACTTAAGTTCGGTCGTTCAAAAGTCATGCGCCATATTGGGCGCACCGACCTCACTAAGAACAATCCCAGCGCCTATTTCTGAAAAAGAAACCTTGTGCTTGAGCAGGTCGTCGAGGCCATAGTTGTGGGTAATGCATTGAATCAGTTTGCGGTATAAACGGTTCCGGCCCGCAGTTGTCACCCAGAATAGCATACGTACAAGTGAGCTTGTTATATAGAATGTAAAATAGTTCATAGCAAAGCGACAGGACTGCTCCGAATCCACGTCTATCTTCATACATAGTGCTAACAAAGGTCCATATATTTGTAAGACGGTCACGTGAGACAGGCATGACAAGCTGACGTTGTTTGGCCGGAGCTCAGAGCACGCACTCACCCACCCCATTCAAACTCCCAACCTAATCACCAACTTATTCCTCTTTCTCTTTAATATCTCTCGATCGCCTCTGCACCTAGCTCGTCCGATAAATCTCACAACTCTCTCGATCTCCATCATGTCGACCTTGGAGGATCTCGACGACCTTGAGCGCGAGGAGAGAGACAAGAAGAAGGAGCAAGGCGATGACGGCGACGGCAAGCAACCTAGCGGCGATGGGGATGCCGAAATGAAGGATGCAGATGCGAAGAAGAAGGACGAGGATGAGGAGCTTCTAGATGAGGAGATTCTGAATTCAAGCACAGCGGACATTGTCAAGCGACGGCGGATGCTGGAGAATGAGCTTCGCATTATGCGAAGTGAATACCAGCGGTTGACGCACGAACAGAATACGATGAGAGAGAAGGTTAAGGATAATCAAGAGAAGATCGAAAACAACAGGTGAGACTCTTGGTATTCCCTGTCGGGCGTGGCGATTTTGAGTTCCTCTCGAAAGGAGCCGGGCGTCAGAATACATTCCTCCAGGCAGCCTCTTTTCTCTCTCATCTAACATTCTTCTTTTCTAGGCAATTGCCGTATCTCGTTGGAAATGTTGTCGAGCTGCTGGATCTGGACGTCGAAGCTGAAGCTGCTGAGGAGGGCGCCAACATCGACCTGGATGCTACTCGAGTAGGCAAGTCCGCTGTCATCAAAACATCGACTCGCCAAACCATCTACCTTCCCCTCATCGGCTTAGTCGACCATGAGAAACTCAAACCTGGCGATCTTATTGGTGTCAACAAGGACTCATACCTCATTCTCGATACCCTGCCAGCGGAATACGACAACCGAGTGAAAGCCATGGAAGTCGATGAGAAGCCCACAGAAAAGTACACAGATATTGGAGGCTTGGATAAGCAGATTGAAGAGATCGTTGAAGCTATTGTCTGGCCCATGAAGGAAGCTGAGAGGTTCAAGAAGCTTGGCATCAAGGCGCCAAAGGGTATGTATCCAACCTTAATGCACAGCATCCCAGCTAACCCTTACTCTCTCGTTAGGCGCTTTGATGTACGGACCCCCGGGTACGGGAAAGACTCTCCTTGCTCGAGCCTGCGCGGCGGAAACGAACGCAACCTTCTTAAAGCTCGCCGGTCCCCAACTTGTGCAAATGTTTATCGGTGATGGCGCGAAGCTTGTCCGGGACTGCTTCGCCCTTGCGAAAGAGAAAGCTCCCTCGATTATCTTCATCGACGAGCTGGATGCCGTCGGTACAAAGCGTTTCGATTCCGAGAAGTCTGGTGACCGTGAAGTCCAACGAACCATGCTTGAACTCCTCAACCAGCTTGACGGCTTCGCGTCAGATGACCGCATCAAGGTTCTCGCCGCCACCAACCGAGTCGACGTCCTCGACCCTGCCCTCCTTCGTTCCGGTCGTCTAGACCGCAAGATCGAATTCCCTCTCCCCAATGAAGAGGCCCGCGCCAACATCCTCCAGATCCACTCGCGCAAGATGACCGTCGAGGACTCAGTTAACTGGGCTGAATTGGCACGCAGCACGGACGAGTTTGGGGGTGCGCAGTTGAAGGCTGTCTGTGTGGAGGCTGGTATGATTGCGCTTCGAAAGGGGCACAGCAAGATCGGACACGAGAACTACGTTGACGCCATTGCGGAAGTACAGGCGAAGAAGAAGGATACGAACATGGGTATCTATGTGTAAAGCACTATGTGGTATACTTTTTTTTTGAGCCTAGACATGACTTAACCCTTGTTTCCGCTTGCTATGCGATATGTATCCGCTTACGTACATCTCATATAACAGCGCTACTACAACCTGATACCTATCGATTTACCTGAAGTGCACAGCAGCGTGGGAGGCTCGGTGATGTAGTGCAGTAGGCGGGTTTATTGCGGCGGCAGCAGAAACCCACCCCTAGATACAGCCAAACAAGCTGGTTCGCACTTTGATACTTTCGTTGGCGAAAGACACGCGCTTCTTCCTCTGCGGACTACTTCCTTCCCCTATGCAGGATAATATCGATAGCACATCAACCGCATCGCCGGCATAGCTGCATAGTTTACACATTCGCGCAGCAACAGATTCAAGAAGTGGTTGATAGAACCCGGATCAGGCCAGTTACCAGCTCGTGCTCTTTGAAACGAACTATTAAATCGAGTGGGCCAGCCAAGCAAAAAGACACCTTTTTGAAAAGCAATTAATTGATTTGATACACTAATTATATACATATAGAGCCGATCGTACAGATCTGTAGTGTGACCCTTTCGTGTTAAAAGATACCACATGCCGCGCCGGGCCGAGCCATTTGACGAAAAGCCGCTCCCCGTCCAGTTCTGCCAACGCGCCGCAATGAGAAGTTACATGGTGAATACGAGTCAAGCAAAAGAAACCGGTGGTCGGTGAGGCGGATTATAAGAGAATTAAAGTCAAAGTTGATATGTAATATTCTGAGATGATATAGAGGAAGGGTATCAAGGGTATATAAAGTGTCAAGACAAGGGCCTCCCCGGTGATAAAATCGAAAGTAATGAGTATATACGGCGACAGATCCAGTCTGAGCGGCAATGTTGAAAGATGTAAATCAGAGTGTGTCTGAGAAAATATGTGAGATCTGGCAGTAAAAATCGTTCGTTGACTCCATGACCCGTCCCTAAACGCCAAATATTGCGTGCACGAGTGCACATTGTGCGGTGCATACTGGGTGTAACTAGCAGGAGCCGCTGATAGCAGTAGACTCCTGAAGGAATGTCGAAGGCTGAGCCTAAAAAAGTCGCTTGATGTCGTAAAGCTCAGCTTTGACAGGGCGTTCCCGCTCCATATGGAACCACCAGTCACGTCCGCTCTTGTGGCTGTAATTCCAGGATCCTGTGCAAACATCCTTCTCCCAGGGAGGTGCGCTCATGGATGACATGCTCATAGGCGTGGGTGGTGTAGTGGGAGTGCTTGGGCTCGTGGGCATCGTACTGGTGATGCTAGCGATGCTACCCCAACCAAAGCGCGGCGTGGATGTGGAGGTAGATGTCGGGGATAGCGGCTCCTCAATGGTTGGACTTGAGACTCCCTTGCTGCCGCCAAAGCAATTTACACCAACACCGGCAGCGAAAGTCAGCGATTGATTCGCAGCCAGTATATGTTTCCAGGAAACAAGTCCCCCGTCGGTATCTTGTCCAGCAATATCAGGATGAAGCATGAAACGTGGAATGGATATATCCTTATCACTGGTCTTGGCCCCAGTTCTGCCCATGTAAGCTGGCATCCGAAAGTCAAAGACAGTAACGGGTCCTTCGTGGTCTTCTGGGATTGGGTTCGGTTGTGGTCGGTTCTGCAGTGAATCCCACATGCCCATCTCATCTACCTCCGGGTCGGCTTCGTCGTCAGAGGCTTCAAGCGCGTTATCGGGCACATATGAATCCGAGTAATCTGTGATTAGCACTTGCAATCCCGTCTCTGTGTCCTGAGCAGCCATATCGATGAAAGTCTGTGCCCGTATCCGCGCTGACGTTAAGTTATTGCCTCCTGGAAGAGCCATCGGTCGCGTTTGCACAGATCCGTGGGAACTCCGAGGGAGGCTGTACCGGTCCGGTTGTAACAATGCTTGCCCACGAGGAATTGGCTGACAGACAGCCTGCAAGGCGCCGGGCGGTTCTATATCGGAAGGTGCCCGTAAAGCATCGAGGCGAGGGAATCCTCCATAGAGGATGCTCTGTGCAAGATGAGAGTTGGGAGTCTCTGTGTGCTGGAGAGGTTTGGCAAACGGCGCGAAATCGAGTCTAGTAAGGGCGGTACTAGGATTGGGGCATGCAACATCCCAATGTAAGAACCTGAGGCTGGACGAGGCCAAAAGTGGCTGAAAAACTATGCCGTCTGAGTGCAGTGTGGGGCATTTGTTTGTCTGCACGATTTTGAATCGTTCTAGGTTCCGGAGGGATGCCAGAATTTTCGAGATCACAAGAAGGGATTCAATGCTGGGCTCAATCAGGACCAGCGATTTAAGAGTGGCAGACTCGGGCCGTGAAGTATACTGTGCTAGACCCGTATCAGTGACTCCGGGGAGGTTCTCCAATCGTAATGTATCGAGAGTTGGGAGGCACAGGAGTGCAGTGTCCGAAAAAGCATCTGCATCAAAGTTCGAAACGCACAGGTTGCGCAATGACGGCAAGAGATCAATCATACGAAGGAAGACGCTGGGTTCAAGGGCAGTTTCATTCAATCCGTAGACCATCAATGTCTCCAGATTTGTCCATGAAGCATGATAGTCCAGGAACTCAAACATCTGCAAGGGGCCAAGACTGCCAGGGCAGGAGGTGCTGCGTGGCGAGGCTTCAGATGTCTCTGTTGCCTCACAGAGAATCCATGTATGTTCCTTCAACTTCCGCCGCGTAGATAATGCATGCGTTAGACGATCAAACTCGTGGTTGAATGGGATTGTCAACCCTAGCAACCGTTCCAGGTTGGGGCACACCATCACGACTGAGGCGATGAGATCCCGGTATTCTTGCCATTGAGCCGTATGTTTACCAGTTGTGAATAACAGATCTATCTGGGGAACGCGGAGTTCGAGGACAAGATTGGCCAGCAATTTCCTCTCACGAAGCGTGCGTCTTAACAGTTTCAGTCTGCTTCCCCTCTTGAGTCGGTATTTCTTCAATTGTGCTGGAGAATCGTTGCCAATGATATCGATACGATTATAACTAAGAAGATGGTTAGAAAAGCCGACATACTCGCTCCGAGCACAACAACGAGGGACGCTAAAGGTCAAGCAACCACACTCACAGTCGACCTCGGACTGCCTTTTCCCACGGCCGACAAGTAAGGGAGAGAGCATGCAGATCGCGTTGAAAACATGTCATGCATCCTAATTGATTCGGCCCGGTATGCAGATATTGTAGGTGGTCGAAGATATTCTCATAAACTTCCTGCGGGACCCTCTTGAAGACAGATTCCAGGATCTTGTCCAAGGAGGCAGCGGAGTCGCATGTGCGATATGAACCCGACGAGGTAGGAGAGTACGAGGTAGGGGCAGTCGAAGCAGTATAATTTGTTTGAAAGGACGAAAGTGAAGAGGACCGAGAGGGGATTGATGGGACTGAGCTCCCATACACCGAATCCGAGTAGCTGTGATTCTGGGGTATAGTTGTATAAGGCATTGAAGCACTTTCTGGTCGATTGGCCACGATACTCATGTTTAATCCCGAATATACATTGAATTAAAAGTGTCGTTCAAGCGAGGGGGCAGATGATTGCGAGCAGCCTGGCAAGGGATATGAAAAAGAGTGTTGATGGAGGGGAAGGGGTAACAGCGACGTCTGGTGGTTGGAAGAGGTCCACTCCGAAACGAAGGGAATCGAAAATCCGAGCAATTGGGGGATACCGGTAGGAAGGGACGTTGGAAAGAGAGACAGTAGTTGAAGCAATAGCCGGGACCTGTTCACAAAGAGAAGGAAGGATCGCGGGCGAGGAAAGAAGGAGGAAAAGTCAAAATCGAGATAGATTAGAAAGCATAGCGATCAGAAGCAGCGGACTATTTTAGGAAATATATGCCCAGGAATAGGCCACGAACTGTTCGTGCAGAGAAAGGAGATTTAGACTTTGTGAGTTCGAGTAAGCCCGTCCCAGAGTCAAAGCTCAAGAGTCAAGAGTCCTCAAATCATGCTGATGAGACAATGGCAAAGATCTTGCCAGAGACTCCCAGATCGTCCTCAAAGTGTTCAACTTCTCATTATTGTCTCACACAGACAGAGATGTCGACTCCACCGAGTGTGAGAAGGGCACGGGTTACGGCGTAGGGAGGATGGGCAGCCCCCGAGGTTGATCGTCTCCAGTGCTCCACAGTAGGAACGGAGCGGAGTCTTGACCTGTTTAACTTCTTTCCAAATCCACCCCCATGCAGCATGCAGGAACTGAGACACTGTCAGCCTCGTGCTTGGAGCCTTAGTTTCGACTTTCGGTAATTGGCAAGACTGCAAGTCTGCAACAGTCTGCAAGTGACCGAGTCCCAGTCCAGATCGAAATCGGAAATACAGTATTCACACTATCTCGATCATTGATATCACGCGGTCTTGATGGATCATGAATCCCACGCGGGATTTTAGAGTGGATGGCATTGACTGCCGCTGGTCCGTGGTTTCATTCCTGCAAAAGGAGAGTCAAGAGCCATCAAAACTAAACCGTTAGCCTGGGAGCTAGTTATCCGGAGAAGGGGTTGGCAACATCCAAAAGCGGCAGGGATTAGAGCAGCGGTGCATATCTTCTGCACGGAGCATCAGGGCGATGAAGCTGACTGGCTGGGGTGGCCAGGGGTGGATGACGAGGCGAAAGAGTCAAGAGTGAGAGAAAGGGATGAGGATTATTGAACGAGGTTGGCGTGCCTGGAAGTGGGCTTTGACACCCGTGGAACAGGGCACCAACGCTAAGCCCAGCCGGGGAGGTGGCGCTGACTGAGACTCAGGTCCAATCTGGTTCCATGTTTTCCGTGCTGCACTTGGACTAAAGAGTAAAGACTCGAAAAGTCCATGATATTGATGAGGAAGTCTTTCCTTACCTATTCAGTCAGTGCGAGACCATCGAAAGACCACCTCTTCTCTCCGTATGTTTTCAAGAACAGACTGAGTCCGTGATCGAGAATTTAGAGCATCCAACCCCTGACCATGGCCATCAACGATCGTGATGAATGCCCGGCTCCAGCCCGACCGCCGGTTCGTGGCACCGACAAGTCTCATTGGCTGCGGCTTGATTACTCTGGAGTAATCCTGGTCAAACCAAATGGGGCTGGCTTGGATTTTTGCAATTGCAGTGTGCAGTGACGACGTCAGCCCGCCGGAAATAGGTGAGTGGGCTGATTTGGTTTGTTATTGTTTACAAAACGAGTGTATATATTGTTCTAATATATCTTCGGTCTGTGTCGTGGCAGCTGTAGAGTACAGCGTAGATGATGGAGTACACCCATAGAAAGAACCTAGAATAGATGGAAATTGCGGCGCGGACAGATGAAAGAAGTGACGAACGCTGAGGTAGGTTCAAACTGGTTAGGTTATTCCCTGTCAGTGAACCTTCATCCGACATGACATCTAGCGTGGATTCAGATCCAAGACAGCAAGGTGGGGATACCTCTCTATCTCATACATCCCCTTATGCCTTCTGCTTGGGATTGTTGCAGCCGGAAATAGCACGGCTCCCATGTTGGAGCTACAAGAGAAGTGAGAGATTCGTAGTAGGTTCAATTCAGCTGCCACAAGGTAAAGAGCTTTGAAACCGCCACTTGCGCCAATGCTGCCGTACAACGACACTACATCAACCATACTCCTATAACATACCACCTCCTGTTACCCTAGTATCCAGATATGCAGGCCCCTAAAGTTCGCCGGAAACAATGACTCGAGAAGTGCGGGCCAGATGTCGAAGCATGAGAAAACCGAGGAAAGAAAAGAGGCATACCAGCCTTTTGGCAGAGCAGTCAATGCGGGATATCACAGAATCGAGGATAAAGAAGAACCGAAGAAGCAGTAATATGCATGTCGCGATGGGCCTGGTTTCTCCAAACTGATCGGGGGAAAGAGTATGAACATCCTGCGTTACTCATATCGGAATATGGGCAAGAATAGCGGAAATCAGAAACAAGGACCAAGAATCCATTACTCCCTGCCGAGGCCGGAGAAATGAAAAGGATACAGAAATAAATCTTCTGGGGTATGGTAAAGAGGACAAAATCGGAAACTCACGATGAGCCCCAGTTGAGGAAAGCATGTACAGCGCAAAAAAGAAAAAAAAAGGACATGATATATGCAGACATCACAACTCCACTAGCATGCATCGAAAGCCATAATCACATGTCAAAATTGTCGTCAACATTGAAAATCTCACCCGCGTCTCCAGTCTTCTGAACGCCAGCCATGCGGTGATCTATAGAATTCGCAGATCTGTGAGATCGATGCATCGACTCGTAATCCTCATCCATACGATCCCCTACTTCGTTCTTGAAATGGTGATCAATCGAGCTCTCATTTACAAAGGTGAAGCCTTGAAAATTGGCTTGCATCCCTGGAGATAGCGGTGTTGACGCAGCCATGAACCCGTTCGCAAGGGCTGCAGCCCGGTCATTCAGCGAATTGCTGTTCTCAAGAGCGTTGGTGAACTCAGGATCAAAGTTAGACGTATCTGTGTCGGACTTGAGTTTGGGTTTGAAAGGTGGAATAACCTCCTTCCTGCCCAGAGCCTCCCAGTCAACGTCATGGAAGAAAGGATGCGCCATCAGCTCTTTTGCATCATCCTGGGCTCCGAGGCGGTGCTTAGGGTTCCGGTTGAGCAGACCCTTGACAAAGTTTCGTCCTTCCGTGCTCAAAGCATCACGGGGGAATCGAACTTTGCCGAAGGCGATGTTCTTATACATTTGTTGCGTGTCTTCCGCGTAAAAGGGACTCCATCCACAGCACATCTCGAAAACGAGGACACCAAGTGACCAGAAGTCAACCATTTTCGTATAGCCTTGCTCATCAAGCAGCACCTCCGGGGCTAGATATTCGGTAGTCCCACAAAACGTATTCGTTGTATCGTTCTGAGTGAGGTTCGCCTTGGACAGACCGAAATCACAAAGCGCAATGTGACCGTTCGCATCAAGAAGAATATTTTCTGGTTTGAGATCACGGTAAACGATATCATGATCATGCAGATGTTGCAAAGCCATAATGAGCTCAGCAATGTAGAATTTAGCGCGGGGCTCCTGAAATCGTCCTTCTTTCTGGAGGTGCCAGAATAATTCACCTCCTGACATGTAATCTGTAACGAGATAAAGATCCGTGGGGGTCTGGAAAGAGAACTTGAGACCGACGATGAATGGAGAAGCAGCCATAGCAGTTCGAACAAGGATATTCCGCTCACCAACAGTGTGTGCAACCTCCTTCTTCTGGATGATGACCTTCTTCGACAGAACTTTCATGGCATAAATGCGTCGAGTATCCTTCTTCTTCACTTGGTAAACCTGACCGAAGGTTCCTTTGCCGATGAGCTTCAAGATTTGGAAATCATTCGGCCCGACCTGTTTCTTGTCCGTCTTCTCAAATCTCATCTCCATATGGATCTCTCCCGAAACTCGAGTATCTCCTGCTGCCCGACCTTTCAGAGGGAACCAGTCTTCCAAGCGACTGTTATCTTCCTTGAGATCAACGCAGAGCCGCACATGGCCCAAGAAAGCTTCTGAATCATTGCGGTCATATACTGAGACATCGATTTCAGACTTATCACCGAAAACATCACTAAATAGCGATAATGATTAGAGAAAGGCTGTGGTTGCGATCAGAAGAGAGAGAACTCACAAGACCGCTTCATGGTTCCAGTGGGGGTCTGTTACAGGAGCATGCCCTCTGGGATCCGTGTTCTCAAGTGCGCTGTTATGGCTACTCTGTCGGTTCATTGGAATGGCCATTGGGCGTCCGGCGTCGAAATCTGCTTGTTCGAGTTCCTTTTGTTGTCTTTTCAAGGATTCTTTTTCCTCGTCCTGGACGCTCTTTGAGATTACTTCATTCCACTCAAAGACACAGACAACGTATGGGTCGAATCCCGGCTGGAGTCCTTTCGCTTCCGATATCTTAACATGCAGTTTGCCCTTTACAGACGCGACCGGAGGACCTGAAGCTGGGGAAGAAGTATCCATCGACGAGGGGAAGACCTCGTTGAGTTTCCCTGTGATTTCATCTGCGGGGTCTGAGGGTTCATCGGGCGGTGACTGGGTTGGGTTCGACGATCGAGGTGGAGGTACGGGAGTTTTCCCGTTGGGTTGCAAATCTTCGTCGGACATTGCCCGAGGTGTGTGAGGAGGAGTATTCTTTAAGTGCGAAGGGTTCGACACGTTGGCAGTTAGCTTCGCGACGTTCTCAGAAGACGTAGAAACATGTACTTTCTCATGATCCAGAAGGGGAGCCTCCACCAAACAATGTGCTTCCGAGGCATGGGCAAGAGAAGGATTGGAGAAATGTGAGGCAAGGACAGGGTCGTCAGAGATGCTGGAGACAGGATGGGAGGTATGACGGCGTGCCTGGGGGTCAGAACAGGACACGCTTCGAGATGGAGAGAGATAATTCTTCAGAGTGTTGAATATAGAACCCATTCCTTTATCTTGGGCCGCGTCTGATTCTTCGGACTCCTTCTGGAGAAGGGAGCATGCCGAGGAGCAAGGCGGGGTAGGGAGCGCCGTGGGAGGGCGAGATTCTTGCGAAATCTCCTGGGTTTCCATTTCACTGTCCGGCGGAGTGGTGGGAGAGTCGAGGCGAGCCTCGTCGCGCTCCATCATGACAAAAGACCCAGACGACGAGGAAGAGTGCCCAGGTGTTTGGGCACCGCGTGCTCCGTTTGAAAGCGCACTCGGCTGTACATTGTCTGCGGAAGAGGGAGAAGGATCGGAGAGGGAAAACCGGGTCTTGAGAGAGCGAAGCATGACAGCAGAAGAGCTACCAACCTGGAAGTAATTGTGCATTATGGATGGTAGACGCCTGTCAGCCGGGTCGGGCTGCGGGGTAGCAATTCCAGATGGACTCGGAGTACTCGAACCGATTTGATCGTGGTTATCGTCGTCCTGAAAACCATCGCTAAGGGAGATGTTAGCCGCCCAGTGTCTCTGACGGTTCGCTGACTTCATTGTGGAAGAGAGCTGGAATGCAGCGTAATGCTGGCATGCCGGACTGTTCCAACAAATAGTGCGCCGCAGAGAGAAGCAACAGATATACGAAGGAGGCAGCAAGACAGGTTTGGGCAAGGAAGTGGGATGAGCAGGGCATCAAGTATGAAGCTGCGGCTGCCTCGAGAACAATGCGACGGCACATTCGGAACAACCAAGCCAAATCCGCAAAATCCGCAGCCGAGCACGAAGACCGCACCACCACGTCCGCCTCGAGAGTTTGGTTCCCGCGTGTAGTCTATCCTGCCTTCCTTGCCAACCGAATGGTAGAAATAGAAAAATAGTAAAACTTACTTCTGAGAAGGTGGCTGCTTCGAAAACTCTGTGTTTTCCGAACCACTCTGAGCAGCAGCCATTATTGTGATTCCATTCGACACCAAAAAACTCCTCCAGAGTCACCCCAAGAACCGAGACAGAGATAGGAGGACTGGTGAGTCGACGAAGAGAAGAGAGGGAGAAGTAAAAAGATAATAAACAAAAATGGGAGGAGGGTAGTGCGGGGGTCCGAAAAGAGTGCGGGATTTCAATAATAATGAAGAAGAATTGAGAGAAGATCGGGGTTGAGCTAGGGAAGTTTGCGGGAGGAGACTGTCGGAGGGGGGCAACCCGATCGGGTTCGGAGGCCTGCGATGGGAGATCGAGGAGGGGTCGATGCTCGATTCAAGTCTTGATGGCAACAGAGCTGATTGGTTTGGTTAAACGGCTTTTCGAATGGATCTCATGGCAAGAGACTTTTACTTGGTGCAAAAGGTAGCAGCCCTCACATCAATATATAGACCCGATAATGCCGCAGTGAAGAATTCTGTTGCCAACTTAAATTCAAGACAAGGAGGAATCTGGAACACTTCAGGCTGTGTGGGCGCGAGGAGGCAAACAGTCAACAGGAACACAGGAGAACCAGGAAGAACCCATGAGCCAAACAGACGACGAGTGGCGTTTAAGACCAGAAGCTGACCTGCCTTGAACTGGTGCTGAAGATGGCCTTGACCTCACTACGTCGTATCGATTACTTGTCTCTGGCAAGTATCCCTGGGGCCGAAGAGCTGTGAAAGTAAAAATAGTACGGCATCCAGCGGTCGGCCCGTCTCAGGCTTTGTCTCTTACTCGAACTGCCCGCTTCAGAATGCCATTATATTATCTCAGCCCGAGCAGCAGCAATCACGGATTGGAGACTGGCTTGGAGGAAATTGGCACGTTTGAAGATGATGATCCAAGGTTGGAGCCTGACCCTGTGGGGATCCGACCACTGACCAGAGACTCGACTCCTCGAGACGTCGGACTCCGGAGAAGAGGAACCAGCTGAAGCCATCCACCTGCTCTACAGAGTACAGGTATCTCTCCAGAGTATCTAGGTCAGAAGACAGTTGTTGTCCGGTGATAGAACAGAGCATCTGCAACTAGAATGTGACCGAACCACCGCGAGATCCCCGATCATACTGAAGGGCTTAACCTTGTAGCACACGCGGCTACAACAAAGTCTATTTTATCCTAATACTCTCCCCGGCTCAGGACTGCCTGTGATACTTGACTTGGCGGTGGTGCTATCGGTGATGCCGATCGACTTTAGTTGTACAGTACATATCGTGCACAGAGTACGGTACTCGAAGTCGAACATGATCTGCTTCAGGCATGATACACAGTTTTCAGCGCCAGTCTTATCAATCAATCCCTAGCTCTTCACGCTAATTGTCGATAGACGCATGGCTTCGGATTAGGAACACTCTGCTGCCTTCCAATTTCCGCCACCTCCTCACTTTGTCTGTATAGAAAAAGGCGGGGTATGCCCCACCGCTGCGCCTACTACCACCAATGTTGACTTCCGGACAAAAGCGAAATGGACTGCCTGGCTCAATGCAACTAGGGTGAATCGCCTTGTCCTACTCGACGCGGCTTTTTCCGTCCACTGATACGGAGTACTCGTCGGCCGCACTGTGCTGAGCTCCGAACTGCAGAATGTAAATTCTGAGTGGTTGGAACTGCCATGCGCCCAGCGAGCTTTTGCAGAGAAACATTGCGGCATGGCCTGCAGCAGCTTACCGCTCTTTCGAGGCATCTCATTCGAGCAAACAAATTATTCCCCGTTCTTATATGGTCTATGACCTATGGCGGCTCCATCAGGGACGGGCAGCATACTACTCCGTAGCTCTTAGACGATCGCTCTCTTGCTACCTCTGGTCTGCTTCCTCCTGGAGATTTGCAGCAGCTGCGCTATGCTCAAAGCCTACCTGATCAGTCCGCTTCATACAGATCACCACCTCCACTTACTCAGCCGAGCCTGTGGTGGTTGCACCATCTGGCGGTCTAGCTCGGACAGAGCAGCGGAGAACGAATGTGCAGGCAACAAATGCCGGTCCCAGAGCCACGGTCTGGTTTTTAGGTTATGCTTTAATTCTGGAACATTCATCCTTCTGCCGTCATTGCTGGCTGGCGTTTCAGGGCCGTGCACCTGAAGCTACCGACCTTGTATTCGTGTAGTACAGAGCTTCAATTCTAGAACGCTATATAGTAAAAGTTTTCCACGGGCTAATCGCGGCAACCCACTTTTGATGTAACTTGACGCATTATGATGGCCTCCTGCATAGCGCTGATGATGTGCGGAGGTTCTCCTCAGCGAAATGATAAGGACGAGGGGTTCGTTTGAGACTCCAGTCCTTCACATGTGAATTGTATCAGAGATCTGCTTTGTGCGTCACCAATTGCTGTACATTGTTCTCTGTGTAAAGGGTAATTGCCAGACCGATACTATTTCCTAGCTTTCACCAGCTGCTAGTCAGAAAGAAGGCAAAGAGAATAGGCTCATAAGATGCCTTGGTACGCCCTTTCCGGCTGCCAGTCTGGCGATAAGCATCTTCTAGCCTGACGTCATGCCGTCAATCTGCAGATCCACACAGGGCTTAGGGTAAACTGCACGTGGCAATCACCTGACCTTTTCCGGAGAAACAAACCTCCAGAACGGAGCTTCGGCGCGGCAGGAAAGAGCCAGGGCCTCCATCAAGCGTTTCTTACTGGCCTGTAGGCGGTGTTATTCTCCCTCATCCACCATCAACTCCAGCTTTCACCATGCCTAGAAAGCTGCGAGCGGCCGCACAGGCGGCCGCGCAATCAATGAGTGAGTCAACTATTTTACTCCTGATTCTCAAATTTCAATTTCCCCCTTTCGCCCTCTGTTGTTCCAGCGCGGTCCGACAACGAGAGGCGCGACTGCTAACCGCTCTATAGAAAATGTTCCGCCCCCGCTTGGCGACGGTTCAGACGAAGAGATGATTGGAGCCCCTCCGTCGCGTGAGTCGTCTGCACCTGTGGTACCAGACGAAGCAGACGAGGAGGAGGAGGAGGACCAAGAGAACGAAGGAGGAAACGAAGACCAAGGAGAGGCTTCATCGAAGGCGGAGGACGCCGATACTTCAGCGCAGCCTACACCAGCGGCGGAAGAAGGGGAAGAAGCAGCAGCGACACCCGCACAGCACTCCAATCCGCCATCACGACCCGATACCCCAACACATCTCGAAACTGGCCGCATGTCGGCCATTCCGCGAAAACGGCGCATCGGCCGTCCGCCCAAGAATCGTCCTCCAGACTGGGACGCGCCGGCTGACGGACAGCAAATTCAAGTCAGCACCCCGATCAAGAGGAGACGCGGCCGGCCTGCCGCGAGCGGGGGGAGATGGGGCCGCGGCCGTGGACCGTCTCATGTCACGCAAGTGCCAATTGACAAGGAAGGGAATATGATGGATGTCATTGATGATGAGGTAGCGGTTCCTGGCGATCCGGAGGGGGACACCAAGGTCGATAAGAACGGTATTCTGCAGGGCGATCGAGAGTACAGGGTTCGGACGTTCACGATTCTCAACCGTGGTGAGCGACAGTACATGTTGTCTACGGAACCGGCAAGATGTATTGGTTTTAGGGACTCGTATCTGTTCTTTCAGAAACACAAGCTGCTCTACAAGATCATCATCGATGATGATGCGAAACGCGATTTGATCGAGAGAGATATTATCCCCCATTCTTACAAGGGTCGCGCCATCGGTGTGGTGACTGCCCGCTCTGTGTTCCGCGAGTTTGGTGCAAAGATTATTGTCGGCGGAAAGAAAGTCATTGATGATTACAACGCCCAGGCTGCCAGAGAGCGTGGAGACGTGGAGGGTGAGCTTGCTGTACCAGAGGACAAGCTTCCGCCGCCGGGTGAGCCATACAACAAGAACCAATATGTAGCATGGCACGGCGCCAGTAGCGTTTACCACACCAGCACGCCCACTATTCCCATACCTGGTACTGGCAAGGTGGTTGATTCTAAGAAGCGAAAAGTCACCGTTACAGGAGATAACTGGATGTTGGAACACGCCCGCGAAGCCGCGTAAGTCAACTCTCCAATATATAAGAGCCATTGCTAATAACATGTAGCAACTTCAATGCCGTCCTATCTCATACACGCCAGCAGAACCTCGGGGGCGTCTACGACATTCACACAAATATCATACAATACCCTAAGATCATGCAACCTACGCACGCTCGCTGGGAGCGAATACCCCCTGCTGATCACCGAGGCGCAAATAAACTCACAAAAGATATGTCGACCCTTACCTTGTCGAACGGCGTGATCGGTGAAGAGAATATTCAACCAGAGATAGAACATCAGGACAACCAGCCGGACGGAGAGACGCCTACTATCTTCTCCACTATCCCTTCTACGCTTTCGCGTCGGTTTGCTGTCCTTGACGTTCATACGGAGAGCTCGCCATATTCCAACATGGGTATACCTGGTCCCGACGGCGATGTCCATGATCTGGGCTCAAACGGCTTAATCAGCGTCGCAAACCCCAAGCATCCCGAATTTGTGAACCCCGAGATCCTTGATGAGTTGCCACTTGAGTGCAAGGAAGCTCTCGTCGAAGCCGCGTCCCAGGAATGGGAGTGGAAGTCGAGGTGGTGCAGCGAGGTGGACGATGGGGCGAGGGTTGCGCCGCGTAAGAGCTATGCGTGGTTTCCCTGATCTTCACACCGTTGTTCTTCCTAACTACCTGGGGTAGTATGGGTGCATAGTCATGAATTTCTATTTCTGTCATGATAGGGTTCGTTTCCTTTTCCTTTTCGATTTTTTCGGTTGGTCGGTATGGGTGCAGGTGGAAATGGGAGTTATCTAGCTACTAATTAGGTCTATTCAATTGATCCCCCGATGGTATAACTTGCCGGGTTACACTATGAGTTTCTCTGCTTTGCCTTGTTTGAAATGATTGTAGTAACATAATCGAATGCGCTGGGGTAACATCTTAAGCACGAAATATATATGTATAAAATGACATAGTAGGTGAAAAGCAAATCCCCGTTTATAGACTGTTCAAGCAGAAAGTATCAACAAAGTAACCTCCGAACAGCGGAACAGGCTGTACGAAAGTAGATGCTCGCGGTCATAGTGGCTAGGACACGACGCTGGACGAGCGGGTGTTGGTCCCACCGTCGTAAGCAGCGTTCCCAGGCTGTTTCTGAACAAGTTCTGCCACTCTCCTCAGTGACCACGATAATGTCTGGTAAGATGGGTTAAAATAACGCTGGGATTAGGTTAACTACGCGATGAAAATGGAGGGCTCTTGACGACCGGAAGAAGAAAAGAAGACTGCTTGGCTAATCGTAGGAAGTCATGACGGTTCCAAACTCCAACATACGTGTAGGGAAGAAGGGAGAGAAGATTATGAAAATGAGACCAAAGAGACCACGATTACATGGCCATTTCCGCACGTAACTTCTCCAACTCGGCTTCCTCGTCTTCCTCTTCTTTCTGTTTCGCTTTGGCGGCTGGGAGATGTTAATATCAGCAGTTGTCCTTTTCCTTGAACAGGACGATGGAAGCACTCACGTTCTGCATTCCCTGGCGCAGGTAGCCGGTTGAGTTGGTCTGCAACCGGTACTGTACCTGTGTGGAGCATGCGCTCGTCCATAGCCTCCTGCTCCATTCCCTCGAGTTCCGCCTCCAGATCTTCGTCGTCCACTTGCTCGCCGAAGGGCGTGTCAGTGATTGCCTTTGCGATCTCGTCGGTGACGGCGTGCTGCTCCCGCAGTTTGTCCCTAGTGATCATGTTAGCATGCCTGATGCACCTGGGCTATATGGCCAGCAGAGCAGAGTAGATTAGTACGCACATCGTCTCGTCGACCTGCTCGACGGTCATGCCGTTGTGAATCTTCTCCATGGCTGCGCCAGCAGCCTTCATAGCGGTCAGGGTCTCGTGGTTGATGTTGGCCGCTTCGATGGTGTATATCTGCTGCTCCAGCTGTGCAATCTGGGCCTGTGTATGTTCGAAGTTCTTCTCGTGTACCTTTTTCCGTCGGAGGGCGGCTTTGGCGGCTGCAGTAAAGTCTGGTCAGCCTCCAAAAAAGAACGTAGACACCTGGATCGATACACACCGTTCTTATTTGTCGTCACGTTCTTCTTGGCGATGGCCTCCTGTTCGTTCATTTGATTCTCCAGGTGCTTTTCGCGCTTCTGCAGCATGTCAAGGTGGCTCCGCAGCTGGAGGATGGCGTTCTTCGGCGCTTCCTTGCGCTTCTGCGCCGCCGCACCACCGAACCATGACCACATCTTGAGAGGATAGACGTTCTAGATATTCTCCGGTTATATCACGGTGTTGAAAGGCTGAGCGATAGGCGATGGGACTTCGTCTCGTCCCGGCGGAGTGTGTCTTCGAGACCGGTTGAAGGTGGAGTGAGAAGAGATAAGTAGCGAGAGGAACCGCAAGGCTGAAATGCCAAGTTCGATAGGGTAAGCAAGTAAGTTGCAAGCGGATATATTCACCCAGAGAAACAAGGCGAGCGATCAAGTGAGAGATCAGCGAAAATTGCGGGAGTCAAGCGGGCAAAGATGGGGATGAAGTCGGACGAGGGTGTTTTCCCCTCCAGGCGTCAGTCTTCCTTATGACATACGCCACGAGCCTATCGGAGGGGACTGGTCACGTGCGCTGAACCTTCCACCGGATGATCGATCTTCTCTGTTTGTGTCCTTTCTTTCACCATAAAGACAAGGCAACATTATTATGTCCCTGCGACAGGCACAGGATGAACGGCCCTATTCCTTCGATCAGGGCGTTTCTCTCCGACATCCCGTCTCTCCCGGCTGACTGCAAAGTCCGCTTTCTTGGTTGGTGCGTAGAACCGTTGCCTAGTATCACCAAGCAAATAATCTACCCAAGGAATCACTTGAGAAAAGGCGAGGTAATGAACTAACCTCATCTTGGCGGGTAGCGTTAAAACATACCATATCTCCACTGGCCGCCTGGTTCTCGAACATGACTACCCGCGGACAAAGAAGCCGAAGCGGCCAAAGCAGGATCCCCCGTCCATCTCTGTCGATGTCGATGCTGTTTTAGAAACAGTGACATGGGAGGAGTTGTGCGTCGGCGCGTGGGTTAATGTTATTGGGTATGTGCGCAGAACTCCTGCTGAGGCCTTGATGGGAGAATCATCAGCGCCACCTGAGTCGGTGCATGTTGATGCCGTAGTTGTCTTTCCGGCTGGGGCAATTGATCTGGGCGAGTACGAACAGGTCCTGAGTGACTTGTTGCAGTTGGAGAGGATGAGGCGCGAGATTGAATGATCTCGAGTCTAGTATTCAAGTACGTGTCATTATCTATTAAGCTTTAGATATCCCGCGCAATATGTATAGGCTATCACCAACAGGCTAAAAGCAACAATGGTATCGAACTCCGTCCGTGCAAAAAATGACTTTTGAGATCCTTGATCCATCAACTTGCCCGTTCATCCCTTTGGCATCAAACCTCCGCCTTCTCCTTGTCCTCCGCTTCCGCCTCGGCAACTGCTGCTGCCAACCGCTGCTCCAAGCGCTTCCGCTTTCTCTCCAACCTCTTTTTATCCTCCTGCATCCGACTGATAAGCGCACTCTTCATCCGAATCTTGTACCCATATTTGTAGAACACGAAAGGAATAGGGATAATCGCCACCTCAAGCAAACCCAGTAGCGTCCCAGCCCAGTTGGGACCAAGCGCATCGTAAAGATAGGTGCCTACTAGCGGCATAACACCTCCCAGTATACTGCGCATAACCGAGTTCCCTGCCAAGGCAGAGGCAGCATACACGCCGTAGCTATCAGTCAGATAATTTGAAGCGTAGATAAAGACACCGGCATTTCCGCAGCCGAAGAAGACACCGGCTAGGATGGGCACTATCCAGGGAATAGACGCAGGGGAGCAAGTCCACGCGAACCAGAGCTCTCCTGTTGGGATCAGAATGGCCGCGATACAGACGATCGAGACCATGGCTTCCGGGGGCACCTTGTCGGTTTCAGGGTCGCGCCTGTGGCTATTTATCATGCGGCGAATCAAGGGTTCGCAGGTGATCATGATCATGCAGCCAACTCCGATACCGCAGAAGGCTAGGCCCGAGAGACCGAGAGACCAGCCACGGATTTGGCGGAAGACGATGGGGTACGCAGTAAAGCAGAGATAAAGAATTCCGTAGACGATGGCAATGTAAATGTTCCAAAAGATACTTGGGTTGGTTAGCAAGGGCAAGATTGAAGCAGTGTGACTTGAATGGTCTTACCAGATGGGCTCTACGACAGCCATCACAAATGGACGACTCAGATTGACTTTCAACATCTCAGCAAGGCTAGCCTTTTGGTCGTATCGGCTCCACCACCGGTCATCATCAGTTTCTTTGCGTCTCTGTGCGGCCTTTCTCTGCAAGATGATAGGGCTGTAAGTCTCCTTCATGAGGCAGGCAAAGCCGAAGGCAACGCCCGACAGGATCAGAGCAATCCAGTTCATCCATCGCCAGCCCAGATATTGGGTCACGAAACCGCCAATAATGGGACCCAAAACTACCGTGCCGTCAGTGGTAGGCTCTCCGGGATAAATGAGGATATCAACATACCTGGACCGTTGATAGGCCCAATACTCCAGACAGAAATGGCCAACGCTCTCTGCTCATCGGTCACAAGATCGGCTACCATTCCGGGCGCCGTGGAAATCATGACACTTCCAAATAATGCCCCAATGAATCGGACAATGATCAGAGACTCGATGGACTTGGCCAGCGCGCAGGGAATAATCAATACTGTGAAGAGGCCCAGACACGCAATTGAAACTGGCTTTCTCCCATAGACTTCACTCAACGGCGCCATGAACATGGATCCAATGGCCAGACCGATCAAGTAGAAAGTCAATCCTAGGGTGACAATGGTAGTGGACGCCCCAAACTCTTCGCCTATCTGTGATATACCGGATGTGTATGACGTTGAATGTAAAACACTTTTGATAAGATCGTCAGTTCATTCAAGTCCTAAGAAAGGCTAATTTTGACTGACTCACATGAGCAAAGTGTTATACGAGAGCATCGCAATCGCCATGCCCTTGTACTTGAGTGACCAATTCTTAGGATTGGCCTGGTCGTTTTCGTCCTCAAAGTCGACTTCATAATTAGGGTCCATCGTGCCCGTGGTCCCAATCGACGTGAGTCTCCTAGCCAGTTCCGGCTCTGAGATCCGTGAATGGCTTGTTATAGTACGGCCCAGCGCTGCAATCTGATCGTCGTCAATGGAATCCTCTGAGGATGTTGATCCTGATAGAGAATGCGTATCTCCATCTGAGCGGCCTTCACTATGCTGAGCCATTTTCGACGAATCAGTAGTAGGAAAGTCTGTCATGGTCGACATCTGGTAATTGACAGAGCCCCGTTCGGCTATTTCGAGGCGTCCTCGATATAGAACCTGCGCTCAGTCTGCGCCCGTCCCTTCAGGGTGTACGACAGAGGAAGTATACAGATGGAGCTGCGGGCAAGGTACGGAATGCTTGAACGTAGGGTATGACGCGTTTGTACTGTATAAGGCCGGCAAGGGGGGTTACGATGCCGTCAGTTGCATCGAGAAATTGGCGCAAGAGTTGCTTAAAGTCTGACTTATAGGAAGATTTTGACTGTCCGAGGTGCCCCAAAGCTTGATCTTCGGGTAAAAGAAAAGAAATTTCAGAAATTGGCCAGCCTGGGGACGATTGGCATTATAATCCAGCGATTCATGGTTAGTGGCCCGAAAATCTTTAGTGACTCTCCAAGGGCGTGGGGCATCGAGCAGACAGCAGGCACTAGCGGCGATGGAGAGCATCAATGATGGGTTTGTCCGCCACATTTATTTGTCTTGACAAGACGGCTTCGTCGTGACTCGCAAGAGAGGAATGCCGATCCTGCCTGGCGCGATCTATTCACCATGGAGTTGGGGGGTGCCCAGTGCAGGTGTCCCTGCTCTCCTTCCGAAAACAGCACTTAGACCTCGGTCCATAACCCCGCTGAGTGCTCAGATCATCATGGGCAGCCATCCTCTGTTTACCCGGGTAGAATGCCGATGACTGAAGAATTGATGTCTCTCCCACGTCTTTCCTGCGGCTTCAGACCCAAGGCTGAAACTTTGCAAAAGGTTGAATAACTGAATTCAAATTTTGAGATCCACCTTTGGCCCCATACCAGGATGGAACAAGCCGACTCCACGGGGAATACCCGAGGATTTTCTATACTTCGGACTTCGGTACGGATCACGGCTGTCTCTGATATTCTAGTTTTCAATGGCATCAACATTTTGGAGAGGCATTTGCTCACTGCGTAGTATACTGCAGATGATTCATACAACCACCCCCTGAGACGCCAGGCCCTGGGAGAGTTGTCCATGGTCCAGAAGCAGAAGGAGCCGGCTGTCCACCCGTGCCCACGGTGCCGGTTTCCCGAGAGCCAAGCGTCTTTGGTCAGTTGATGGACAGGTCTAGCTTCAGGGCTGACGACGGATCAAGCAGAGAATAAAGGCCGTTGGCTCATGCAGCTGTGCTTGGGTATCCATGCTGTTGTTCAGGATGCAGCTTGAGCCTGCAGACCGACAAGAAAGCCACACGAGGTCCATCAAGGATTCAAGGGTCATTTTGGGACGGCCTTGACTCTGAGGTCCAGATCCCACGCCAGGCTCCACAACTCCTCGGCCAGAAGGCCGGGCTCGCCGCTCATCACGTGTCAGCCCTTCTACCTTGGCTTGGCACAGGGATGGCCTCAGTGTAGTGTAAGTATAAACTGGTAGCTGATGGTGGTCTGGACTCACTTGAACACTGGACAACCTGTTTTCGAAGACTTTCGATCCTGGCTTGCTTCAAGGCACGGCTTGACTTTAGCTCGTTCATATTACAGCACAATATTCTCTTGTTTTCTAGTGCTACCTGTCGTGGTTTCGGATCGTGTTCCCCGCAGCGTCCAGGTGAGTCATGGCACTTGGGCTTGATCCCAAAGGTCTGCTAACAGTTTAAGCATCAACTGCCAGCTGTGCTTCAGGATACTCGACGGGTATTCCACAATGTTCTGTTGAAGAAGTCAAGTCTCGTGTAAGTGCTAGGTGCAAAATGTTCAAGTCAACGGACTTGACATCTCGTAGGATGTCTGCCAACTACGGTGAAAGGACAAAAAGCACAAATTCCAGAGCTCCTTTTGATCCCTGGTGCCGATCAGCTGTTTGATGGTGCAAGATCCAGACTCATGAGTAGGTGATATGATTGGGGCTGTGGTCATTCTAATCAAAGGGCAGTCTTCTAACCAAGCCGACTAAATTACCAGCTGTTGGTTTTTCATGGCTCCGCTTCAACTTCCACATGAGTTGTTCGTGAACTGATCAATCTTGTCGGCTTGAAGACGCCATCTCGACTTCTTCTATTTCCTGTTTTCTGCCACAAGGAAATCTGGTTTGTGAGTCTGACTCGGTGAAAGCTGTGAGTAAACTTCTTCTGCGCAATGGTGGCTGAAACTAAGATAGTACAATAGCCCACTGGATTTGGCCTCATGGGTGGATTGTCGATGATGTCAAAGCCGTATACAAGAAGGCTGTCCATAGCCCGATTGATGTTAGCTAAACGCTGCCTCCGAGGCAGGGTTGGCGCTACGTTGTCGTTGGTGGTTGTGGTGTGTTATATCACCTTTTGGCCAGGCCTTTCCACGGAGCTGCTGCGTGAAAACAATCTGTAAGTCACAGCTAATTACTGGTATTAGGGCTTGTTGGCAACTGGATCATCTCGCAGCTCGTAGGGACAAGACCCCGCAGCCATTCGGGCCTTGATCTTCAGCAACCTCGCCATGAACTTCTCGATCTGGGTTTTACCTTTGTCAAAACGAACATTTTTGACGAGGCCGCGTATATAGCGCCTTTCCCCAACCATGGCCGAACTCAGTGGCCGACCTGCCATTGACCGTGTTCCACAATGCTGCCATGATCCGACAGACAGATCGCCACGAGGCTTTCCTCCCATTAGTCCGCAAGGTCAACGTTGGCGGGGCCGTCAACGTGCTGAATGCCCTCAGAAAGGCCGGGACCAGCTGATTCATCTCGACATCTTCCGGCTCGGTCTGTCTGCGCCGTCCTAAACCTGGATTGCGCCTTGGGAGAAAAGGCCGAGGCACGCCGTACAGGTTCTCAGTGACGAATCTGAAATCCCCAAAAAGCCTTACGAGCTCTTCGGTGCCCATCCCATCTCGAAATTGGAAGCGGAGCGCATCGTCCGCGCAGCCGGTGATATCAAAATCAACTTCCGCACGGGCTGTCAGACCCGCAAATGGAATCGCCGGCGTTGACAGCGAGGCTAGCGCAACACTTGTGGAATTGTATTGGAAAATGGGCGGTGGTTCAACGCAAGAGCCAATTTTCAACCCTTAAGCAAAACCCTAACTCACTAACCACTTGCTCCAGCTGGCTTCACCCCATATTTCAAAACCTGGTCAGCCCCGAAAACGCTTCCCTCGCGCACCTCCTTTACGAAAAACGCCTAATCAAGCACGCTGCATCGCCCTCAACGCTCCCAAATATCGGGGGAGACGCCTTCATCGTCACAGACCCTGGTCCAGCGATATCGTTCGGAGACCTCTGACAACGCTCGCCACGACGCCCATCCGCTTCCCCTATATGCACCCAGTGCCCATGCTTATCCTGTCGTATTTGTAGAATGGCACGTCCTCCTGCGGCACTTTTACCTCCTCTGGCTGCCTGAGGTCGCGGGGGACTTGAGTAGACTCCAGCCGGCGGTCTTCGCGGTAAGCAACCCGCATATTATCGTTGATGAGGGGCGGGCTAGAAAGGACCTACTGAGGGATATTTGGGGTATAACTCGCCGCTGACTACCCTGAATGGGGTTTTTAAGGACTTGGTGCATTGGAATCGGCTGGCTGCAGAGAAGGGCGCTGCTGTTCTTATGGGGAAGGTTAGATGGTACTGCAGGTTGATAGCGGTTGGAGGTTATATATATATATATATCTTTGCCAGGGATCAGCTCATAATTATGGCCAGCTTCCTATGCTGTACTGACTTTGAGGAGAACCCGTGTAATTTCGATAGGTGTTGTCGATCATTCAACTAGAATGGATTTTAGGATCAGTTTGCTTGTGCGAAGCCCTTTATCATGAAACTAGCTGGGTACAGCGCAAAGTAAATAATGATTAATTTTCCAACGCCGGGTATACTGATACTAAGCAGCTGGCCAAGACAGTTGTCGAGCTGAAAACGGCGCCAGTTCTGGAACCCGCATTGTACAACAACTAGCGGGTTCAGAGAGCTCTAGTCTCCGATGATGAGACTCCGCATGACTGAGCGAAGCGATGAGGACACGAGTATCCGGTGCAACCATTGTGTCATCGTTGGTTTCAACGCGTCAAGTGTTCTAGCCGGGACTGGAATCAGAACATGGCCTGATATCATGCGTAAGAGATGTTTATAGGACTCGATGTGGCTCTGGCAACACATGCCGCAATGACCGTGGAGAACTGCCAAAGTGACTGTCCGACTTCCGCAGACGATATAGCTGACAACATCATACAGAAAGTGGGTTGCTTTGCATTGGTGGTCACGCCATGATGCTGTTTACCGGGCCTGCTGCTGAGCGTATTGCCGTCTCTGCTCCAGAATCTTCATTCGCAAGTCCTCGGCGGCAAGTTCCACATCAAGAATAGCACCGACACCACGTCGCCATGACTCCTCCAGCCCAGTCAACTCTCCTTGGCTCGCCTCTTGCGCGATCTTACGCTGCTTGTTGACATTCTCTGCCGCCTCCTTAGTCTCGGCCAGCTCCTTCTCAAGCCCTCTAAGTATGTCTTCCAGCTGCGAATTTCCGATCAACCACGCATTTTTGCCGCCTTCTTCAAGGAGCGAAAGGTTCTCATGCCGTGAAGACAAATGAGAGCTAGCTGTGTAGGCTTTCCGCAAGGTCTGACGCCATTCATCAAGATTGGGTGTTGCATCCGGGCTGCGAGTCGGTGGCTCTGGTGCCTCATAGCGCGATAGATCGATGCCTCCAGTCAAAGGTAGACCAGCTGCCTTGCGCTCGAGTTCCTGCTGTACGAAGGGCGAGAATTTGGGCTCCGAGAATTCGGGGATTGAAGGATGGATCGAAGTTTGGTGACCAGATGGAAGTTCTGACGCGATTAACCTCTCCGCATTCGCCCGCGCCTGGGCGGACGGCGTCGCATCGATATCTGCATCGTGTTAGAGTGTCAGTTTTGTATTTTGCGTCGAGGCTCTTACACGGGAGGGAGTCGTGGGATTCGTTTATGAGGGGCATTTTGAGTGTTGATTTCGGCGGCTTCCGAGTGTCAGGCCTAGAGAGTTGGGACTTGGGGTCAGGTAAGTTTACCTGATCTTATGCTTGTCTTTTCGCTGTGGTGCTGCATAGTCACGTGCAAAAGAATTACAAATACCATATGTAGTAGACTTAGCCAAATACGGAGAATCTGGAGCCCCTTCCGAAACAGGTAGGCACGATCCTAGCTCTATCCACCACCACTAGGCGCCCCGCAGGTTGGACCCCGGTGAGATCATCGCCTTCATATCAACCTTTTGTTATACCGTCCGACAAGACCAAGCTTTACGGTTTCCCACGCGCTGGGACGGCTCGCAAGTGTCGGATATTTTGTATTCTGTGACTTGTGTACTTGGTTGGCTCCGGTATTGATCGACGTCTTGTTCCGCTCTGGCATGCTACATACTCCGCATCTTGCCAATAGCACATGCTCGGATTACCACTGCCATCACTGCCCAGTTCTCCGCACGAGTCTAGTGGGATAGCGTATGACCCTCACTCTTTGACGAGGCCTTCTATTTACGGCACGGGGCTTTACAGTGTGTCCAATCAGGCTGCAGCGGAAAGGGCGCGATTTCGATTTGAGGCAGGGGTAAACAGGTTCAGGAATTGAAGCTATATTCAACGGAAACGCCAATCAGACGTTCTCGCCATCCCCCTTCGCTCGAACTAGAGTTACAAATACTCCGAGGCGCCGCGCCCAGGCACGATCTAGCCCGGGTTTCTCGGCCATACCTGACGAAAAGCGTCCAAGTCAAATATATAGTTTTATGAACCCTAGGTACGGTGGGAGGAGTTCTCTGATGTCATAGAACTTGACAAGACTGGGAGTGCGTATTCCTCGGCGCTCTGAAAATGGCAAATATCAGGCTTAATCTTGCTATTGTCGGAACTTTTATCTTTGCTGTTGTTCTCCTGCAATTGATTTCTGTGCTTCATGGCTATGATGACGCCCCGATTTTTGAGGTGAAGTCACAGTGGGATGATCGATCGTCAAACTACGTTGCAGATGATAGCATCCTTCTTCTGGGAGCCGGCAAGGCGGATATTACAGGGTGAGATCTATGCTGTTTCTTGCACCTGCGCAGAGTTACTAACACACTGCATAGACCCGTGGTCGAAGTAGGCTTTGGAGGATATGCTGACACCGATCAAATTGGCACTGGTCTGCGCCAACGGTTGTACTCTCGAGCATTCATTGTTGGAAACCCTAACGACCTCGAAGAGACCTGGATCTACATAGTCCTTGATGCACTAACGGGAGATACTGGAATTCGACACGGGGTTCTAGAAGGGCTCGCCAGTCTGGGAAGCGAATACTCTCGATACGGGGACCGTAACCTCGCTCTCACAGGCACACACTCCCATTCAGGCCCGGGCGCTTGGTATAACTATCTCCTCCCGCAAATCCCGAATAAAGGCTTCGATAAGCAGAGCTATCAGGCAATCGTTGACGGTGCACTGCTATCTATACAGAGAGCCCATGAGAGCCTTGCGCCCGGACGCCTCACCTTCGGTACAATTGATGTCGAAGACGCGAACATTAACAGAAGCCCATACTCCTACGATGCCAACCCGGAAGAGGAGAAGGCACGGTATCCTTCAAATGTTGACAAACTATTAAGGCTCCTGAGGTTTGACAGAGAGAGTGACAATAAAACGACCGCTGTTCTAACGTTCTTTCCTGTACATGGTACGTCACTATACGGTAACAACACTCTCGCAAGTGGAGACAACAAAGGTGTTGCTGCTTGGCTCTTTGAGAGAAGCGTACAAGATGACGCGAGGTTTACGGATGACTTTGTGGCTGGCTTCTCCCAATCAAGCGTAGGCGATACTTCTCCGAACATTCTTGGGGCATGGTGTGAAGATGGATCGGGAGAAAAGTGCCGCTACTCTGACAGTACATGCGGTGGACAAAGTTCGAAGTGCCATGGGCGCGGGCCATTCTTTCGTGAGGATAACCACGGCGCGAAGAGCTGCTTTGAAATTGGCCGCCGCCAATACTCCGCCGCCAAAGAACTATACGGCCAGATGGATACTGAGGCAATACGGATCCGTAGAAGCTCCCAGGTCAGCTCATTTCATCTGTTTGAGAACCTGGATGGATATACTTTCCAGTCACCTTTCAATTCCAGCACTCTAAGCACATGCTCCGCGGCGCTTGGATTCTCTTTTGCTGCGGGGACTACCGACTGGCCTGGGTATTTCGACTTCACCCAAAACGATACTACACCTGCAGAGCGTAACCCACTGTGGTATATTGCTCGTGGATTTCTTCACTCGCCGACGCCTGAACAAAAGAGGTGTCAAGAACCTAAGGACGTTTTGCTAGACGTGGGTGAAATCAGTCTACCTTACGCTTGGACACCCAACATAGTGGATATACAGCTCCTCCGTGTCGGGCAGTTGATGATTGTGACCTCCACGAGTGAAGTTACAACAATGGCTGGACGGCGGTGGAAAGAAGCGGTCGCGAAATCTGCAAGTGATGTGCTTTCCATCTCTGATCCTCTGGTAGTTCTAGGCTCTCCAGCGAACAGCTATGCACACTATGTGACTACGGAGGAAGAGTATAGCAGACAGCGCTATGAGGGCGCCTCAACGCTATACGGGCCCAACACACTGGCAGCATATGTTAATTTGACGCTCACATACCTGCCGTATCTTGCTGAATCCGCCCAAGCAGAAGGTCAATATCCTCAACCGTCAGGGGCTGAACCACCAATCAACACTGATAAATCCTTGAGTTTCATCCCCTCGGTAGTGTACGATGGTCATCCGATCGGCAAAGCGTATGGGGATGTGACCGCGTCCGCCGGGAACGCTAAATATGCACCTGGCGATGTAGCGACTGCCACTTTCATCGGCGCTAACCCAAGGAACAACTTACGGCTAGAGTCGACTTTTGCAGCAGTCGAGCGACAAACAGAGGACGGGGTATGGGAAACGGTGCGAACTGACAGCGACTGGAGCCTTGTGTATCGGTGGAACAGAACCAACACCGTTTTAGGGCACAGTGAAGTGACTTTGCAATGGGAGATAGAGGACGAGTACTACGCTGCTGGAAGCCCTCGACCAGTGCAGGCAGGAGTCTACCGGTTCCATTATTATGGAGATGCGAAGGGCCTCAATGGGCGAGTCGAGGCATTTGAGGGAGTCGACGAGCCCTTTACAGTCGTTGTCTAAGCAGCGCAAGGGCGAGGTCTAGTTATGGTGGTAACGATCTCTATGATAGCTTTAGGCAAGCATCACTTGATTTACTTTGAATATTATCTATTGACGAGCCAAGTCTCTATTACCTTTGTTTTCTCGTTCTGCCCAGCTGGTGTTTCATGTTGACGCCGCAGTTCCTCAGCGCCAATGAGTTTCTGCAGCATCTGGATCGACGTTGACGCGCGCCAGCTGCATCTCTCCTGACAGCCAATCATTTGATTTGCTGCAGAGACTAACTAACTATAGCTCCAGCACTGCAGAACCAGATCGAGCCCAAGCAATCAATGTCCGTGCTTGCCAAAATCTCCCGGCGCATAAAGGATCCTCATGGTCCTGCTGCAGGTGTGTTACAGTTTACTGACTTTGTCTTCTCCTTTGTCTTGTTTCTTTCTCTTCCTTTCTTGTTGCTGACTTTCGTTCTTTCTTTTCTTCCAGGGTCATGAGCCACTATGTCCCTTGATACTGTGCCATAAAAGGACCGCTGCACTACCACTGGGATGCCCTCGCTCGCTCAATTTGTTAGCCGCCTACGCTCTTTTCCCGTCATTTTCGCGATGCTCCTTCTTTTCTTTCTTCTTTTGTCGGTTTGCTCGGCTGGCCCGATCTTTTTCGCTCCTACTATCTCTAATAAGCATGACACATTGGACATAGCTTCGACAACTTTGCGCGCCTCTACCCACCTCCTGGTGGCCAGAGATGACGACGATGACATGCCACTGGTTGTCATTCCATTTACCCCAGGGCCTGGCTATACCCCATCCACACAGCAGCCCACATCTGAAGAGTCTGAGACCGACGCTGCGACTTCATCCCCTACTCCTGCTCCCGCAACTGAGGAGAACCCGGTAACGGGCATGACAGCAGCCACTTCAACGACTAAAGCGACCTCGTCGCCCCATGAACCAAATACGCTGGTAACGACTGGGGTTATCGAAGATCTTCCAACCGGGTCTGAGACAAGTACCAGCCATGCTACCTCTACACCGATAACAGCTGGCACTGTGGAAGATCTCCCAGCAGGTTCTGAGACTATTATATCCACGCCAGTGACCACTGGTATTGTTGAGAATCTTCCAATGACCGAGTCTGAGTCTGTGAGCCCCGCTGCCTCGACAGCTGAGACTCCACCATCGCCTGTACCTACAAACGGACTAAAAAATGAGACCCAGAGTGGCAGTTTACACGATTTGCATACGTCCTCGCCAGTTCACTCAGGCCCTGACTCTACAACCTTGACTTTGGGTACAGACAGAAGTACAAACACAACCTCGAGACCGGTTATTCCTGTAGAGACAAGCACATCCTCCCACAGTGGTTCACCATCGCGAACTCCAGCGCAGACTCAGACTTCGAGTGCTCAACCTTCTGTTGACGAAGAACCCCTAACCTCAGAGACGTCTGGAACGGAGCCCTCCACCCAGGCACAAGCCCAAATAAGCACCACTCCCGCCAGCAGTACGTCTACCACCCATACAACCCCGGTCATGGTCCTAGTCACAGAGGGCGTAGATTCGGAACACCCTACAAGCGAAACAATCTGGCCGAGTCGGGAATCTAGCTCAAATGCTGTGACCTGGGCTTCTTCATCACCTTTAATACCCACTTCTACTTTCATGCCCGCGCCCACTCCCACGCCGGCCTGGACTTGGACGCCTACCTCTGCTGCTACATCCACCCAAGTCTTATCATCCTCAACCACTTCTACAACTGCTACTTCCATACCTAACGGAGCACCTGCTTCTACAACAACAATTACAGCGATCTCCACAATTGTCCAAACGTCTACATTACCAGCGGGACAAGAGCCGGAATCAAAGTCTACACCTACAACTCCCAGTCCCATCTCTGAAGGATCCAGCTCTACAACCACAGTTACAGAAATCTCTACTATTGTGCAGACATCCACATTGCCACCTGGGACACAAATAGAACCAACTTCAGCGTCTCCAACTTCCAGCCCTAATCTCGAGGATGAACCCATATCCACGACTACACTCACAGAAATCTCCACCATCGTACAGACATCCACGCTGCCAGCTGAACCAGAAGCGGAGCCTACAACAGCACCTTCAACTCCCAGCTCCAATTCTGCTGAAGAGCCAACCTCTACAACTACTTTCACAATGGTGTCCACCATTGTCCAAACGTCGACTTTGCCCGATTCCTCAGAGCTCACGTCATCAAGCATACTCATAGTGACACCTACAACACCAAAACCGTCGCCCAGTCCTGCTCCAGAAGAGGATCCAAGCTCAACAACGACCATGATCCTAATCTCAACCATCGTCCAAACTTCCACCTTACCAGCAGAAACAGAAGGAGAAGGAACACGGGCCCCGACTTCAACTCCTCAGCCCCAACAAACATTCACCCTGACTGGTACCAAGACAGCCACGGTCTCTCGAACATCCACCGCGACTGCAACGGCAACAGTGACAGCCGCTGCCACTCAGGAGGGCCAAGTCAAGGCGTGCGGTGATGCCACTGGCGACGACGACGAGTTACAGCTCGTCCCCTGCACTCCTGCTGGGTTCGCTACGATCACGGTAACCGTCACGACGACCGTCACAGATAGAGAGCCCGATCGCACGGTTACCGTTACTGCATAGGCTAGTAGCCTTGTTTCTTGTCTATCTTGCATATACCTGCCTTTTACTAGTCTAATTTAGCGTGCATGTATGTACTGATACTGATTATATATTGTAGACTATGGATTCATAAAGTATTTTAATCTCGTCGTATCATCCCCTTTTGTCCCGCGTAGATATGGTATAGGTGCTCATGGAAAGTTGTTCTGGATAGCGCGCGGGTGTCGAGCAAGTACATAATAGGAAGGCACCTATCATGCTGCATTATAGGCCTATGGCTCATAGCTCTTCTACATTTGAGCATATTTTCAGTGGTGGGCATTTTTGGTAGGAAGTAAACCAACCCTACGTTCCCGTCACGAGGACCACGGCCTGCTCTATTGACCCTGGAGTTAATAAGGTCGATCTGCTGTAGAAGAGGACCTTCAGCAGGCTGGAAGGTAAAGAACTGAAGGTATTAGAAAGATACACATGCTACGGCGTTGCGGCCTGTTGAACTTTGTACAAGTTTTAGATTGTATTCTGGTCTCATTTGATATAGTGACATGAATTGAAGTATGTCCTTTTCTGCGCGCCATCTTCGAGTTAATGCCTTACGCGGCTTATTTGAGGAAATTGATAATGTTCGTATGGCTTATGAACCGAGGCATAGAGCCGCCTGTGCCTCGTTCATTTGTAATAGGTTTTCGATTAGAACCCATGCCTCAGACCATCGAGTGTAAAGTCACCTGGTCAGGTTGACACAATGTGATCTCCATTTGGAAGCTTCCGCGAGACCATCCGAGGCCCAAAAATTGGATTTTTGAGACTCTAGAATTTTCGGTTGTTTCGCAGGCGGAGCTACCCAGCGCCTGGAGCGGGTACTCACGAGTGAGATCAACACTTCGAGGTTCGGATCCGTGTTGATCAGTTTCTCGCGGCATCGAGTCACTCCGAGCCTAATATTGGTCATAGAGCGGCGGAGTCTGATGAGACAGGCGATATCACTTCGTGACTGACGACAACTGCTATCCAGCACAATGGAGTGCCCCATAAACCTGTTGCCCCTTGTTCAAAAAGTAAAGCTTGCAATCTAGCTGCATGTTTGAAGACTTCGGGAAAAGAAGGTCTGCAGATATATCTCCTGTGTTGTTTCCATGTGCACTTTTTTTTTGGTTCGGCTCAAAGAAATGTTTACGGCTCATATTTCAGATAAGAGGCCTCCTGCTTCGGCGAACTTGGCCTGGTATGCCTTCAGACTGGCCCACTGACGCAATTCTTCTTCATCGCGATCATGATCACTGAGATAGCTCATTGCCCGCCCCTGTGTTTGGGGACTAGACGGCGCTTTTGAACTCGGACCAAGACCTTCTAAGCGGACCAGCGTGTCTATAAAAGCAGACAAATACGCCTCCGCTTCCGCTTTGGTGAGCGTTTGTGGCCCGCTTGTGACGGGAGTAGTTGTCATTTGCGATTTAGACAAGTCCAACAAGGTAGATGCAATCTGGCGAATCTTGGATGTCTGAATTATGGTCAGTATGAGCTAGTATGTTCATGTCATTAAGGCAAACTTACCACGCTTGCGCCGTTAGGCTCCATGTTAATTTCGTTGACAGATTGTAAAAGGACAAAAAGGTCTCGGATCACAAGCTGCCGTTCCTCGACCATGATATTGCTGATGTGGTCGTTTGGGTTGATGCCATTGCTCCCTACTGGGGAATTGATAGGTGTAGGCTGGCGGCTTTGGGTTTGGTACATTTTCCAGGCTTCGTGCAGGCTCCAGTACTTCTCGACCAGGTACGAGCGAGTTGCAAGCTGGCTAGCATATATATTGGCCTTTTGTATCTCATATTGTATATGGCGGCGCGTCGAGGCGCCCGCGTCTTCGTGGCCAATCGTCATCTTGACATCCTCCTGATCTAGCGGTGCGCCCCCAGGTATGAATAAGGACAGCTCCTTTGGAACATTTGCTAGGGCCAATTTGCTTTTCTGTAAGCATTCGTATATCACGACCCTTTGTCGGTCCCAGTCAAAAAGTTGGCCTGCACCAAAAGCTGTTTCCCAGGCTGATATGGGATTATAGGAACTGTATACGCGCACGTTGGCATTGAAGCCCACTAGGCGGGAAACCTTATGAGCTGGCTGCTGTTCCATGTGAGTTGGAAAGATGTATTCATCGTCTACCTCTAAAGGTAGCGGGGGATAGCGTTCTGTCGGTGTTTCGGGAGGAACATGGATTGCTGAATCGTGAGATCCCATTTGCTGCAAGGTTCGATACCCGACCAGTGTCGTATAGAATAGACGGCGCCCAAGCTCCACTTCAAGAATACTGACCGGGGCTTCAGTTTCTTGTGAATGAAATGATGACGTAGAAGCCGGGCTCGTTGGGCCTGGAGGCGGGACGCGAGATTGAGGCAGGGTACAGAGATTATACACATGGATCATGGTCAAGCATTCTGCAAGGTAGACTCTACATGACCGAACATTCCAGATATATCCCGAGCACAGACCAAGAAAATAGCTAGTAGCGGCGTCGTATACAGTAGCGTTGCGGTCGAGGTATCCCGCTCCCCGCGCTTGAACAGCTATATCACGGCATCTCTTGACCAGGGCCGTAGAATGCGGGAATGCCGACCTCTCCTCCGGTTTCATATGCATTTTAGGTCTTCGTGGAAACGATGCGACAAGTGCGCCGATCATACCGGCGGTCATCGCTAAGAAGGTACTATGCGTAAGATCCTCTCTCCGCTCAAGGGCAGCGCGATATGTCGGCTCATGGGGAACTGGGATCAGGGGGTGTATGTATGTGAAGTAGTCGTCAATGAGTAGCAGGATGGTGGGCAGAGAGCAGATCGATTCCAGCGATAGTGCACTTGAGGTGGCCGTGGCCGAAAGGCCAACCCCCGACAACGAGGGGGATAATTGTGTAGATTGGTCCGGGGAAGGCGAATTTGAGCCAGCGTAGGGTGTCTCCCCGAGCTTCTGCTTCTTGAAAGCTTCAGCATGGCGATTTGGTGGGCCACGGCGTCGCGTTGGCCGCTCATAAGTGCATGGAATGCTCAGGCTCGCGCATGACCGACAGGGGGGACCGCTGGTGTCGCACTACCCCACGCTCTCCGAGTCAGTTCGGGGTAGCTTTCAATGGGGCGATCCCAATGTCATGTTACGTACCTTCACCTTTCTGATGCTGCAGGCATCGCAGGCCTTCTGTAGCCTAGTTCGTTGGTCCATTAATGTGCAAGTCGTCAAGAGGCCGTTTCCATAGCTTCAAGTGCTTCAGTCCGGTAAGTAGTCATGGTGGTGGGTCGTTGGCAGCTTAAGTAGCTGGGGAACCCCATTAGTGCATGATGAGGGGCATGTCGAAACTGCAGTTGGACATGGACGAGGGAGAGACGCCAGGAAGAAGAAAAAGACGGGGAAGGGGAGACTGGGGAGAGAAGAAGAAGAAGAGAGAGGAGGTTCTAGTATGCGAGATTTCTGGAACATTAATATTAAGGTTCAACCATTTACTAAGTTTGCGGAAGTCACGACCGAAATGCCGTACCCTTCCCAACTTCCAATTCCACTTCCACACCACCTGAACGCCTCTTCTGCTACTGGCTGCTATGCTGGTAGCTGCAGATCGGCTTAGCCAGATCCGGCACACGATCTCTTACCATGACCCATCACCACGACCCTACTATTGTTCATAACCTGGAGGCTCTGCTCTGTACGAGTATACAACCGAGGCAACATTGTGAACTTGATTGTCCAACTGGCTCTGAGCGGATGATCGACGACAAGCTGAGGAATCTTCAAGAGTGACCAGAATTACGTACCCACCCCAGCACGAGTACGAGAAATCTACTCTTCAGTCTTCACGAGTACATGCAAGCGCCCTAAACTCTATCGGACAGGAAGCCACTAAACCTTCGAATCTCTCGCCAGATGCTCGGCCGTTAGCTCGCCGAGAATCAACCCGCAAATTTCCCCGCCGATAAAGCAATAATGCGAGACCGACGATGCGTGAATTTACGGGGGCCTAGGCCGCATGACAAGACGCGAGACAGATAGCGGCAAGACTAAAAGTGATGCCCAAGGGCCCTGAGCTGACGCTTAAGTTCTTAACAGGAGTCGCTGTGGGGTTACCCCTGTTGTAACTTGTGGCAGTGCGGCCGCGGCTGCCTAGCGATTTTAGCAAAGGCTGGGCTGTAGGCTGTATCTAGCATTCGCCGTTCAACGGACGCGACACGATGATTATCATGGATGGAGTTCATCCCAAAACCGGACTTATCACTTTTCCGGCACATGGCACAATTTGATATCGGACTGCACAACCTTCCTGTGCGAGCAAATCACGTGGATTACAGCTCTCCCAGCGTGGGATGTCATTAAACGAGATGCAAGGCGAACAGGGAATCGTTCCTGCGAGAGGTAAATGCCTCGTCTCAGCCTGTCGTTCCTCAAGCTATCTGAAGAGTGAAACGACGAGCAACGTCATTGCAGCGCTACCAGAAGACCCCAACTGAACCACGATTGGAAGTTCAGCAGAGTTCCACGCCTTGTCTCATGTGGAACTGAGTTTGGGGCGCACAAATTTTACTGGGGCACATCTGTGCCCCGAAGGAGCAAAGTCAGAGTTCAAAATCAGTCTCCGTAATGCGAAATTGTACAGTGGTATTGGCCGAGGTAAGAAAAACAAATATGCTGAAACGCCGGGATATCACGCCAGAGTATCATCATTGTCACGATAGTGCGCATCTCTTTCCGGCCGTTCGCCCAGAAGAGGTCGTCGATTTTCGATGTCAACCACCCACATTGCCGCGCCGACCGCAGTCGACATCAGGAAAAACATAGAGAGGACAGGCACCAACTGCAGAATCAATGCCACGGTCCCAAATCTGCCACCGGTGTAAGCATTTATGAAAACATGCGCAGGCCTGCACTTACGTAGTATACTGCAACTGCCTCTTCCGGATTCTTTCCTTCCTCTGTTGCTTAGACAAGTCCAACAGCTGAAAGTACCGCCAGTGGTGAAACGGCCCGCCGCGGTAGCCGGTCAGGATGAGAAACATGGGAGTGCCCGCGACAGGAATAAAGTTCAATGGAAGCAGAAGAATAAACTCCAGGATCTGACGCAGAGAGAAAGGCGAGTACACTGCACTCTGTGTTGGCTTGCCCAGTCGCTTGACGACATCGTCGCCTTGCGGATATAGTACGCGAGAAGCCGCGACCAGATCACCCTGGCCCTCGCTTACCAGCACGGCATCGAATATATCCACGAGCGTCTCATCGACAAAGAACGCCTCGAACAGCGCGGCAACAATGGCGGCTCCTTCTCCCAGGACTAAGAAGGCACCGCTGATCCATGCTCCGGCGCCTTGGAAGATGGCCAGAAAGGCTACCTGCGGCAGGTATGTGAAGAAGAAAAGGATCGTATAGATGAAGGCTGAGAGTAGGATGATTGGTATTAGGCGGGTTTTGAACAGTGGCCAGAGGAATCGATGTGAGGCAAAATAGTAGATTCCCTAAAGCAGTCGGAGTTAACAGGAAGCTCTCAGACACAAGTTCTAGCCGCGAAGGAGCATACTCGAAGAGGATAAAGCCAAGCAGCTTTGCTGAGATCCCAGGCCATTACTGACAAGCGCGAGAGATATAAAAACCGGACCAAATCAACAGATAATAGCAAGCAAGTGTGTTGGTAGGTTAGTGTTGCCTGCTGACCTCATTGTTTGTATTGTGGAGAGAGGCTGATGCATTTATCGGCATTATGATTGGTGCCTTATCCATATCGATAAGATGCCGGCCTGGCCAGGCGGTGAGAATAAAGCTATATAAGGCCACAAATTTTTCCCAATTTATTTCCTTTTCCCAAATACTGATCACACCTTCTTATTCACTCTGAAGTCCTTATTTCTCAATGGATCATCTGGAGGGGAAATAGAAGGTCAGAAAGACTCCGCCGACTTACCCCAAATTCTTCTTCTCCCTCGTGGAGCGTTTGGAAAATTCTTCCGCGGTACATCTCGATCACATTGCTACCAATTTGTAAATCTTGGCCCTCTCAGTTGGTTCAGTCTGATGACGGTATACCTGTAGATCTATGTAGTAAAAGACGAATCAGTTGCTCTCTTTCTGGGGGTTATCTTGGTCATTGTCCATTGAGTGAGACTGCATGCACCTCGGGCAATCCGCTGCTTTCAGATCCCGACACGACGGTGCGGATTCACCATCTCCGGGTGCTCAATCCCTCGATTCCTACACGATTGCCTAGATACTAGGGCTGAACTCGTGCTCTTTTTCTGGTCCGGAATAACAGATTCCTCTGAGCATGGCCTCCTCAGACACCGAATCTAACTACGCCGTCTTCCGCGAGTGTGTTTCCAGCGTCATCATCGCAAGAAGCAAGCAGCATAAACCCAGCAAAACTAAGCGCAAAGCTTCTAGGATCAAGGCAGCCAAAAGAAAAGGAAATGCCGAGTCCACGGATGAATCTTCGGCGCCCAGCACACCTGCGCCAGCGGAGGAAGAGAACCCCGAGGAGTTAGCTGACTTCATTGATGTATTTCCCCGCTTCAATCTAATATACATCGCTGTAGCTGGGACAATGCTAACAACTATGCCAAACAGTTCATAGCAACAGAAATCTTCACGGCCCTCCCAGAACCACTGCAGAGTCTTTCCTACTCCGCAATCCAACATTCCCCCACCCTCTCAACAACCTACTCTATCCCCTTGGCTCATTCAACCCTCGAGTCCCTCTCCAACCCCCTGCCCAGCACAATAACCGACACACTCTCCACGTACACCCCGGATCTTGAGGCCCTATCGCTCCTCAACAAAATCCTAACGGATTATATTCCCGCCGTGACGCGCCCACCACCAGTCTGGGCGAGCACGCGCGCTGAGGCGTGTGAAATCTGCGAGCGCGACTGGATCCCACTCTCGTATCATCATCTGATCCCCAGGGGGGTGCATGATAAGGTCATCAAGAAGGGGTGGCATGATGAGTGGATGCTGAATAATGTTGCTTGGCTGTGTCGTGCTTGTCATAGCTTTGTGCATCGGATGGCAACTAATGAGGAGTTGGCAAGAGAGTGGTTTACCGTTGAGAGGATATTGGAGAGGGAGGATGTGAGGGATTGGGCGAGATGGGTTGGAAGGGTGAGATGGAAGGCTAGGTAGCTTTGTATCATTTAGTTTAGTTTAGTAATCATTTAGTTCAATCGTAGATTAGATGCTCAATCATAGATTATATGAAATGATGTACACTTCTATAATCCTCATGGTATCCGTAATAGTCCGCCATGCTATGGTACAGTCGCCAGTAACCAAACCCTAATATATGCCTTATACAAGATGGTAAAGATGGATGAATAAAAATACAGTGACATGATCAAGAGGGAGGGGAGAGGGAGATCAGAGTTGTCTCTTCTCCGAGATTTCTTCGTAGCTCTGGATTTGGTCGCCAACTGCAAACTCGGTCCAGTTCTCGAAGCCGATACCACACTCGGTATCTTTGCGCATCTCAGTAACGTCCTTTTTGACGTTCTTTAGGGATGTAATCGAGCCTGGAATCTGTTAGTAACGGCCCAACCGAAATAGCTGCGAGTGTATGCTTACCGTCATAGATAGTCTCCTGTCCTCTAATGACGCGAACCTTCTTACCCCGACTGATTACTCCGTTGCGCACCTTACATCCGGCAATGGATGTCTTCGCACGCCCCTTGAGAGAGATCTCGAAGACCTGCCCGATCTCGGCCTCTCCAGTGACACGCTGTGTTATCAAAGGGGCCAGCTGCTCGCTCAGAGTATCCTTGACTTCATCAACGAGTTTGTAGATGATGTTATGATCCATTATATTGACACCCAAATTCTGTGCCATCCGACTCATGGTGGGGTCAATAGGCATGTTGAAGCAGATTATATGGCCGTCGGCAGCGGCCGCAAGCTCAATATCAGACTCGCTGATGGGTCCCACTTCAGAGAGGAGCACTCTGGCATAAACTTCGTTGTTTCCAATGGCGGTTATCGAGTTCTCAACAGCTTCCGCCGATCCGTGAACGTCCGCCTTAACCACGAAGTTGACTGGTTTGGGACCAGAGGGTTTCTCTTCCGCAGGCTCTTCGTCTTCGGCAGCTTCTCTTCGTCGCTGGTCGAGCAGCTCACGGCGAGCCTCGTTAATGGCTGTCGTATCCTCGCCTAGCTTCTGACTCTCCTCTCTCTCTAGCCGGTACTCCACGACCTCCTTGGCATGTTGTTCGTCTTCCGCCTGCAGGAGCTCTGTGCCAGCTGTTGGGTTCTCTCTCCAGCCATCTATCTCGACTGGCGTTCCCGGAGTAGCCTCAGAGATGGAAATGCCAGATTCGTTCCGAAGTGTACGGACACGGGTCCACGTGTTGCCGGCGACCAGAATATCGCCAGGTCGGAGGGTTCCGCGTCGGATGAGGACGGTTGCAACACGGCCATAGCTCTTCGTGGTGCCTTCGATGACCCATCCTTCGACGAAGCCGTCTGGGTCGGCTCTATGATCCAAAACCTCGGAGAGAGTAATAATAGCTTCTTCGAGCTCTAGCATTCCTTGGCCAGTTTTTCCACTGACACCAATTGCCTGGACATCACCACCATAGTCTTCCACGTGGATGCCATGGGTGGAAAGATCTTGTTTGACCCTCTCAGGATTGACCCCTTCCTTGTCAATTTTGCTCATGGCCACAATGATGGGGACCTTGGCGCTTGTAGCATGCTTGATGGCCTCGACGGTCTGCGGCTTGACGCTGTCATCGGCAGCTACAACGAGCACCACAATATCCGTCACATCAGCACCACGTCGGCGCATGTCGAGAAAGGCCGCGTGGCCGGGCGTGTCCAAGAACGTTATCTTTTTACCAGACGGCATACTGACAGAGAACGCACCAATATGCTGAGTGATGCCTCCATGCTCCGATGCAACAACTGATGACTTGCGCAGCCAATCGAGAATAGTAGTCTTACCGTGATCTACATGGCCCATGATCGTGACGACTGGAGGCCTCGATGGCCACATAGATTTATCCTCTGGCTCAGGTGCGGCTGTTAGATCCTGGTCAGCGCCAGTGTCGAGGATAGGCTCGTAACCGAACTCGGCAGCGATCAGACCAGCTGTCTCGGCGTCAAGGACGTGGCTGTAAGAAACATCTTCGAAACCCATCTGCTCCATCTGTTCAACTAACTGTGCTGGTCGCATGCCAACGACATCGGCAAAATTGCTGACGCTGATAAATTCGGGAAGATAGAGCCGGCTCAGTTGAGGTTCTTCTACCTCTTTTGACCGTCTTTCTTTCTTCAACTTCTTTCGCTCCTCCCGTCGGCGATGATATTCCTCTACATCAAACTCTTCCTCTTCGATCTCTGATTCGCGCTCACGATGGTCTCCTCGTCGCTTTGATTTCTTGTCAAAATCATCGCGAGATTTCCACCGTCCCGGAGAAGACGACCAGGAATCCGTTTTATCCTCCAACGCTTCAGACCTCTCAGGCTTGCGAGACCTCATTTCTTTCAGTCGCCGGCGAAGCCCAGCATCTACTTCACCTGTCTCTTCTTCCATAGCCAATTTCGCTGCCATGTGCTGCCTGAGAGCCGACTGTCGAGGTTTATCATCGGCCTCGGCATCACGGGCGAACGTCTTGCGGATCTTGGTGGGCTTTTCGTGAAAATCCCCGGTCGAATATTCGAATGTCTCCCCACTAAGGTCAGTATATAGATCATGGCCCGTAGCCATGTCCCCTCTGGGCTCGATGCTGCCACCAGTTTGAGAGGCACGTGAAAGCTCCCTCGAGCCCATATTTGCATGTTGTCTCCGCGTTTTGCAACGTGGACAACGTCTATGTTTCCCAAAACAATTAAAACCACAACCGGGGCATGTCCAATCTTTAGGGATAGAGCCGCGAGGCTCTTCTTCTTGCAATGAAGATGGTCTTATTAGTCCAGGTCTCCGCGCTTTGCACATTGGACAAGCAATATACTTGCCGAAGCACTTAAAACCACAGTCGGGGCATTCCCAATCTTGGCCGCGCTGTGCCCTACTTAACCTTGGCAGGCGATGGACTTCGTGCTCCCTGAGGGGTTGAAGCTCCGAACTTTCTTTGTCCATAGAAGAAGGGAAACGATTCCTCCACGGCACACGGGAATCTCCTGTATTGAATTCAAAGCCGGGACGTCGGTATGGAATGGATTTCTGCGATGTCGATTCTTCCTGATTCCGTGATCGACGTTGGTTCGCAGATCTTAGCAAGCTGTCCCGAAGCGCCTGCTCCTCTGGAGTAAGAACCGAGGATTGATGTGTTGGCCTTGATGCCCACCTCGTACCAAAGCTAGGCGTCGTTGGCGAAGAAGCACCATCGTTCGCACCATTTGAAGTATTTGTGCTAGAACCACCGGGAGAATTTGCCATCAAAGCGTTCCGAACGGCCTGCTCTTCTGAACTAGGCGTCGAGGAATGGGATGCTTGCCTTGCTGCCCAGCGTGAACCGAATCTCGGCACCGATGTGAAAGAAGCGGAATCTGTTGTCCCATTTGTCGTATTCGTACTAGAAGGGCCACGAGACTTAGCGATCAGGGCGTCCCGAACGGCCTGCTCCTCGGGACTAAGACTCGCCGACTGAGATGTTTGCTTCGGTGCGAAGCGAGAACCGAACCTCGGGGCTGATTGTAAAGCGTCCGAGGAGCCGGCTGTTGGGTTCGATCCAGAGGTACTGGGAGCCTTTGCTATCAAGGCGTTCCGGACGGCCTGCTCCTCCAAACTGAGAGCCGCGGGCTGTGTTGTTTGCTGGCGCGCCCATCGAGATCCGAACTTCGACGCCGAGTTCTGGGACGTTGGAAATTCGGTTACGCCATCTGGATTACCGGAAGAAGAGTGTTCGGAGGAGTTGAGTCTAGAAAGGGCGGGGTGGAAGCATCGTCGCGGATGATAAGATACTGTAACATCTCGTAGTCGGGCTGTACCGGGCCAATCGACGGGACGACGACGGGAGAGCTGTGAAAGACAGGTCAGCAAGTTTCAAGCGGCAGTTGTATTATAATGGAGAGACATACCTGCACAATGGTCCGCCGTTGCATAGTTGGCGGCCTCTTGTCGTCGTTTTCCTCGGATGATCTCCAGAGCTCCGGCAAAGCGCAGGAAAAGAACCCAAAACTCCGCCGTGGCTCTGGTTTCCCGCCACCAACTCACGTGCAGCCCAATCAAAGGGCCTCATTCCTTGGTGCGGGCGCTGAGATGGTAATTCCTGATAAGCAGCTCATCTGGTCCAGTTCCTTGCAGGAGCCCTTTCTCTCGTTCGGTCTCTTTGGTTTCTAGTTCTGTCCTTGTGGTCAATTCCTTGTCACATCCTCAATTACTCAGCCACGAATTCAGGAACAGAATGGAGCCTCAAGAGATCTTGGAACACGAAGGAGGAGGCGCCCTGCGTACAATCAAGGATCTATCAGCGGGCGCGGCCGGTGGAATCGCACAGGTACTTCTTGGTATGTGAACTCCAAAAGGGCTCTTTCTGTTTTTTTTTTTATCTGCTCTTCTTCTGTCGCCCCTGCCCTGATTGACCGCAGACCCCCGCTCAAGAGTATTGTATTGAGAAACCCTAGTGCGGGGAATCAATTGCTATTGTCAAAAGCTCCAGTCTTGTATAAAGGTTGTCGCTAACATATGAACAGGCCAACCATTTGGTATATACTCCAATTCAGCATTGTCCCTACCACCTCTAACTTCTCAGATATCGTCAAGGTTCGACTTCAAACAACGACCCAATACTCGAGCGCTCTCGATTGCGCTTCCCAAATCCTGAAGAATGAGGGCCCCCTCGCTTTCTACAAGGGGACTTTGACACCCCTCATCGGAATTGGCGCATGCGTGAGCCCTCCACGACCACTTTCTCTACATCCACGCTCACATGCATTAGGTCAGTGTCCAATTCGGAGCCTTCCACGAAGCCCGCCGGCGGCTAGAGGAACTCAACAGGAAGAAATACGCCGACAGCACCCTCAGCTACGGCCAGTACTACCTCGCAGGTGGCTTCGCAGGAATCACAAACTCCGTCCTCTCCGGCCCTATCGAGCACGTCCGTATCCGTCTCCAGACCCAGCCCCACGGCGCAGGGCGCCTCTACAGCGGACCCCTCGACTGCATTCGCAAACTTACAAACCAGGGCGGTTTCGCTAAGGGCCTCTACCGTGGTCAAGCTGTCACTTACCTGCGTGAAATCCAAGCATACGGCGTGTGGTTCTTGGCATTCGAGTTTTTGATGAACCAGGATGCAAAGCGCAACAACGTCAAGCGTGAGGATATCTCTAGTATCAAGGTCGCGACATACGGAGGATTAGCGGGCGAAGCGCTTTGGCTATCTAGCTATCCGCTGGATGTCGTGAAGAGCAAGATGCAATGCGATGGGTTCGGCGCGCAGCAGCAGTTTAAGAGCATGAGAGACTGCTTTAAGAAGACGTACGCGGTGGAGGGACTTGCAGGTTTCTGGAAGGGTATCGGGCCGACTTTGCTGAGGGCTATGCCCGTTTCAGCGGGAACATTCGCTGTGTATGTTCCTCTATCCCAACGGGCTGACCGTGATTTGCTGACTTGTATAGTGTCGAACTTACCATGAGGGCTCTGGGTTAGACATATATACATATAGAACGGTTTCTTTTCAGTTTAGATATCCCATCGGCTTATTCAGCAATGAGGAAAAGTTCATCCTAGACCTCTCATACTTGTCACTAACTTTTACACCGCTGTTCGCAAATACTGCCCAGTCAGTATCTATATGATATAAAATAGTTTAGACCTCAAATAAAACCTATTCATACAATGTCCATACAGTATCTATACATACAAATCGATTAACTCCAAAAACAATAACGAGAGGACACACGTCAGTTCTCGAAGAAATCCTGTCCTTCAGCCTGCTGTGGTGCATCGCGTTGTACAGCTTTTTTCTCCATAGGCTTCTTAGCCTGCTGCAACCTCCTCTGGTGACCAGCCTCCCCAGCCCGTCCCAGAACACCCGCAATGAGAGCAATGGAACGCAGACTGTCATCGTTCGCGGGAATTGGGTACGTGAGTTTTGTGGGGTCCGCATCCGTATCAAGGACTCCAATTGTAGGGACATTGTTCAGCCCACATTCATGAAGCAATGGTTCATTCTCGAGCGGGTTGAGACAAACGACTAGATCCGGCTTGAGGATGGCTCGGTCAGCAAGTGACTCCTTGAGGTCCAATTGCTCCTCATCGATCGCGTTCACAACCTTCTGTTGGCATTTGCCGAGGATCTGCTCGCCGTTCGTCAGAGATCCCGGGATCCAGCGCTCGAAAATGTGGTAGCCGTGCGACAGTTCTGCCGCACGAACGACGATGCGTTTCTGGTCTGGCCGTGTGCCAGCAAAGAGAATCAGACCGCCACGGGCGGCAACTTCCTCAACGACCTTGGCGGCACGCCGAAGATAGGCGGCTGTGACATCGAGAGAGATAATATGGATGCCATCACGGATACCGTAGATGTAGCGCGCGTTCCGAGGGTTCCAACGGGAGGTGGTGTGGCCGAGGTGGGTTTGATTGGCGAGGAGGAGTTCGAGGGTTATGTCGGAGGGAGAGGGAGGGTTGCGGATAAGGTCCTCTGGTTTGTAGATCTTCGAGATTGAACTTCCGAGGCGCTGGAATTTTGAACCTAGGCAGGTGTTGGTAAGTTAAAACGGTAAGCTCGAAGAGACGAGTCCGACATACGTCGCTGAACTTCCTGCGAGACTTCCTTCTTTCGTGCTTCCCCGACGCGCCCAGAGCCCGGTTCTGATATGGGACGGTAAACTATTGTCTGAGCCGGCGTTGGTGTCTCTATCTTTGTCGACGAAAATCTTCTGGGAATGAAGGCCTGGCGGTTGAGAGCGAGAAGCTGGCGGCCTGGACAAGCCTGGATTAGCATGGAAATCCTGGGCCATTGGAATGCAGAAGCACCTACTTTGCCGCGCACATAAGTGTCGTACAATCATCTTTCAGTGTGGTTGAGGAGCGTTTCGTCTGATGGCGTTTCGCAGGAGTTCGTTTCTCCTGTCCGAACTTTTGATGCGGGCTTGGCATTATCTCAGGCAACAGTTGATGCCTGATCTGGCTACTCGGTACCTACTCCGTATATCTCCCCGATGTACTCCGTATACTCCGCATCGTCTTTACCATACCACAAGCTTTTGAACTTGATTCCAAATTAGAATAGTGCGTGACTTGTGTTTATTATGCATGACACTTAAAACTCGAATATATGTTAGAACTTGCGGCTGTATGCCATTAGTTATAGGATGAATCCTCGCTCGACCATTCAATTCTTCCCTAACTTTTACAACCGATGGAAACCAACGACACCGACAACTGGTCAATTACCTATCTTTGCCAGCACATTGTCTTGCCACTCTTGTTCAGGCAGCACAGTGGAATAAGCAAGCTCGTAAAGAGTCTTGACTATTATCTATACAAAATTATGGTCGCCGTGACAAAATAGTCAGCAATGGCATAACCCCGGTCTTGTCCGACAACAACATAAAGGAGCAAAATGACAGATAATCACAAGACCCCCTTCTGGTAGCAAGATTCCCTGTCCAACGTCTTTCTCGCAACGATGTTACAAATTGTCCAACTCCTCGAAAGTTCTACATCCCTTTTACCTGCTGAACTACATCAGGCGCGCGGACAAGAAGATACCTTATTACACCGATTCTTTGGCTTCATCGAACATTGATTTCAGATCATGGTTCCGTGCAATAATTCATTGAGGATTCTATTTCGTGGGTGGTGAGGGTTTCAGTGGTCGGGTTCCAAAGCGCCTTGAGTTCGACGAGCTCTACCTGGACCATCTTCTTCCGCGTGAGATTGCCCTAATTTACTGTTTACTCCAGGGCTCGCAGGATGAAGGGATCATGCACGTGAACGAGAACATGTCTTCCAGCATGTCTTCAGTCCTCCGCGTCTCTCAAAATAGAGAGGTGGATAAAATCCATGTCAGTGACTTCTACAAAGTAGCCCCTGGCGAGTTCTCCCATACTACCTGTTGAGATACAGACCTGAAAGCCCAGACAACGGCGAACATCATTGAAGTGTGTATGAATCCATGCACAGGGTTTATTCTAGACCCCTGAATTGGCGAAGCTACCTCACCGGAGGCCAGATTATAAGAGAAACATTGATGCCTGACTGGTGCTCTTACGTTGGCTACCATCTGGGTTCCTCCAGCCTGCTACCATATGGAAGTCTTGCCACGCCATGTCTGATCAGTAACAGTCAGGGCTATCTCGATGTCTATGTAGAAGATTGCTATGATGCAGATCTTCAGTCTCGACCGGCTGATGTAGCGAGATGCGAATGGCCTCGTATTTAACAAAAAGCGCTCAATGGCATCACTTCAGCCGCGCCAGAGGGTGTAGAGCGGAGTGTGGAGTCCACGCGGAAGAATTGGGATCCGTTGAAGTTCAGATATGCCCAACAGGGGGTCATAACAGAGAGGCTCGTGTGCCACATGGCTTTACAGATGGTGATAGCGGATTGAGCAATCATCACTGGCAGGAGCTAAAAAGCCTCGATACCATGGCCATGGACGAGCCCCGGTCTCGAATTTTCCGGCAAAGGCCCATGACCATGACGCTGAATTCTTGTGATGAATGTCAGAGATATATTGGTGTACACTGTGTGAGGATGTGCAACTCGGCGCGAAGCAAGTTCCATGTCCGGATGCTACAGTCCGTCTTGAGTCTCTCGTGAAGGCTGGGCAGTGATCGCGTGGTTATATTGCTTGCAGGGCACGCCAAGGGGTTCGGAATGAAGGAGCGAGGCCGCGAGAGCGGGTAGTACTCCGTACAACAGGATAGGCATAAGCCACTGGCAGGCATGGTTTTGATAGAAAAGTCCGTCTGGGCGGAGGCACACGGTGTAACGTCTCTGCCGTTGTGATTAGACCCGAGTACCACCGTTACACGGTCACCTCGTCGCACAACTATCACCCCATACTCTTGCTGCGCTGGTAGATTCGCCCAAGGCATCTGGCCAGTCGCCAGCACGGTGCAATAGATGAGGAACCATGTCTCATCCAAATCGCCCCAAGAAAGCGAAGTTCATTAATCCTACAGTTAGATTATTCGGCTGACACCCGATCAGCAGAAATGGAAATACCAGACGCGAGCGAGACGTAATTCTGCCCCTGGTTCGGGCCACCGTGAAACACAGTTGTATTTATCAATGCGACTCTGAGTGTCCATCAGCAAAGGCCCACTCGTCTTCCTTTTTCAATTTGAGGCTCGCCGGCTCCGCTCGAGAAGGAACCGATGGCGAAGCTTTAGTGCAGGTGGTGATGGCTACTGGGCAGGACGCCCGTCCATGGCCGATAATCCTGATCCGTGATAGAGTCAAAGCTCAATATCATAGCATGAACTCCTTACCTGATGCAGCAAAAACATATCAAATATGGGCGTTGCCCCGAGCGCGTTGGAGTGGAGGACAAGGTAGCAGTGCACAGTGTTGTCTCCACAAGCCCATTCTTCCGCATTGTCTGTAATTACAGTACATGACCGATATCGCTCTGATCATCATTATCACAATTGATGGAGAATGGAGGGATGGATTCTCTGATCTGCCTCCTGCGTTTCTTCCTCCTTCTCCTCGCTCTCTGCATGAATTCCATACTGCAGTCTGACAAGTGAAGACTGGACACGCGTGATCGGTGATCCATGCCTCCAGAGTCTGAGCCGTCAATCTTGCACAACTTGACGCAGGCCGGGGAATGATCGATAATACGACTACTAATAGATACGACTCCCTGCTACGACGCCGAACATCCACTCTAGCCACTATCAGATCTTGCTCGCAGTCTCAGCCCTTGCTCAGTTTCTAGTTCAACAGACGAGACACCTTCACTCCGCTCCCTGCGAGACCGTTTCAACCTCCATTATTATTATTGACTGTGGACAGCGGACACATCATTTTCTCGCTATCTCGCTGACCCTCCCTGAGTCCCACTGGTGTTAGCGTTACCTTGAGTCTCAGTCTGCACTCCTACTTATAATCCAGCATTCGAGACCCAACGATTTGCTATCTCTGCTGCTGTGTCCTGCATCTTGGGTGTTTTTAATCTTCCGAATACCCGTCCTCATGGCTTTTTGAATCATCCCCATGCACTGATAAGCTTATATCAACTTTCTGTCGACCACCAATCTTACTTGCATACAACAACCTTGGGTGACTGTGCTTGACTCTGATTGGCAAGATCGCCCGACACTCAACCATGTCGAGCCCTCTAGCCAAGGTCCTGCATAGGATGCAGGCGCTCTTCTCGAATATCGTCGCCGCTCTGGAGACTATGCTATTGCTTCCGTCGCTATTCCGTGATCCCTCGCGCCGAGGAGGAAAGTCAACTCATGCAGCTTTCTGGCGACGACGGGCCCTCGACGCCTTTGCCGACGAGATCGACATCGTCTTTTCCAAGCCTTTGACTCTGAGAAATATGCTTACAATGTCTGAGAAGATCCGCGAGCAGTTCAGGATAGGTCTAGCCTCCAGTCCAATCAACATGCTGCCATCTTATAACCATGCTCTACCGTCTGGACTAGAGAAAGGCACATTTCTCGCTCTTGACGTTGGCGGTTCAACGATGCGAGTGGCGTTGATAGAACTGCGGGGACAAGGACAGATGGAAGTCCTCCGTGTGTCCTCGTCACCAATTGACAACCAAGTGAAGTTGTTGAAAGGCACTTCGTTCTTTGACTGGATGGCCGGAAAGATCGAAGAGATGCTTCTCGAGGTGGGCACCAACTACGGGCGTGAAGCGACCCCCATTTCCATGGGCTTGTCATGGTCTTTCCCAATCGAGCAGACTTCCAACAGTAGTGGATTGGTCATCCATATGGGCAAAGGCTTTCAGTGCTCCATGGGAACTGTCGGGCAGGAACTAGGAGCCCTTATAGTTCAGTCATGCCAGAAGCGTAGCCTCAATGTCCGAGTGGACGCTATTGTCAACGACAGCTCCGCCACATTGCTCTCTCGGGCCTACGTCGACCCCGCAACACGCATGTCTCTCATTCTCGGAACCGGGACGAATGTGGCCATACATTTCCCTGTTCATGCTGTTGGGCTCGGCAAGTTTGGTACAAGGCCAGCTGGCTGGTTCAACTACGCTAAGCATGTCATCATCAACAGTGAGATGAGCATGTTCGGTGGTGGGGTTTTGCCGATGACACGATGGGACGACATCCTCAACTGCACGCACATGAGACCTGGCTACCAACCACTAGAGTACATGGCCACGGGACGTTACCTAGGTGAGATCGTGCGACTCATTATTGTCGAGGCAGTGGAGGCTGCACAACTTTTCGGAGGAGAGCTACCTCATTCGATGCGAGATGCCTATTCATTCGACACCAGCATTGTTGCCTTCATTGAAGCCGATTCATCGCCGTTCCTTTCCTCATCAGCCACTCTTCTCCAAAAGGAGCATACATTCTCTAGCGCCCCATCCCCAGAGGACATGCAATTCCTCCTGCGAGTCTGTCGAACCGTTTCCAAGCGGGCAGCAGGATATCTTGCTACCGCGATTCACAGCATGTGGTGCCTGCGCAACGAAGCCGAGTCCCCCGACATTTCTTCATCGCCATCACTCAAGGAGCCTCGCGAGGTAACAATCACAGAGAGTGGAAGCAACCCCAATTGCCTGTCCATCGCGTGCGACGGCAGCGTCATCAACAAGTACCCCGGGTTCAGAGATCGCTGCCAGACTTACCTCAACCAGCTGACGCGGGAGACAAACTCGTCCATGGGTTTGCAGATCTCGGACAACGGTCCATGCATACGACTGGAGCCTGCTCCTGACAGTGCCATTGTGGGCGCAGCTGTTGCGGTTGCAGTTGCAGTGGCTGAGAAGCCCGAATAGGCGATATTGTGAGATTTAGATGCGCCGAAAATTGGGAATATTTTGCATTGAACGGTGTTAACTGAGCTGGGGCTGCGTCGATATTATGCATGTTATGTTTCTTTATATGCATTTCATCTGAGTGTGGTGTTTCAGAGTGCTTGCTCGCATACGTGGCTCGAAAGAGCATTGGTCTCAGGGGACAGATAGAGGTAGCACCTTGTGTACATAATCATAATTCATATGAGACTGAAACCACAATAACCGCCTCTTGCAATGTATAAAACTTAGTTGGTATTCGGGCAGGCCGTTGTACGCATTCGTATCGGGCGACTGAATGACCCCTCCAGTCTGGCGTGGTGCTTACAGCATCTCCTCGTTCAGCATGAGAGGGCTCATTCTTTGCAGAGATCCTGCAGTAACTCCAACATCCGCTGTTGAAAAGCCGTCAGTTCATCCACAGACAACCGGCTTTGTCTATCTGGCGTATCTGGCCCGTGTTGATGATTCTGCTTATTTGCGTCGCTCGCAATAAGACCTTTGCTGATGCAGAAGAACGGTACCTCCAGAGCTTTCAGCTCAACCAGCATAGCGTCAGCCATCTGCTTTGACGCCCTGTACACTTTGATATCGTAGCTGTGAACCTCAGCGATGTCTTCTTCGGCCGTCTATTGCTGTTAGTTTTGTACTGGCAAGTAAATGAGATTTGTGGCTTACAGAAACATCCTTCTCCTCTACCGGAGCGCCAATGGAGCGTCTAGTAGTACCAAGCCATATTAGAGACAAGCCAGTAAGAATGAACAGAAGAGGTTCCTAAATGAGTCTCTTGAAGAGCATGGCAAGATGAGACATACAAAACCTGATCTAACTCCCTCTTCTTCTCCTTTCGTGCGCTTTGCTTCTGCACCAGTGCTTCACGTCCCTTCCACCACTGCCTCTCATGGTCGTGCTGCCGCTGGATGAGGAAGCGGATGCGGCGCTGAATGTCCTCATTTTGGGCAACGGTTCGCATGACTTGTCTGAGAGCCGCGGGCCATGTTGTGATTGAAGATGAGGGTTCTCTGTTTTGGGATTGGGACTGGGCCTGGGCCTGGGATGACGGTGGTGATGATGAAGGAGGTTGTCTGGGATACTGAGGTTGTGCTTGGGGTACAGGGAGAGGTTGAACTGGTGGTGGTTCGTAGCTGTTATCAGCTTCAATAGCATGGTTCTGATTGGAGAATGCGGAGAGGGTTCTCAGGATGGAGTTGAGGTCGGGTGCGTTATCTTGCGACATTATATGCTTGCAAATACTGACTGGATTATCCAAACGGAGTCAATTCGAGATTTCGCAATATCATGCTAGATAGATGTAGGTATAGATAAAGGTCCAGAGGAGTGGAGTCTTGGCGGCCAACCGTGGAAGACGCGGCGGTCATCCCATCGCCGGCTGAAAATTTCCCGGTTCAAGTCCTCCAACAACATCATAGCTATCAACCCTGTCCCAACGGCGGTCTCCTCCATACATTATTTCTATGGTCAATCACACACGGATTTAATTGGGCCATAAAGATTTCTTCTACCTGCTATCTGCTCTCTCCGCTCCCCCGTCTTCCCCTTCCGGCCGCATCACACCATGTCCCGATCCGCCGCAGACGCAACCCGGTTCACGGCCACAGGGCCCTACGCCAGCTCAAAGCCCAGCAGCATACCTTACAAGCTCCCCGGGTCCTTAGCGGGCGAGTCCAAGCAGCAGAACAATGGGTCTGGACCTGGGCCAGGGAACAGACAGGAGACGCCCAGGGAGAAGGTCGAGCGGCTGCGAGCACAGGCACGGGCGGCCCGGTTAGCGCAGTCGACCTCGCGGATGGACACGGTGGTGGAATTCGGAAGATGGTTCGCGAACAAGGCGCATAAGACCATGGTCTACACGCTTATCACCGCGTCCGGTACGTCTACTCCTTGACTTGGTTCATTAGATGCAGAGGCACCTTCGCAAGCCGTATTACCGGATTGGACAGGCAGATCAAAGGATGCTAATGGGCCTATAGGCATCTGCGGCGTGCTCACTGTCTACTCTATGGTCTCCCTTACGCTATACAACCGTCGCCAACGCGCCCTGTGGATCGAGAAGGAATTGCAAACACTCCACGATGCCCAGGCGGCATTTGTGGCCGGAACCGCAACGTCAGAGCAATTGGAGATTTTGAAGAAGGAGAAGATCGGCGAAATCTACCAGCAGAAAAAGGAAGAGGAGAGGGCTCAACGGCCATGGAACAAAGTCAAGGCATACATGCTAGGCGGATTGAAGAACGAGGAGGCTCCCTCACCAGAAGCCGCCACGCCAAGTGCGGAAAGCAATAAGCCTAAGGTCCTAGACGCCATCAAGGCCGCTGAATCCAAGCTGGAACATGCTCCCTCAACTGCTGCTGCCCCTGGACAGCTGGATGTTCTTGCTGAGAACGCAGAGACAGCTGCCAAGCAGACAACAAAAAGCTGGAAGAGCTGGCTCACCGGTCGGTGAGTCGCGAGCCGGAAAACAAAAAGACGATACGATTTGAAGATTCGAAGTATAGATTGTGCCCCGGGCGTCCCACTCTCAGCTGCCGCCGGGATCACCGCCTCGACAGAGTTCGCCTGTCCCGGGCTAGCCGTTTCCTTATTGCATCGCATCCGGTGTCATCTTCCGTCTCTGTTGTAGTTTACCAACTCGGGTTGCGGCGTCCTCTGGTGTCTTTGAAGCTCGAACCTTGTACTTAATACTGGGTTCGTTTTATGTTGATGTACATATACAGTCTCTCATCTTGGTTAGAACTACTCTTTCAAGTGAAGTATGCCTTGCCCTAGTCAGAATCAGATCCGTTGGGCCGTAAGGCTGTCGGAAGTCGGCAAATCCCCGGACCCTCGAGTCTGGTAATCTCGTTGCCTGCTGTAATTCCGGGCTGGCCCAGCGGCTGCTGAGTCTGCCTTAGCCACATCCGAAATCAACGGTAATCCGAATGGAAGCAATGCGGAAGCTTTTCCAATAACCTCAAAAGATTATACGGAATAGCCGGGAGATATTAATAGAGGCGCAGCATATTTCCATTGTCCGTGATCATTATTCTTGACAATCGAGTCCGGAGTCTGGACACTGCGGTGGCACGAGTTATGGCTGAGCTACTGTGGCTGGGGTGGCGGGGCATTAGGTATTACGTACCCGTGACATGCCCAGTAACGCCACGCAAATTATAGGACATGTCCAAATGCTGGAGATTGGTCGCGCATTGCTTCCAAATGCAAGCATATTACGGAGTACTGCGTATTGCGTGAGATTTCGCACGAGAGAGGAGGCGAAATCTCCTCACTTCCTGCAGGCGATAGAATCTCCTGTGAGCTTACCATATCAAGAAGGCACAAGGCACACCCGTGCTGGTGATCCCAGCCAGTTGGCTGGCTGACACAAGTTCTCAGCCCTGCAAGTGAGGGGCGGAAAACGGCAGCCTAGCCGCGGTGGATTTGGATCGCTGAGCTGCTGCGCCTGTTTGATGACGGTAATTTAGACATGGTCTCGGCGCCTGGTCTGCCCTTTTCCAGCGCTGGCGGGGTTGTTCACGAGTCGGGCTAACATCTTGCAACAGTATAAAAGGACCTGGATCCCCGCGGCTCAGAGTATCCTTTTGCATCCACCACTCCTCACTTTACTTTTCAAGTAACAACACTACACCTCCAAACTTCTTAATCACAAACTATCTTCATACCACATCTTCACAATGTCTGGACCTTACGATCACAACCAAGGCTACCAAGGCTACTATGGCCAAGGTCAAGGCCAGTACCAGCAGGGCGGATATGCTCCCCAGCAGGGCGGATATCCTCCTCAACAATACAATGAGGGCGGTTATCCTCCCCAAGGCGGCTTTCCTCCTCAACAATACAACGGCTACGACCAGGGCGTCCATCAGCACGGTGGATACCCCCAACAACATGATCAGCAACGCGCCGCTTCAAACGACTACTATGGCCAAGAGCAACAGCAAGGACATTACGGGCAGCAAGGACATCACGGGCAGCAGCCTCAGTATGGCCAGGAAGCTCCCGGCGACGCCCAAGAGGGCGAGCGCGGTCTCGGTGGTGCCGTTGCTGGTGGTTTAGCAGTAAGCCTCTCTTCACTTCTTCTTATTTTACATACCAGATCCGTCTAACCACATTTATAGGGAGCATTTGGCGGTCACAAAGTCGGTCACGGAATACTCGGCACAATTGGTGGCGCCATTGTGGGCAGTCTAGCTCAGGATGCGCTGAAGAAGAAGGACCACAAGGACGAACACCAGAACCAAGGGTACTACGGTGACCAGCACTCTCAATACGGCGGCTCTCAACACTCCGGCCACTCCTCAAAGTTGACCGACCAGCTCGGCAGCTTCTTCAAGAAATAAGCGATGAAGCTTGTCACGGCCGCTTGACTCTCCTTTGCTAGTACTATGAGGTTATGATTGTGCATTACACCTACTCGCTTTTATTCTCATCGTTTGTACTTGTCGCCTGGGCTTTTAGAATATTGGGACTCGGTCGGTTTTGTGGTTTCTTCCTGCTCATGATACACTGTTGTGCATTATTTTTATGATACCGATGCTGTTTAGAGACTGAAGAATGTTATCATTCAAGCCTCAACTTGCCAATGCTCATTGTAAAGATGTAGAAGCGCTTTTCCGCAGCTTAAGCGCGTGATATCGCTCGGTGGCGTTCATGAGAACCACGGATGATCTGCTGTTTGCCGGTCGATCACGAGCATATGTCATGAGGTTCTAAAAAATGGACACTATTGTCCAAAATATGAGACGCTTACTATTGATTAGGTCTCCAAAGACATACTTAATTCTTCCATTCTGAATGGCGGGCGCACTGCGGTCCTTTTAAATTCCCTCCAGGCAGATATACTAGCCCTATAACAGCGATCGCCCACATAACACGGACACATCCGATACATCAGTATCTATCGTCTTATGTTAACTACGGAACTTTAGTATATACGTACCCTCGAAACAGGCAAGTCGGGAGAGATCCCTGTGACTACGTGGCGTACTATCAGTCCATAAGTCTGTTGACTACCCTAGGGTCAGTCCACTGTATGTGGTGGTTTTCCACCGAATAGCAACACAATATAGTAGTCCGGCCACAAAGCCGCCCTTACATCACCCACCGCCGGAGTACTTGCAAGCGGAATCACGAGAACTTTAGTCCTGCCAGAGGTCGCTGTGGCTGCTGTCGACGTATGTCTTAAGGGTTCTAGGCGCAAAACTGAACCGCAGTGAAGTTGACCTAAATGATACTGACTCTTCCAGCTCAATATTGTCGGTTTCGAAGTCGGCTACGGTAAATAGAACACGCTTGCGAGCGTAATGACTTCTTCTCACCAGTGACTGGCAATCGGGTACACTGTTGAGGTCTGAGAGACCGGCTGTAGGTATTTGGAAGTACTGGGATGCCCCGCCGAGTCCAACTGCAAATTTATGGTCAAATTTCGGGTCTGGGACATTGTCGTAGTGACTTAATCTATAGAGTCTATACCGGGTTACTGGTATCTTGGGATAAGAGCCTGCAGTACGAGTTCATGCATACAGGAGCCTGGCGTAGTCATGTACAGGTTCCGAGGTTGTATCAGGTCACTCCAATCGCAGTTAGCCTACATAATAGCCCTAACTGTGCTGTGATATTGCTACCTAGGTGGGCATAGTCATCATCAGTGATGCTGCAAAGACAGTGAGTGGCCTTACTCCCAGGCATCTCCCCAACTACTTTCCATTCGATATTGAACTTGGGAAAGACGGCATTCGGAATACTTACTTTCCCACTAGACCGACGGCTCCGTGAACCCTTAGGGTAACTGGGCAGCTGGATAACCCCCGAAATGATGGCCATGGCAAGGTATACGGCAGTGGTTGGGAAGCATACACTGCTGACGAGCCTCATGGAGGCGGGAATTGCTACAACCGGATACTGTTTGTCCACTCCGAGATGACCTCCCACAGTTGTCCGGTCAGGGGTACGGCAAGCCCAAAGGCTACTACCAAGGCTGTCCGCCTGGGACGATATTTTTCGCCAAAACACTCATATCTGAGGTGCAAGGACAGAGTGCCAGCCAACGAATTGCGAGCAAGACCGCGAAGCCCTCGGCCAATTCACCCAGCTTCCCTTGTCAAATACCTATACCCTGCCTATAATCAATACCCACCTGTCTTGATAGTCACTGCGCTGCGGTTACGGCCATGGCCTATAGCACTTTATATACTTAGTACTAGTACAGAGAGGTACTAAAGATTCTATTCTTGTTTTATCAGTTACTTCATATACTTATAGGCCTTGGGCCATGTCTAATTTATAGCAGTTACTTCATGTTATGGACATGGTCAATAGAATATATTGCTTATAACATGGATACCCCGACAGGTGAATCTTCCTTATATGCAGCAAGAGGATGTATAGTGCTTTATATACTATAGTTTGAAGAAGTATTTATAATTCTGTCCTTATTTTATTGGTAACTTACATGCTTACAGGCTTTGGACCATGGCCCATTCATATAGTTACTTTATGCAATGGACATGGTCGATAGATATATTGCTTATAACATGGATACTCGGATAGGTGGATCTTCCTTATATGCAGACGAGATGTATGCAGCATTCGTGCTAATCAGGAGTAGGGACTTATAGTCAGTCGTGTTCTCACAATGCTCCAGTGATTATCAAACTTTGTGGGCAGATCAGGTGCTATGGACGTGGTGACGACCAAGTGACGTCACATACCGTACCCAACTCCACATACAATGAAGTCGGATCTTGAGCATTGTAGAGACAAGACATCCATCAATCCACGTATATCATCAAAATGCCATCCACAAAAGTCCAGGACAAGAACGGCGAAGAAATCAAGGAGGGAGACTATGTCTTCACGAGAATTCGCGGCGGTTCGCATCATGGAAAGGTAGACCTCAGCTTCATCCAACCCTGAACCAAATAATTCTACTTTACTGTTGCACTTGCACCTTGCTTGCACCATCAAACGAGGTTGCGAGGTGGATAGAAGAGCTAGACTCTTCAAGTCGGGAACTTTCTCCGCATTCCTGAGCCCCATACTCCATGGCAATGCGGAGTAATTGACATCGGCAACAGGTCGAGAAGATAGTCACCGACCAGGCTGGAGCCGAGCAGGAAGATGTCAAGAATCCTCCCAAGGTATGGACCTCATTGTACCGGTATGTTCATGGCTTGCCTCGCTGAGTACGTTTCTGGCAGGTTATCTACAGCGACCAGCATGGCCATCGAGTCGCGCATAATCCGGGCACGTTGGAAAAGACGCAGCCGGAGGAATGAGCGCTCTACTGAAACCGGTTGCGGGGGTTTTCTGTATGCTCGTGCATTTAATGTTTACTGGTAATTGTACTGATACTCTAATTGACCCGTCTGATTATGTATCTCCCACACAAGGTTACGGTGATTGTCTACAGTGAAGCACTACCGAGGACGCATCATTTACGCCTATGAAGACTTATCTTGTGCACTACAGAGCAGCATGTAGTCCAGTTAATTTGTATACTGGGTCAAGTATAACCCTGGGCGGACGTAGGGCTCACCCATGGACAGATTTCGTCGGAGGCGATTCCGATTAAGATCACGGCCATGGCCGTAATGGATAATGAGAGGGCACCTAGACAATCGAGGGCGAACGGATCTGAAACAACCTTAATTTTTGTGAAGTATACAGTTTGGGTACACTATCACCTCTATCACGCTGCACAGGTACCGGGTTTAAACCCTACACTAAATGACTCGAGAGCCTGATTCATGCCGTTCATCTTAAACTAATAGAAGCTTGCCCACATAGAAAATTTGTCTATCCTGATGATCGTGGGCTCACGGAATCACTTCGTATGATGGGCACAGCCAGCGCCATGACTCGCAATATGGCGGGGTGTTGGGCCTCCAACTGGTCCAAGACTTCAGAGAAAAACGTGCGGCTAATGCAAGCAGCCAGGTGAGAAAGCACTGGCTGGTTCAAGCTAAACCATGGTTCACAGAGGCACATCCAAGCTTGAAAGAGGGTATAACCCTGAAGATCCTCCTTGTCAACGTATCAGTCACAGCCCCAAAGGAGCAAACGCCATGGACTCGTCAATGATATTCAGGTCCTCATGAGAAATATTTGTATCTATCCAATTATTTTCAAGCATTGATGTTCAAAAATGGCTTGTAGACTACCAAAACCTTTGTTCATCCACGAAATGTGGATCTTCCAGGTGCCCCATAGATGTCGAAATCCTGTTTTCGCCGGGCTAGACGACTCAGCGCATAAATATAGGCCGCTGCCCTGCTTTGACGGATCTCAATCTCTCAGCGGTCTTTCAGGTTCAAGATGAGAGTTCCTGCACTCGTTGGTGCTGTGTTGGCGCATGTCATAATCGGGTCAGCCAGCCCAGTGGCTTCTGCTGCAGTTCAGCGCGATAACCAGAAGCATGACCTAGCTTCAATCTTCTCCCTAGCTGCCGTTGACCCTTCCGTCGAGGACAACGGGCTATTATCGAATGCCGTCGGTGCTATTCTAAATGGAGTCACAGGGGGTAAACATCGGAGCGACGACCAAACAGTCGAGGAAGCGTGGGAAACGATTCAGGTTGCAGTCGACGGGAAGACCAACTTGCTCGACATCGTGGTCAGCCTCGCACTAGCACTTCCAGGCGACATCTTGAACCTTCTGAACGGGTACCTCGATTTCGAGCTGAACTCCGTTGACAACAAGAACGCCCCTCTGACGAAAACGAGTATTTACCCATCCAAAGCCGAGGGAGACGCGCCTTATTCTGTCAGCGAGGAAGATCTCAGGACGGCGATATATATACCAGAGACGTTCCAGTACGGAAAGAATGGAAAGAAGCCGGTGATCCTCGTGCCGGGAACTGCAGTTCCTGGGGGCCTGACCTGGTATTACAGCTTTGGCAAGCTGGCAGATGCCGTGCCCGAAGCGGACGTGGTCTGGCTCAACATACCGGGGGCTTCTTTGGCAGATGTCCAGGTTAACGCCGAGTACGTTGCATATGCAATCAACTACATCTCTGCAGTCTCCGACACCAACGTTGCTGTCCTCTCGTGGTCCCAGGGTGGCCTGAATATCCAGTGGTCGTTCAAGTACTGGCCATCAACGAGAGATGTGGTTGATGATTTCATCGCCATCAGCCCCGATTTCCGCGGTACAGTGGTTGCGGATGCGGCGTGCCCGCTACTCTCCGGCATTTATTGCACACCCGCGCTCTTCCAGCAGAGATACGAGACGACATTCATCGAGGTCCTAAGAGCAGACGGAGGAGACTCGGCATATGTCCCCACGACCACTCTTTACTCCTCCTTCGACGAAATTGTGCAGCCGCAGAGTGGCGAGAACGCTTCTGCGATACTAAATGATGCTCGGGGAGTCGGCGTGACTAACAACCACGCGCAGACCGTCTGTGCTGGGCAGCCTGGCGGCGGTGTATACCTGCACGAAGGAATGTTGTATAACCCCCTATCATGGGCCCTGGCCGCGGATGCTCTCCGCCACGATGGACCTGGAGATGTCTCCCGGATTGACACTGAGAGGGTGTGTGCGGATATAATCGCACCGCAGCTCGGTGTGGATGATTTGCTGGGATCGGAAGGGCTTCTGCTGGTCGCCGTCGCAGAACAAATGGTGTTCGATCAGAAACCATTCAAAGAGGGTCCGATCGCAAGCTACGCTCATGATCAATGACGGGAAAGACTTAGTTCTTCCTTGTGACGGTTCAGTGTGGACGTAATATCTGTGTAAATAGTGCAAGTAATATTAATAGTAGAGAAGCAGCAAGGACCTGCTCCATAGTACTTCGTATGATAACGGAATTTCTGGTGCCGCGTAGTGTTGAGCTTAAGTGAGATACGCTCAAGGAGTGGATCGCTTCGTCATGTAGGGCTGTGATTTCGCAATCTTATGATCTTCACTTCAAGACTTTAAATGCCACCTCACTTGCCAGGACTCAAATTCAAGCCTCCAGAATGACAGCAACCGAAGAGCTGTCGTCGAGAGGCTGTCACGTGGCAGCGTCTGCGTAAACTCTGGCCGCCCTGCAAAGCGTCGTCACTTGTTGCAGATCCTGAAACAGCTGAGTGTTTGATTATCTGATGATCTGTGACTATGAATTCACAAGAAACAATGCAAGCCGATATTGTTGCGGAAGCTGTCCTGGCCAAACCTCTTCGGCCAAGCTGGACTCTGAGGTTAAGAAGCAGGAAATGATTCATGCAACCAGTTATCCCTCTCTACTCGAAACTCTTGAACCTCGTGAGCATCTGAGCCGGAATTCAAGCAACAAACGGTGAGCTAATCGCCACAATAATCTTGATGGATCCAACCCCTGATCCGTGATTCCGTAGGGCCTAGGCTAACTGCAGGGCTGTCATTTGCCGGTCAGAGAACAGCCCCGGACGGCACGGTTCGCTTCGTATAGTGTGGACACGTCTACGAGGCCTTCCAGATCACAGCTCTGCCTTCGCCATATAGAAACCAGGGAGTTATGTTCCAGATTCAAGAACACTGGGCCATGGCCCATAACTCCGAGTCCGAAGTCGCAAACGAGTCTCAGTAGTGGGGATCGCGCACCCTACTACGTATGCTCCGGCAATTCGGCTCCTGTCGACTTCGCTTCGCTATTCTCTTCTCTGAAATGTCAATTGAGTCAAGAAGGCAAGGACCGCGGTAGCCTGTCTCCTCAAACGGCTGAAAGGGTGATGTTGCACATCTGAGAAACACCGGTCACTGCAAGCCGAATACGATTCTTGATACAATTCTCGTTCAGGTTGTCAAAACTGGCATTGCCAGCTCCACTCAGGATGTCGTCGCCAAGACCGTCCGCCCCATCCGATCGTCAGCTTCATATCAGCGCTTGCGTTGTCACTGGCCACTTTTTTTATGCGGAGATTGGTGCTGCGACTCTGCGAGCGCGGAGGCTTACTCCGTAGTCGTTTCTCCTTTCCTGGCTTCTTCGCTTTCGCAACCTCTTCTTCTTCGGCAACACCCTGTTCTTTTCTGAAGAGGTTCAGCAGGAACGCTGGGTCTTCGTTTTCTTTCCTCTACTCATTTCTCGGTTTGGAGGCCGTACTGAGTGGACGACCAGACCATCTTAAATGACCTAATTGTTGGCGGTATAATTTCGTGTCTATATTACATTTTCCTTGGGAGGACTCCTTCCTAGCCACTCATTCGATATGCTTTTCTCATCGATCTTATTGTCTCTGGCCTTTGGCCATGTCCTTGCCGACGCTGGAGACGACGATGACTTGATGTCTTTCGTCACGGTACGAATAGTGACTCTTATAGTGGCTCGCTTGCTAACTTCTCCAGCTTCCAAAAGTACGAGCACTGAAGTTTGATATCTCCTACCATGAACGGGAGGCTGTAGCCCCCGGTGAGCCTCTTCCTCAATCTGTCACCTTGAGAACAGAAACAATCCGCTAACAGTGGTGCAGGGTACTGGTTTGTTGCACCTTACGGCATCATCGAACCTGAAATTCCTACTAAGCAATGGATACCATACCAAGTAGTATGTTACGCTCTCAGGGTAAGGGAGCCTTCCTCTGATTACTAATGTGTGGATATAGGGACCATATATATACGATGGAGATGGAGTAAGTACCATGCATTCAAGCCCTAACTTCAACTGACGTTGTAGGTATTAATCTGGGCTGGATCTCCCATGTTTGACAACCGGAATGCTTTCGACTTCAAAGCGGCCAACAATATAGACGGTGAATCTCACCTCTCGTTCATCTTGCAACATCAGTACCATGATGACGGCACCGACAAGGGTTACGGTTACATTTTGGATCAGCACTACGAACAGGAGTACAAGGTTGGCGTTGTCAACGACCTGAGCGCATTTAATATGCATGAGTTCAATGTCCTCGATGGAGGAAAGACTGCTCTTGCTTGCCTCTACAAATCCGAGTACTCAGATTTATCTGCGCTTGGTCGACCCCAGGATTTCAGCTGGATCATTGCTGGCGGCCTGCTAGAACTCGACACAGAGACAGGCGAGGTTCTGTTCGAATGGAGCTCATTGAACAACGTCCTTGTCGACGAGTCGGTGAAAGTTTACCCCAATTCCTACCCTGCTGACCGGCCAGGTTGGGACTATATCCACGTCAACTCAGCAGACAAGAACTCGGTGGGGGATTACCTGCTGTCAGCACGATTCGCCAACACGCTCTACTACATCTCCAAGGAGGGCAACATTGTCTGGCGGCTGGGCGGTAAACACGGCGATTTCGACATGGACTTTACCTTTTCAAAGCAACATCATGCTCGGTTTATCGAGTCTAACGGAACGCACCATGTTATTTCGTTCATGAACAACGCCTCGGACGAACTGGAGGCTGAGGAGGACGTCTCGTCCGCACTCTACGTACAGCTTGACACCACTGTTTCTCCAATGACCGCGAGGGTAATCAAGCGCATTACCCGACCTGATGGCGGCCTGACTCGGTTGCGTGGTAATGTGCAGACTCTGCCCAACGGCAATACCTTTGTTGGCTGGAGTGAGCGCGGCTACCACAGCGAACATGGTCCAGACGGCAAGCTCCTGATGGAGGCCAAGTTCGTCTCCACGCGCCTCTCCTCGTACCGGTCATACAAATTCCCCTTCACCGGACGACCAAAGACGCCGCCAGATGTGGTTGCATCCGTATACGGCACGGACCGAACAGACATGACCACTATCTTCCATGTCAGCTGGAATGGTGCGACGGACATTGCTTCCTGGCGTTTCTATGCGCGGTCTTCAGAGGATGGCCTCGCGGTACCTGTTGGAAACACGACTAAGACCGACTTCGAGACGATGTACATCGCCGACGGATACCTGGACTGGGTCTCCGCAGAGGCATTGGACAAGGACGGCAACGTTCTAGGCAAGTCTGAGGACCAAAGGACACAAACACCCAGCAACTGGCGACTCGCCGGTTTTCAGGGAGGCGAACAGCCAAACCCGGACGACCCGTCAGTCCTGCACTCGACAAAAGAGGAAGAGCCGGACGTGGGAGAAGAAAAAGAAGCGGGAAGTATGGCAGACATGGATATGGACCAGGGTTCGGATACAGAGTCCCACGTTGACCCGGAAGCGGCGGCCAAAGCGGCAGTCGAGGCGTACCAGATGATTCGTGGCGTTGGTGGGCTCCTGATCTTCATTTTGGTCACTTGCTCTCTGGCTGGCGTCGTGGCCGGGGTATACCGTTGCCTTCGACGACGTCGAACTCGGTCTTATCACGAAATCCCTCTGGACGAGGCAGAGCGCCAACCGATGACATCGCGTTGAAAAGTTCGGCTGACTTCATTTCCCGTATTATGCATTACGTACATACCCATTTCCTAATTATAGACGATTTGACCGCGCTCTCGCCCTCAATTTCATCATAATCCTTCCTTAGTCGAAATTCAAGGTCATTACCTTACCGGCTTTAACTGGCCCAGCCAACTCCCTGGCAATCCTCTCATCATCACGGATCTGCCTGGCGATCGGACTCATCATCTCCCACTCCAACTGTCTCGCCACATGTTCCAGCTTCACATCTGCAAACCGAGGGCTCCTCAATTGGATCTTCACGAATTGCAGCCCTTTGGATTTTCCCTTTCCCACTCTGCTTAAAGCAAGAAGCGGCAAGGACCACGGCTCCCCAATCTCTAGGCCCGCTGACGGGCAGACAACCCACATGTCCACATGGAGGACACTCAGAGCCTTGAAGGTCAGAGATATCTTCTCGCACAACGAATACCAATTCTTGTCGCTCCGTAGCTTGATTTCCCGGTGCTCTAGCGAAGTCGGCTCGTTGTACATCGTATGATGCAGCTCAATGTGTTTGATGGCTGCCTGCGCGCGCCTGGGGACTCTGTTGAGGAATTTGTAAACGCACTTGGTGTTTGAGAAGACAAACTGGGTGCAGTCGTAGAGCAGGCAGAGTGTTTCTTGATAGAACTGCTTTGAGACAAAGGAGATGCACAACTGAGTTTGGAGCTTGCCTTTCTTGTTGTATTGCAGCATTGTTGGGTTCTGGGTATGGAGGTTTCGTGGTGGGAGGAGTTTGTGGGTGAGATGGCTGTGGCCGGTGTTCTCGTCCATGTAGCGGCTGATCTCAACCCGCTGAATGTCAAAGAGGTAGCTGTAAAGTCTGTTGCGGATCTCGCCAGGAAGCCTTTCCAGCTTGGCTTCGGGGCTCTTCATCATGAACCAGTCCCCTGATCAAACGGGGCTTTGTTGACACTGGTCTAATGCTGGTGTTGACACTGGTTGAATGATGATGTTGACACTGGTCAAATGCTGGAGTGGACGAGGTACAAAGAGTTAGAGGACTGTTTTGTATAGTACTGAGCTTATGAATCAGAGCAGAGAAAGATTTGTCTCTGCTCCCATTGATTATTTGCTTGTGAAGAGCGATACAGAAAGATAGATGTGTTGTGTTGTTCTATACCTCAATGTCAACTCTACAACTCTATAGTGTACTGTAACACAATTACATACCCGGCAAAATGAAGTCAGATATTACGTAACGAGTACTTATACTGTAACCTAGACCGCGGCCGGCCGACTTCATCAAATAATCCTCTCTTGTGCCACTGCCACGCAAGATCATGTCGATCCCCCCTAATAATTCCAGTGCTTCATCTCGTCCTCCTGCAACACCACAAGCCCCTCCAACCTCTCAATACGCCAAGAAAAATTTCAAAGTCCTCCCATTCCTTGCCATCTTCGCCATTGGCTCAGTAGCATACGGTGGCCTCGCGAAATCCCGCGCCGCCGAAAAGCAAGCTTATTTGCAGAAGACCGCCGCTCAACAATCCTAAAACAAGACAACCCCGCCACGACCGTACTACCTAAAACTCAGTCCCAACAAACCCTCTCAATTGAAGTTTGATTACCCAAAAAAAGGTTATCACGGCAAGCGAAAATGTCCACCGACAAAAAGACCTCCCGTTTCTCCCCCGCCGAAACGACAGTCGTCTTCCTCCTCGGCGGCCCTGGCTCAGGAAAAGGCACGCAGTCCTCCAACCTCGTCCGCGACTATGGCTTCGTGCACCTCTCCGCAGGCGACCTCCTCCGCGCCGAGCAAATCCGTCCTGAGTCCGAATACGGCTCGCTGATCAAAAACTATATCACGGAGGGCAAGATCGTGCCTATGGAGATCACCGTCGCTCTGCTGTCGAACGCAATGGCCGCGGAGCTAGAAAATAACAAGGAGAAATACGCTGCCGCTGGCGCAAAGAAGCCGCGCTTCCTGATTGACGGCTTCCCGCGCAAGCTCGACCAGGCGGTGTTCTTTGAGGAGACGGTCTGCCCGAGCGAGTTTACGCTTTTCTTGGATTGTCCGGAGGAGGTTATGGAGAAGAGGCTTTTGAAGAGGGGGGAGACGAGTGGGAGGGATGATGACAATGCGGAGTCGATCCGCAAGCGGTTCCGAACGTTTGTGGAGACGAGTATGCCTGTTGTTACGGAGTTTGAGAAGCAGGATAAGGTCATTAGTGTTACGGCGACGGGGACGGTCGAGGAGGTCTATGAGCGGATTCAGGCTGGTTTTGAGAAGCGTGGGCTGAAGCCTTCTTCTGCTTAGTTTCCTACGTCGGGTGTAAATCTGATCATCTGTTGATACGCTGTTAGATAAGAGGATATATATATTAGTAGACTTGAATATGCACTGTGCGGGCGGCTGAATTTCGAATCCGGTATTTATTCAGTAAATCTAGTAGAGCCAATGAACTTGAATAGTCATTACATTTTATCTCATCAGGTTTTGTTTGTTGCGTCTATTCCGCCGCAGCTACCTCTTGAGGGGCGCGTCGACGCTCAGATTGTCCCTTGTTGCTTTTCTCACCCTTCTCAGCCTCTGCAGCCGCCGCCGCCTGAGCAGCAGCTTCCCGTACAAATCGCTCCCGCTCGCTGCGAACGACGCCAAGGACATTCTCGAGGCTTCGTCGCCACACCATAAGACGGCCCTGGACTTCAGCCCATTGCTTCTCGCCGAACACACGGTAGGTGGCGCGGTGGACCAGGAACTCAGAGCGGAGCTGAGAGAGCTTGCCCTCGACGAGACCGGCACGGATAGTATCGATAACCCACTTCTCAACTTCCTCTTGCGGCACACGGAGAGAAGACGCAATTGTCTCGTATGAAAGGGAGCGCGCAGATGGGCCAGTTGTGGTGGTGGCGGCGGCGGCGAGGGAGGCCAGAGTGAGTAGACGAATTTTGGTCTGCAGAGCTTCGGCGTGGGGGGTCAGGGCATTGTCGGGAAGAATATTTGCGACGGGGGTGGTGGAGATGAAGTCCTCATAGGCATCGAGAGTGTCGGCAGTGAAAATCTCGAGCAGCTCGAAGAGAGGGGCGTCGCTGGAGCGCAGGGCCTGGACGGCGTCGGCGGCGGTCAACGGGGTGAAGTCGAAGACGGCGGGGTGGGTGAGAGCCGAGGTCAGAGCACGCACGGCGAGATCGCGGGCGGCGGGGGATGAGGCCTCAGCGGGAGGGATGGTCTGAAGAGCCTCGACAACGTGAGTCTGAGCCCAGTCGAGGTCGCCGGCAGCCTGGGCGGCGTCGGCGATAGCCAGGTGCAGACGGCGGGCCTCCTCATCGTCAAGTTCCCAGGCGGAGCGCCAATTGGGCAACTGCGCGGTCAGTTGGGGCTTCAGAGCATCGAAAGCGGCGGAGGAGCCGGACTGGCGGATAACGGCGATAACGGCCAGAAGGACGTGGAATCGACTGGAGTCGGAGGGGGCGAGTGTGTTGAAGATGGTGGACAGAATGGCGATGGACAGAGAGGCGCCGAACTGAGGAGAGGAGGAGATGGGTTTGGCGAGGTATGAGCAGATGCGGGAGAGGAACATGTCAGGGTCGGAGGCCTGCTGGACGAGGTGGATCAGGAGGTTGTACGCAGGTGTGATTTCTGGTTCAAATCAGTATATTTTCCGAGTCCCCCAAGAACTGTGGTGATGCGCACCCTTCTCCGGCGCCGTGTTGAGCACAGTGGCGGCCGAGACCAGCTTCTTCAGCACCTCATCCCGCTTGCTCTGGTCGATCTGGGTGTCATTCTGTTCCTGCTCGCGGAGGGGCTGCAGCAGCGGGGCGAGCTCGGTCTGGATGGTGGTGTCGTCGGGCTTGGTGAGGGCGTCGAGGTAGGCAGCAAACTCCTCGGCGAGTTCGGAGAAAGAACCCTCGATCAGGAGGGTGGTTGAAGGGGCGGGCATGGCTAGTGATGGGTTGGAGGAAGAGGAGGAAGGCAGAGGTGAAGTCTGGGTTCAGTTGAGATGATTTGATTTTGGCGGTGGAGAAATTTCTGTGGGATCAGTTCTTGGCACCGCCATGCAAGCAAGGCGAGATCTACATGGGCCTATACCATTCTTTGTTCTACAATTATCCAGAAATTATGATGGAAATATTATGTTATACTCATTATCATCATGTCCAATCGCCGTGCGGCCCCTTCATCCCACAATTCAACTATAATCACTTTACAGCAGCGCAAAAGCGGCAACCATCACGGTCGCGAACCCAGCCAATCCATAGTTCTGCATCAGGCGCATCGCCCCATCGGTCTCGGTAGGGCTGTCGCTCGAGTCCGTGGCCGTGGCCTCAGTGTTGTTGTTGTTGCTAGAGTCTCCAGTCGCAGTGCTCGTCTCAGAAGTCACAGTGGTCGAAGTAGTGGTAGTGGTCGAAGTGGTAGTGGAAGCAGAAGCATTGAGGCTTCCGCAGCTATTCAGACCTTGCTTGCACTCATCATCGCCATCCTGGGTGGTGGATTGCTGGATGCACTGCGCGTACTCTTCCTGGCAGACATAGAAGGGGATAGTGCCCTCGTAAAGGCCTACATTGGCGTCGGTGCCGTTGGAGCAAGTGCATGTGAAGTCAAGAGAGTCCTATTTGGTACCAGATTAGCGAGTGGGAAATTTTACCGCAATGATTTCAGATCGCGTACACTATCGCAGCGGTTCACACTGGCAACACCACCGCAGATTTTGGGGCAGTTGTTGCGCTCCGCAAGACACCAGTTGGCTGCGCATGTCAGCAGGATTCGTGAAAGCAGACGAGCGATAAATACCTCTGGTGGTTGAGTCGACCTGGCTCAGATCGAAGCCGGCGGGAAGGGTCCAGTTGGAGCTGGACTGAGCAACGATGGGGGCGACGAGCGCGAGGAAGATCGGAGCGTAGATCATCTTGAGCGGCTAACAGACTGCTGTCGTAATCGTAAGAGATGGGTGGATTGTGATTATGATTTCTGCCTGCAGAAAGAATTGGAACTGGGATTATTTGCACGACCAGAGGAGAAACAGGAATGAGTTGGACCAAGGGGCAACCGGTCTAATAAATAGCCTGGAATTTGGTGAGCGCATCCAAGGAAGGACCGGATTCCGGTAAGTGTAAACAAGCTAGCCAGCATTAAGTCTACATTAAGCTACTTAGACCAATCTCCCAATTATGCAGCCCGACTAGCAGCAGTAGCATGGAGTCAAAAGATAAGAAATGGTTCTTCAGAGAAAGTCCTTGCCGAGGTCTCCTCGCTCCACCCATCCGCTGCCCCAGTGCCTCAGGTCCTCGTAGTCAAACACTTAAAAGTCCTCGATATCTCCAGAAATTATAAGGCCTGGTAGATAAAAGATAAAAGGTACAAAGAAAAAAAATTCAGGAAAAGGGAAAATGTCCACCAATCAACGGCCTCCAGCCCAATACATCTCGATCCCGACATACTCCCGCCACCCCAAACCAGCCACCGGCGAAGATGGCTTCTTCAGCCAGACACTCTCGTCCGCAATCACAATCCCAACAGTGCGCACTTTCAGACTTGAGCATCTCCAGCCTAATCTGCCCTCCCAGCCTCCCGTATGGCCGTCGCCAACTGCACCCCCGCAACTGATCCCCGTTCCCGGCGCGGATCTGTTGATGCGCCTTGATCTTGCTAGCCCCGGGGTTTGCGGCCACCCGGCCACGGCCCACGGAGGGGTTCTGGCTACTGTGATTGATGAAGCGATGAGCTTGGGTGTTACGCTTTATGCGCCGGAGGCGGGGGAGCAGTGTGACCCCGCTGCTGCTGCTGCAGGGGGCGCACCTGGCGCTAGGATTCGGTCAAAGATGTTCACGTCGCAATTGGATGTGCGGTATAAAAGGCCTGTTTCGGTGCCCGGCGAGATTGAGGTTAGGGTCAGGGTGCTGGCGAAACAAGGGAAGAAACTCTGGGTCAAGGCGCAAGTTATTCAGGATGGGAAGATCACAGTTGATGCGATGGCGTTCTGGCTGTTGACTTTGGCTGTGAAAAGCGTTCTGTAGTATAATTTCTTCATCTGTATTGTGTGTGTATATATATTTCTGTATAGAGTAGAATATCTAGACATCTACAACAGCGCGCGCTTCCCAATATTCCGACTGGCACTCACCACCAATCCAATCTGCGTGCTCAAGGCCACAATCTCTCCCCTTGCATTCAGAATTGTCACGTCTAAATCGGTCCTCCCATCACGTACCTCCTTCGTCACAACCCGGCTATACAGCCACTCCTCCCCAGCCTCGGGCAGCCTCTTCTTGAAATCAATACTCAGTGACACAGTAGGAAACCAGTACTTCGCCGTGGGCCCAGCTCCTCCAGTCGAAGAGATCGACTCACCCCCAGCTGCCATCATATCAAACCCATCCAGCGCCATGGGGAACATGTCCGTGAGAAACACCACGCCCTCATTGCTCCATCTCGCGGCCATCCCCTCCGGCTTCAGCCGCGCCCACTGATCCACGATCCCGTTCTTGCGCTTCTTTCGCGCCGGGTCAACCCCGAACAACTCAACCTGCGTCGTGGCCTTGCGAAACTCTGCAAATGGCGGGTCCTGTCGCACCCAAGCTTCGTCCCGACCTGTCTTGGATAGCCGCTCAAAGTCGACCCCGCCGTCGCTTCGACTTCCGGCCACGGGCTCCGGATGGATTTCCCAATCTGTCTTCGATGACACGCCGACCTCTGAGGTGGCCGGGCTGACTGTAATGTATCCGGCGACCTTAACCTCCATTCTATCTTCGTTGATTTCGTTGCCACTTTGACTCTGATCTTTAGGTTGTAGCAGCTCAACATGCAGGGAACTAGTTCTCTTGCCTAATTTCATATCATGCACCCTCAGCTGTGTGGGACCCTCAGCCGTGCGCCTGAGGAAGGTCAAGTGCATTGATATCGGCGTTGCCGGTTCCCCCTTATACAGGTCTGGATGGGCGGTTGCAAAGTGCACCAGGGCAAGCCTGTATAGGACTGCACTCGTGTAGCCGCCATGAGGCACTATTTTCTAAGTCAATGGGTGTAATTGAGAAGAGAAAGGAAACGATTGAAGTGCGGGGAAATACCTGTCCCAATGCAGAAGGATTTCTGGAGAAATGCGGAGTAGGAGTACCCGTTGTACTCGTGGCCATGGTCGGCCGTTACGCGGACTGCGTCTTCGAATTTTGGACCGTGGCCGGTTCCTGCGTTCATCTTGGAAACAGGAAATAGGAAACTCAACGTGGTGGTCTAAATATGTTGATGGAAGGGACATTGCCTTTTTAATCTTACGGTATCGGAATGATAGGTGTAGGTACCTCGGCTCGTCTGCTGCCGAGCGCTGTTCTCTCGGTTACCATGATGACTTCATCATTCTAAAGATGACTATTCATAAAGATGCTAGTGACAAGAAATGTAGGTAAGCACGACGTCTTCTATCTTATCTACCTCGAAACACCTTGATTAGCAGATGTTTTCGCCAGTCTCTCGAGAGAAGTCAAAACTCCTATGCTCCGTTAGCACCATGATTTAAGAGCAATACCATCAAGCGCGAACAACTTACCAGCAACTCCTTGCGTCAATGTAGCCCGCGCTTCCGTACTTCTCGAGCCGAGCGTAACCGTCATGGCATAACTGACTGCGTGCGCGCTCTCTAGCTTGTTGGCCCACCGGAAGACGGGCTCGTCATCACGGCTGTCACCGATTGCAAGCAAGAAGTCTGGCCGGCCGGCGTTGTCTTGCTGCTTCATACAAGACCGCCAGACCAGTTCCGTTGCCGAGGCCTTGTTCGTGTTAGTCGGCTCAACGACGAGTAGCCCGTCGACTAAGACAGCGTGCACGCCTTGGTTGGCACAAGCGTCGTTGATGTGGTCTGCACACTCGGACGCCAAACGGCACGCCGCCGGCTGGTCCTCAGCCGCTTCGTAGTGGAAGACAAGAGAGCAGTGCCGCTGCTCAACCCAACTTCCTTCCGCACGCTGCTGGTAATACTCAAGCATTTGCTTCACGGCCGTCTTCCAGGCGTCAGTCTGATCCTTATTCGTCAACTTCGACCACGTCTCCGAGTATGGCTCGCGAACGAAGCATCCATTCTCTGCAATCAAACCCAGTCCAGAAACCATTCGGAAAAGCCGTTCTAGCTCCTCGGGCATCCGCGCGCTCATTACATAAACCACATTCCTCGGGTCCTCAGTCAGGTCCGCCAGCGTCGTGATGGCCCGTTGCGGGGTAGTGACGATGATGCTCTTGGGAGATCCCCAAGAAGCAAGCGTGCCCTCATAATCCAAGATTATGAGCCGCCGGTTTGCCTGGCGGTACCTGTCTTCAAGTTTGTTCATGGAGAGTCTCGGAACAGCCATGATCTCACGGGATGACTGCTCGTGCCAGACGCGGCTTAATGTCTCACTGAATGATTTAACCCAGTTAGATGTGGAGTTTTGGAGCACTGCTTGATGCAGCTGTTTCCACACACGCTGGCGCTCGTCTTCGCTGCGAGAGAGAGCCGTGTTAATCGCATCCGCGCACTGGTGGTAGTCCCACGGGTTAACTAGTAGGGCATGGTTGCCGAACACGGATGCACTACCGGTGAATTCGCTGAGAATGAGTGATCCGTACTTCTGAGCGCCATACTTCCCGTCCTGACAGTAAACAAACTCGTGGCTTGTAAGATTCATACCTTCACGCAGACTGGTAATCATCATCGCATCTGCCACAGAAATCAAAGCAAGGTATTGCGGGAAGGCAAGGTCTTGCTTCAGGAACACTAGAGGCTGATGCGCAAGCGTCGAGTGTGTGGAATTGATGCGCATGACAATGTCAGAGATCATAGCTTCTAGCTCCGGCTGTTCCGTCGTGCTGGTAGCCACCTGGATCAAGACTACCTTTTCGCGCCATTCCGGGTGGGTGTTGAGGAAGAGCTCATAACTCAGCAGCTTCTGCCGAATGCCGCGCACCTGATCAATCTTGTCGCGAGCCACAATGAGCCTTTTACCGGCATAGCGGTCGGAAATCGTCTTAATCCACTGCTCAACGTCTGCTGCCTTGCGGCGCTTGTCCCACGAGAGCGGATCAATACCGATCGGGAACTTGGTCACATTCACGAATCGGTCCTCCAGCTGGAGACCATCGTTTGTAGCCTCAACACTGAGAATTCGACTGCAGGTCTGTAGGAAATGACGACAATATTCTTCCGTCTGGAATCCGACCAGGTTCGCCCCAAGCATACCCTCAAGAAGCTCCTTGCGTGGCGCCAAGCACCGGAACACCTCAGACGATGGGAAAGCAACGTGGAGGAAGAATCCGATCTGCGCATCTGGGAGTAGTTTTCGCAGCATCGCCGGAACAAGGAGCAAGTGATAATCTTGAACCCAGATGGTATCACCCCGTCTCCAGTTTCGGGCAATGCGCTCCGCAAAGACCTGGTTCAGCTTGACATAGTAAACCCACGAATGGTCCTCATAGGCTTTGCTCTTCGGGTTGTCGGGGATCTGATAGTGGAATACCGGCCAGAGGATTGTTTTGCAGAAATGGGTATAATGACCGTCAAAATCACTGTCGTTGACATCGACCGTCAAGCAATCGTATTCACCCTCTAGCTTCTCAGAGATCATCGCCTTCGTTGACTCGGACAATGCGTCGGTCGGCATACCCAGCGTACCCACCCAGACCTTGTCTTCCAGCTGCCCAGTCTCCGCCGCGGCCCGTACGGCATTCCGCAAACCGCCATTACCCTGTTCGGCAGTTGTGATCTTCCACTCCGTCTCGGAGAATGAGGGTTTCCGGTTGTGGCTGCGCCCTGAAGATCTCCTCGAATGCTTTGCTGGTGGCACCGATGACGGTCCATCTACTTTCGGCAGGGTGTCTGCGGAAGACTCTTGGTGTCTGAGGATTGAGGGAGATGCCAAAAAAGCGGACTGCGGCTTGGGTTGATTGAGAGCGGTCCGGACGCCCCATGCAGGTGAATGGGCTTCACTTTCGGTCAAGTGTTCATAGTTGTAAGCAGTGACTGGGTTGGGGAATGGGTATTCAGACTGGCTCTGGTCAGCCTTGTTCGGGTCGGAAGTAAAGATCCGTTCATGGTCTGTGGTCGCACCCGGAGTTAGACCAACATTGGAAGCCTCGTTGCGCTTCTCAAACAAGCTAACTGCAGGGTTGGGCGTGGCTTGCACGGAATCAGGAACCTGCTTCTTGGGCAGAGGGCTTGAAGGGAGGGCTTGAGTAGGCTCTGGTGGTCGAAAGCTGACTGTATATGGGAGAAACCTAATTTCATTAGCAGGCGGGGATCCACGAGGAAAGCAAATGGTGGGGTTCAGTACAGAGAAGCTATGTAAACAGTCATCTTGTGGAGAGGAGAAGGCGCAAGTAAAGATAGAAGACAAGAGGTAGGCCTGAAGCAGGTCTGGGGCAGAGATTGAGGTCTCACTTGAAGAAATGTAGAGGTTGCACGGAGTTCAGAGGGAAAAGGGCAGCAGATATTCCAGTTTTTTGCAGTAAAGGGTTCGGGCTGTCAGGACTCATCGATACGTCATTGAAGCATCCAGCCCACCTCGCTGGGCTGGGAAACTGGATCCAACCAAGCTGGACCAACTTCCCATGCCTGTTTTTCTGCTCGGTAGAGATTCCGTGAATGAGCATTGAAAGAGGTATCTATCAAAGTCATCGACTTATTATCCAAGATCAAGGATATTTCTAGTAGTGGTGATGGTCTAATATTATTAGGACGCCATTATTGCTTGTCGGCGCCCGCCCCTCATTTCTGTCCCCCTCTTTGAGAATTGGGGTCCGATAACATTTCTCTTATCCTCTTCTCTTTCAAGCCCAATATTATTTCTTGTTCTTGCATTGAGCTATTCCCCGTTGCTAAAATGGTAGTGTCAACTTAACCTTTCCAGACCCTCACTCGGGCACCCTTCGGCGGTCGCAGGCCCTCTGCCGCAGTCATAGTATCTAGGTAGCACAGCTCCGGACCCGGATGGACCTCGCCAGGCGATTCTAGACTTTGGGCAAGGGACGTTCCATGAATATTTCCCAGCCGGTATCAACTCTGCTCGCGTTGAGTTGTATTATTGATTCGGAGAATAACATGATAAAGACCCCAGTGTTACTGCGTACGACGACGAGGCGGTGCTAGAAAGATCGATAACACTCCATTATCAAACAACCGGTCCCACCCGGCCCATACATACAACCACGTGCATCAGTCAGACTCGCCAGAGAAGGGATCGCCAAGTGCAAATGGTTTGTCCACTCCATCAAGGAATTAAACAAGATATATACTCCGTATTAATGCAGTGAGAATCATGTAGGTAGATAGAGAGGTAGAGTTGAGAAAGAAAATCATGGTTCGCCAAAGAAAGGAAACAGAATATCCCTAGAAGCACCATAGAATGCCAGTATCCGCGGATGTATAATATACCCTTGGTATTTAAACAGAAACAATAAAGATAAATCTCGCAAACACCGAGTGTTTGAATGAAAGGAAAGACGCCAAGCAAAATAAGTGATAAGAAAGCCCCCCTGGACAAGACAATCGTGTCATCAACACATCAGGATAAGAACACATGTAGGATGGATATATCGTGCACAGAAAAAAAATGGCCGCTGGGAAGCATGTTAGGTTTACGGCCAACCCCTTCCAGGGATGTGTAGTCGCTGAACACAGCGGACCCGAAGGGCAGCTGAAAATTATCGTTGCACCGCACCTGCGGTCCCTGCCTCAATTGATGAGTGTGTAACACCAGAGCTAGTCGCAGTCAGCGCATTCACGCTTGCCGTTGCCACCTGCGCCCTGAGAGCGGCCACCTCCGACCGGAGCCCGCTTAGTTCATCATGAACAGAACGAATGTACTCCCAGAGCTTTTCCTCACGATCACGCTGCTGATCAAAAAGGCTCGGATCGTGAGACGGATGGACATTATTGGCTGAAGCTGTTTCGGGGATTGTTTTGGAAGATAGCGGACCACCGTGATTACTCGAATGGCTATGCGATGGCGTATGTTTAGCGGCGACAGTCGGCGCCTGCACGGAGCTCTGTGAATGAATGGGGAAACGAGGCTCCGAGGAACCCAAGCCAGGTGGCGGCGGAAGTTGGGGTGCCCCGGGCTGAGGTGGTGGTGGAAGGCCCAAGCTTGGCGCAGAATGGTTGGAAAGAGATGGTTGAGAGGGACCTGTTCGGTTATACGTTTGTTGTGAGAATGGATGCGAAATGCTCGGGGAGTGGGCGCGATGGTGCAGTTGGATGCCGTTTTCCGACCCTTGCCCTAATTGGTGGGAAGATAGGGCATTTGGTGAGAGCGGCCTGGGGCTTTCTGTCATGTTTGGGGGTGCAAAGGCAGAGTGGCCGGAAGTTTGGTTTGTCGATGGGAACGTCATATTGCCAGACTGAGATATAGGAGAAGGGGATCCACTAGAACCACCATGGCTTGTGGGCGGAGGGAAGAGTCCACCTTGGGACGGTCTGCTGGCAGCAATTGGGGGGTATGTGCTCGACTGACGCGCTTGATAGCTGCTTACACTGTTGGAGCGGCCAATAGAATCCGTGGGTACATCATGTTTCTTTATGCTGGGCATGTTGTAACGGCGCTCATCATCTTCATCCATGCGTTCTGGCTCGGCGTAAACAAGGCCGTCCATGGCGTCTTCAGCGCCGGCAGCTGCGGCATCGCCATATTCATCTTCAGGTACATAACTTCCCATGCTTGCCCTACGCCCAGCACAGCCACCCTGGCCCTTGTTATGGCGCGCAAGGGCATCACCGCGAGCGAATCTGCGTCCACACTTGGGACAGATATGGGGTCTCTCGCCAGTATGCAGCTTCTGGTGTCGTTTGAGGTCATGAAGCCGCCGAAAGCGCGATTGACAGGTCGTGCATACAAACGGCTTCTCTTGACTATGCGTGAGCAGGTGGCTCTTGAGGTTATGATGCCGTGTGAATTCTGTTGCGCAAAATGGACAGCGATGTTTCTTAGCTGACGGGGACCTTTGGCCAGCCTTACTGAGGCCAGAGCTCGGTAAGCTAAGACCACGTCGGGGGTCGTTGAAACTCCCCGTGGGCATTGGGTAAGAGAAGGCCTTGTTATTGTTGTCTTGATGCAGATCATTGTCACCTCGATGATGCGGCTGGTCACCGTCCTGAGAGACTGAGTCTTCTATAGGTCCAGGGCTCGCGACGGTCGAGCTGTTCATCAAAGATGTACCGTTTTCGGCGGCGTTGAACACTGATTCGCCTGCTTCGCCTGCGACAGGATGAGAATCCACCTGCATCTGATCGGAGTGTATGCCTAATGAGTCACTAGCGGAGCTATGTTGCTGCTTTTCACTTGCGCCAAGGGCTTCGCGCGCAACCTGGGAGCTATTCTGGTCTGCCTCTCTGTGCGAATCGAGGGGCCGCTCCGCGGAGCCAGAGCTTGGTGCTGCTGCTGTTGACATAGTTGGCAAGGAGTCTTTGCAACGTGTTACGTTTAACCCAGCGCTGGCAATCGATGTGAGATTCGAGTCAGGTTTGGATTGTTTCAAATAGGCAGCGGATTCCGGAGTACTCGAGGTAATCGGATTGGATGAGACGGACATGGGATTGGAGATGGCGATGGGCTCGTTGTTCGACTGCATCAACGCAGCCATGGGTAATGGATCTTTCTCACTACCTCGAAATGATGGATGATAAAAGGGAGGAGCTAGGTAAATAGAGGTCATGTTAGCGAGATGGAGGTCTCTTGGCGCTGCGGATGAAGTTGAGCGAAATCGGCTCAGGGCACATTGACTGGGAGATGCGTTGAGGATAACGGACCATGAATTCACAGGAGAATACACTCAGGAAGAAAGAGTCCGAAAGGTAAGGGGATGGGGAGGATGCCTCGGAGAGGCGCTGTCGCGTGGGGCGCTCACCTAGTGTGGCGCAAGCTGACGGGGAGTTCAGCCTTCGCAATATTATTAGAACAATTCGAGCTCAGGAACTAAGATGAGTCCGCGGAAAGTAATGATAGCGGATCAGCTTCGCCAACAGGATTGAAATGCTTTTCTCCCCTCTCGAACAGAAGCTTGTAACCCGATCGTAGATTCAACCCATCGGGTGGAAAGGCTTCAAGATCGTGGCGGAAGCGCGGCGAGATCGAGATGCTCAACTAGGCTGCACTGCAGGGCAGAAGTCGCAACGAGCGATATTTCATGGACTTATCCCACAAGGTTCCGTCTCTGAAATACCGTCAATTGATAAGTAAGATACTGCAGATGGAATTCAGAGTAGTTGTTATGAGGCAGGTATGATGAAGTCTGGTCCATGAGCGACTGAATGCGAGTCTGGGGACTGGACAGGAGGCTCACAAGAGAGAACAGAGTGCATGACAGAGGGGCAACTACAGTATTCCACAGGAAATGATAGACGCACTATGATGAGCAGGAATTGGGGCTGGTGCTGGGCTGCGCGGCATAGATTGGAAACAGTAGTACGTCAAGGTTGAAGAACGGAACGGACTGTTTGGGTCGAGGCAGAATGGGTCTGCAGATGATGGCGTTTCTGAAAGGCGCAAAGGGGCGGGGGCACGGGGAATTGTGGAGAGAGAAAAGAAAAGAAAAAGACGCAGGAATCAGGATGCCTGAAAAGTCGAAACTGGGTGCGAGCCGGACTCACAAATCAAGATGCGCGCGAAGAGGAGGTTGGAAGACCGACCATGGCCTAGTATCCTGTCAGCGGCTCAGCGGGTTCACCGCCTACCATACTGAAGGCTGGCCCAGGAACGCCTGGATAGCCTTTCTCATGACATTTCATATGTCAAGGCATATTTTCAGGTTTCTACTTCTCCGCCCATATGTATGTATCCCGAGGCCGTCAACCAATACCCGGTACTTGCAAGTTCATAGGTAGCTAAGCTACTGTAGCCTTCTTTCCAATCCCTAGCTTCTTCCGGCAGCACGATCATCGGACATCATAGTAAATACAGTTGAACAGTTCCTGGTCAAGGCAGCACCTCATTACGAGCAATTCATCGCTATGGGCAGTGGGTAAGTGTAAGTAGTCTCCCGAGGTCAAGGTAGATGCAGGCCACGGCCCAGCTAAGCCACTAATTGCACTGCTTCCAATTCTCCCAAGTGGGACAAGAAGACCGCCGTACGACAGCTGGCGATTAACCTACAGTACTCCGTACACTACTCACAGAACCAGGGAAATCTGAATGAGGCGGTGTTCCATTCCGAAACCTCGAGTTAAGCCTGTCGGGGACTCGGGGCTCTGCTCGAAGTGTAAAGAACCTTGAAGGTGGCTTAGCAGCCTGGGGCTGTGTCTAGACCCCAACCGGGCCTTTGGAAGTTAAGTAGTCTTAAGAGTACAATTATTGAGACACAGCCTTGCAGTTGTAGCTCCTGATATTCCGGTTTATCTCTGCTTTTTTTCAGGTTACAAGAAAATTCCCAGACAATGAAGCAGCGATACCCCGTCTCTATAGATATTTGTTGGCATGGGGTGGTCTCTTCACCCACGCGAGAAGTGGATGATTTCCATATGTATACTCCGTACGCTATCTCGCGGTTACACTGCGGTTCCATCAATGCGTGTCATTCAATCTAGCTGCAGTGGTCATATGGAGGCAGGGAAAGCCGTGATTTTACGGAGTATTATGTATCGATCGATTATATATTGTCAGCAATCTGGTGTCAATAGTTGGAATTATATTACTTCTGAGGGTATCTCCGGAGTATAGCCATGATCTTGCAATATTAATTTATAGCCGTGTCTTCTGATTCAGCAATGGGCAATCCATCAAGTGTGAGGCCAAGAAGTTAGGTTTCAGGTAATTCCTCGACAAAATTGCACTGCTAACATAAGTCGAAATGGCCCAAGCGACGTCTTTGGCATCTCTGCAGACAAACATGGCGACGTGGACGTTCAAGATCTCTGCGGGGAGCCCTCTATGTACATAGTATGGCCTCAAGGCTCAGGCATCAAGATTGACCTCGACAATCTAAGATCATAGCACCCCTCGGGACCCTTCGGACTTTATCTTTAACTCGGTCTCGAATCCGGTCGCTCGCATTCAGCAGGTCGAGTCTATCTTTAGATTCCTTCTCTCAGAGTCAGGAGTCAGCCATATCTGCATCCTGAGTGGCCTCAGTGCCTCACCAAGCACCGACCAATTCCCCCCCTCCACGATTGCAGCGGTTCTGCACGGGCGTGTGGTTGGCTGGCCCCAAGGCGATCAACCCCGGCGCTAAGCAGAGGCACCAAACAGCACATTCTGCAGCGCTCATTCGCTACTCGGGTGACAGCCATGCATCAAAGGCGTGCGGACTGAGAGGTTAAACAGCTTGGTGCCGTCTGTAGTCTGGTTGAGTTGCGGCCCTCCCCACTGTGATAGACCAGGGCTGCCGCTCTAGTGATGTGCCAGCTGCCCAGTCACATCCCTGCTCCATCACCTCTCCCAGCCAGTCTGACCGGCTGCTCCTATCCTGGGCCGGATACTGACATCGGCATTGCCCAATCATGGTTGCCCTCGTGGTTTCTCTGCATATTGCTGGGCGCTTACTCCCATCTCTCACGGCCGATGGGAGGTTGTCGAGATGAGGCCCCCACTGCGAGAGCGTGACTGTCGCCCATCATAGATAATCGCTGCAGTCACGCCGCTCCCGAGCAACCTGTTGCTTCTTCTCTGTCTCTCCTCTTTTAACGCAACTTTCCTTCTGGGGTTGACCACTGGTCTGCATCTTGGTACAAGCAGCGCAGGGTTCGCCGCTCTTTCTCCAAAGTCTTCAAACACAGGCCAGTTAGAATTATACCGGTAGATACAGAGTCTACTTCGAGCAAGGTCCGTGCCCGAGGTCTCCTCGTTCAATTTCAAGCTGACAGTCCCGCAGGGCCATCTTACGAGGTTGACTCTTGTTGCTCTGAAGAAACGAGTGCGTCGAGCCTGGGTTCCAAGCCCTTTCTTCTTCCGATACATCTCGCCTATAACTTTACTTTCACTGCTGACCATCGCCGGTTAGCATACGAGGCTGTTGTATACCAGTAGCCTAGTACGCATTTCATTAGACGACACTGTATGCCCGGCTCGATGCTCATGCTCGCCTAAAGTGGACTTGCTTGCTCAGTTTCAGTTTCCAGCACAAGTTTCGGCCGTTGATATATCCAAGACAAAACGAAAGTCGGACCGAGGCTGAGAGCTGGCTCTCGTCGCATCTTGCTCATCTCTTTGCAACTATTTTCCAAACGTGCTTCCAAACCATAGAACCAATGTCTGTCTCGAGTGACAGTCGAAACGATTCGCCGCAAACCTACGAGCCAACTTCCCCAAGGGAATTCGTCAGTGGCAATAACCGAAGATCAATGGCTTCGTCGCCGCAACCCCCACATGTCGGCGTTCAGGACAATCCTTCTGAATCATTGGCCGTACCCTTGAGAAGCCCTCGGTCGGCCCGATTTGCGGAAGCGACTGCAATCAACTCCCCTACTGCTGCCGAGCACAGCAGGTCACCATTTGCAGACCCTCCGAATCACTCCCAGAACCGGCCCGATGTCTCCGACGTGGGTTTCGGATACGTGAATGCACAAGATCCCACACAGCATGTACCTCATCATGCCGCACCGGCCTCGCCACTGAAGAGCGCATTAAGAGTACCAGGGACGCCTGCTCGCACTCTGAACCCTCTTAGTCCGACTTTCCGGGAAGAATTTAATGTGGAGAAGCAGGAGAAGCAAGCAGAGAAAGCGAATGCAAAAGACTTGGTAAGACAATTCACTACTGGGTCGATGCCATGTTCAATGTTAATCAGTACTTTTCTTGCCAGGCTATCAAAGTACGTGTTAGAGTGGCCAAGATATTCCTTCGTTTTGTCAGCTTCGGTTGCAGTATCATTGTCCTCGCAATCCTGGCTACAACTCTGACCATCTTTCACGCGACCAAGAACCTGCCTTCAAGGAGCGGCACCACACCCTGGGCTGTTGGTACAAACCCATGGCCTCAGTATCTGGTTCTAGCAACTGCATGTTTATCCTTGGTCGCCTGTCTGGGCGTTTTCTGGACATGGAAAAAGCGCGGCTATAAACGTGCGGAGAAGGTTGCAGTCTACTACTCCATATTCTCGGTGGGCTTCTTTGGGTTCACCCTCGTTCTATGGGTTGTGGTGGCCGCAATATACCAGAACTCTAAGTCCAACGGAAACAACCAAGATTTGTGGGGCTGGTCATGCGTGACAGGCAATCTCCGGTCAACAGCATATGCGAATGATATTGACTACCCTCTCTTATGCCGTCTCCAGGTGAGCCCCAGTCATAATCAGAGGTCCGGGGAATAGTGGCTAATCTCTCACAGGACTGGGGACTAGTATGCGCCGTCATTGAAATCGTCGTCGAAGTCTTGGTCATTCTCATCTACGCCGTTGTCTTCTACCGATTCTGGTCCAAGCGAAAGCTCGCAAAGTCCATGGATCGCCGAGATAAGGCACGCTCAGACTTGTATCTAGCTCAACTACGACTCCAATCGGCGCCTAACACCCCGGGCTACCCCTTGAGTCCCAAGTCGCCATGGGTCTCAACAACGATGCAGGACCCCTACTCCTCAGCAGAGAAGGGCGAGGCAACACCCACCCAGTTTGCTACCCCTGTTTCGCCAACGAGAACCCAACCGACCTTTCAACTCCAGCCGCCGCCCGTCCGCGTGCAGCATGCAACCCCAAAGACAGAACAGCAGGAGTTCTCCGCACCTGCTCCCACCCCATCTCCTCCCCAGGAACACATGGGTGCTGCGCCAGGAGAGCGAACATACGAAGCTGTGCCGATCCCCGTCGCCTATGCCAGTCCAATGACACCGAGCTTTCCTCCAAGAGCCGGCCAGTAGCTAGTACGTTGAGTAGCCTCTATAGCTCTCTACGGAAATATCACTAGCAGCTTTTTGTTCTTGCAAACCCCTAAAACAAATTATTAAGAAAACTCCGCCCGCCGAAGATTGTTCTGGACATGGTCGGGGCATCCACCGAAGTGGGTTTACGTCGGCGCACATTTGTTCTCTTGGAGTTCGGCTGGAGTCGGGGACTGATCGTACATATTTGATGTGAATTGAAACCTGGTGGTGGAAGCCTGACTGGCCTTGGGCGGACTACCAAATGGTACAATAACCTAATCTAGCCTTCTTTTTCTGGCCATTACCTTGTTGATGTTTCTGTTATTGAACACTGGCTATAGCTACCAACCACCCACTTCAATCTTTTATGTTATGACTGCGTTTATGCTGATGGTGATGCCGCATGCTTTCCAAGTTATACCACTGAGCGAGTTGTTTCCCAAGGGCAACGTTATCTGTATACCGGTCTACACGGGTTCTTCGCTTCTTACACTCATTTGTCTACATAGTACAACGAAGACCTATTCAGAACCGCAGACCACGAATGGATGGAACGTTCTGGTCATATTCTCCGCGCCGGATGAGCCACACGTAGTCCAGGGTCGCTAGACATGGCACTTTGCGAGCACATACTTATTACAGAAAAATACATCAAGGTTGGATTCACGGAATGACGAGGACACACCTGTTGCCCTCACCTTGATACAAATGTTTGGCTGAATACAAAATTTCAAACGATATCTAAATCGCTAAACCATCTAAACGGGTAACAGTCAATGAGTGGTAACGTCAGGCTCTTGAGAATACTCGTTGATCGTGTCCAAGAAAGCTATGCCCTACATGTTATGTACGAGAAGCGTATCGCAAAACGAAGAATGGAAAAGAAAACAAGCAACAAAAGCGTCTAATCCAAGGTTCCGCCAATCCGTATTGATTCAGGAAACAAGCTCAGCGATAACATTGCTTAACGTGCTCACACACCAAAGGACAATAAGACCACAACCGATCTTACGATCCATCCGCCAATTATTCCAAGGGATTACTATCAGTAATCCAACCAGAGTCGTCAAAAGCGTGGCGCCACTGATGACAAGGACTTTGGAGACGGTGATGTCGTAGGTGATGTCGTCTGCGCTAGTTTGGGCCTTCTTGGAATGTAAGGTCATATATAGACCACCAAGGCCAATTCCAAGAAGGATGTTGAGCATGGGGCCACCGAAGCAGGCGCTCAAAGCCATGACTGGATATCCAAGACGGGCGACGGTGATGTTGGCGACCAAGTCGCCGAGCGAATTTCCGACAGCGAAAACTGTAAGACCGAGGAGGGAGTCGCTAATATTGAGGATGACTCCGAGGGTCTTGAGGAGACTGACAACTTCCGTGGCTATAGTTGCGATCCAAAAAATGGCGACAATAAAACCCAGCAATGCGAGAATTGGGCGCCATGAGGCTGGTGGGTGACGTACAGAGCTGCGGCTTCGGCGCTCACTAAGGAGGAGAGCGGCAAGACATACCAAGGCGAAGACAAGAGCGCATAGTGCAAGAAGCAGGAAGGTCCGTACCATCAAGTCCGGGTCTATCGCAGACCATACGATCAAGGCAACGAATTGTGGACCTGTGAAGAGCTGGATATAGACCAGCCACGGGTACCATTCTCGGGCTGTCGGGACAGAATCGTGCACGGCAGGAAGCTCAGAATCGTAGCGCTGCCGTTCCAGCTGAAATTTGTTGTCTTGGCTTGCCACTGTCTGTTCTGCGACAGACGCCGGAAGATGAGCCTGCAGGGTTGGGCTATCTTCAGGCAGACGCACAATAGGCGTCGCTGAATTCGAATCATCTTCTGCAGAAGTTACGATGACGGGCACGGTAGTTGATGTAGGTTCAGGCGGCGCAGGGTCGACAACGGGAAGCGTTATTGTTAGAAGGAACACACTAGGAGCTGCGACAATACCTAGGAATCTCTCCCAGATTGTTTTGGCTTTCCATCCATCTAAGGTTGGGAAAAGCGTAGACAGGGTCAATCGCAGCAGAGATCGCGAGCGAGGCCACCAACTAACCGGGGACATACGTCGACTCCCCATGTCAATACCTTCGTGAATATATAGCGGCTCTATTGAGCTGCATGGCGCCGGCAGACGAATGCTTGGAGGCCTAGATGATGGCGACCCAGGCACATCATGAAGCAAGGGGAAAGGACTGGATGCACAGGATGAGTTGTTATCTTGCCGCTCTGCAGGGTATTTGGTACCCTTTGGGGATACTTGTAGCGTCGAGCGCGAATCAGATGCTGCTTCCGAATAGTTGAGAGAATGGAAAGCATCGGGAGGCGCAAGCAAAGTAGTATTCTGTATGCTGGAGCCGGACCTTGGACTGGGGCTCGGGCTCGGGCTGCGCGATGAAAATGCGCTAGATGTAGGTGATTTCGTCGAGTCTGTGCCATGCTGGGACTCAAGAATATGCGAAACCTCCGTGCTAGATCCATCATCGATAGACGGTCTGCTCACGGTCAATTTGGGTCGCGATGCAGCCTCACCAACAAATAGGCTGGTATCTAATTTCAAACCCACGGCATCGTTTGCAGATACAGCTCGTGCTCGATTGATTCCGTAATCAGGTGAAAGAAAGTCGTTGGCATGGCTGCGGCTGCTTTGAGGATGGGATGCTATGGAGATATTATCTGGCTGCGAACGGTACCCCTGTGCACTATCCGGTACGTCCGAGTATCTTTCAAGACCAATTAAATGACTCCGATTATGACTTCGCGATCGTTTCAAGGAAGAAAGGACAGACCGGAACTCCAACGCACCAACCAAGCTCGGCCTTATTGGATTGAGCGTATTGCGCCTCTGCGCTGAAGGTCGAGATACGCGCATATTATTCCGAATTTCTGCAAGATGTCGATTGCGAGTTTCGTCGTCCTCATCCGCGTCCGTCCATGCCGGGGCTTCAGCACTCTCCAGAGCGTTGAAGTCTTCGGTAGTCGCACCGCGCAAAAGACTAGTCGATTCCGATGCCATTCCAGGATCATCGTCTTCTATCTCTTCGATATCCAGCTCCTGATTGTCCGGAATATGGAAATGTGACCGAGCGGCCATGGTCCTTTCCTGCACTCGACGGCGCCGAACAATGTACCAATGCCACGTCACAACCAGCAAGACATAGAAGAAGTATAGTGCCACCATGGTAGCTGACTCCCAAGCATGAAGGCGGCCGTCCGCCAAGAGAACCATGCTGAAACTTATCGCAATAACAAAATACCCAACATCACGAACAAAACTCCTGCGAGCGACTTTGAACGGGCGAACCAGCGCCATTGAGCCAGCAACCACCGAAGTTATAAATCCTGCAGCTCCAATAAGCTCTCCAATAGCCAAGCTACCGCTATTAGACCTCATGGCAGCAAAAGTCGAAAAAACATCAGGACTTCCGTTTCCGAAAGCAAGGAATGTGACACCGGTCAGACTCTCACTCATGCCGAGGAGACTGGCCAAGGTGCTCAGATCAATACACAGGAAGTCGCTCGCCGCGATTCCGATCGTGCTGAAAAGCAGGGACAGCCAAAGTACAATAATGATGAATGCGACCGGCTTCGCATCTGCAAGGACACAGTAGTATAATTCAAGGTACGAAAAGAAGCCGTCTTCCTCGTCTGAGCAATTCGAGCGGACAAAGGCACATTGATCTTTCGCGTTGCGGACCAGGCGGCACTGTAGATATTATAGATCATACATTAGTACTCACTTGTGAGCAGTATATCGAGATGGCTTGTGGTACCTCTACTTCACTTTCCCGTTCTAAAAGCAGACCAGCCGAGGGGTTGGAAATGCCTGGAGCGGTTGAGTGACTGCTCCAAAGTCCCAATCCCCAACTGAATGTCGCAAGAATGGTGAAGATCGCGAGAGACCAGTAGAAGGGCCTGACTGAGTATGAACGCCTCCGACGAACCGAAGTTCGAGGAAACATGGACGTCAGTTCGAGCATGGTGAACGATGTGACGCGGTCATCGTGAGCGCGGAGTCCGATGTGGAGGAAAGAAGAAGGCCAAGAAGAGATAAACCAAGAAGAATACAGGTAGATAAGTAGAAATAGTCTAGATTACTCCAGAGTAGTAAGTCTAACAGGCAACGAAGAAACCCATAGGGCCATAGCACGAAATAGTGGATACAGAGATGACATGCAAAAGCAGCCTCGAAGTTGATGATTGGCAGCCGTTGGTCACTGTCCGACACTTGTGATGTCACACCCAGGTTGAGACTGTGGCTGTGCAGTGTCAGATCGCACTCCGTACGGAGTAGACGAGGCTAACAAAGCCACGTGACTATGTGGTTACTGTGGCACAGCGGAACCAGACTTTCTTGTTTGTTGACGGTCTTGTCTTGGTGTTTGCACCATTCTCAGCGCAGCGCATCACATCCCACAAGATCATGCTACCATCGCAAACTTGCCGCTGAGCAGTCCACTTTCGCCTCCCTACTCCGCTCGCTTTCAGTCATTGTGACTCTCGCCGCGTCGCAAGGACCGTGCTCATTGACTTTGGAACACCCCTTAATATCGTTGCTATCGGAGAACGAGGGGACCATTCCAGATGCCCCGCGTCTCAAAACACCGCCGCTCCAATGGTGCCGGCACTCCCCAGAAAAACTCCCCTCTAAAGTACGACCTTTGGGAAATCCTTCCTACAATTGAAGCGACGCTAACGGATGGTCTTAGGATTCCGCTAAACGATGATATCGGGGAGAAGGCGGCCCGTATGGGGGCCCGCCAGGCTCTACATGACCGTCAGATGGACCAAATAAAGGCTGCAGTCAAAACGCCTATGCCGCCTCGCAGATACACCACCTATGATCGTGGGAGCTTGAGCCCCTCAACACCACAAGGCTCCAGCCATCGCCATCGGGATAGTGATGTGCACGGGCGCCGAGGAGTCACGCCGATGAAACGTGTACCGATTCTAGCCAACTTCGAAGAGTGGATGAAGATGGCCACTGACAACAAGATCAACGCCACGAACTCGTGGAACTTTGCACTGATCGATTACTTCCATGACATGTCGCTCTTAAAGGAAGGAGACAGCGTGAACTTTCAGAAGGCCAGTTGCACATTGGATGGATGCGTGAAGATTTACACAAGCAGAGTTGATAGCGTGGCTACGGAAACCGGGAAGTTGCTCAGTGGTTTGGCCGATAGCAGGGATAAGAAAGCTCGCGAGACCGAGGCCGATGGAGATGAGGCTGAAGATGAGGAGGAGGACGGTGAAGAGGGTACTAGCAGGAGGTCACGCAGGAAGGTAACGCCTCAGTTGAATCTCAACAACGCTGGAACTGGAATCGCTGACAAAACCGCTAATGCTAGCGTGCGCATGAGGCTACACTCGCTCCATCGTTTGCTTCCCTTCAGTTGAAGAAGTTTGAACTCGAGTTCTCAGTCGATCCGCTATTCAAAAAAGCATCTGCGGATTTCGACGAAGGCGGTGCTAAAGGTCTACTTCTGAACCATTTATCCATTGATGGTCATGGCCGCATTGTATTCGACAGTAGCGACGATGCCGTGGAAACTTCTCAGGATACAGACGGCGGAAGAGCAGAATCTGAGGCACCCGAACAAGCCGATACCACACCGCAACCCACACCCGCCGAACAGGATCGCGATGATACATTCGAAGGGGGTGTAGAGATAGACATCGCTCCCTTGACTAGCAGGTTCTTTCCGGATCTCGACCGACTTGATGCACAGGATATTTGTCCTTCTCTTAAAAACTTCGACCTCGGTGACCCTAGTGGTTCGTTGGATATCCCCCTCCTAAAAGCACCTGAAGATTGGCGGCAGGAAAAAGGGCATGAGGACGGACATCCTTCCAATGACGCATCTGGAATCATGCTAGATGACGACAATGCTGTTGGGTTCGATGATGATGATGGGAGCTTGGCTGGCTTTGATCTTAGTGATGATGCTGGGTTCGGTGGCGGCGGCGAGGCATGGGCTCGGGAAGCCGCCCTGGAACCAATGCTTAAGGTGCACCGCGTGGATATGGAAGGTGAAGAAGCTCCAGATGGCGCAGGCCTCGAAAATGACGACGCCTATACCATATCACTCAATCACAAACCAAGCACCCGGGACCATGAAAACATTCTCAGTTATTTTGACAACGCATTGCAAAAGAACTGGGCCGGCCCTGAACACTGGAAGATTCGACGGATTAAGGAAAATGCTGCTACCAACACCGCGAGCGCGGCCCCCAAGCAGCGAAAAGAAAAGGAGCCATTTGAAATCGACTTTTCTGCGCCCCTGGACCCTGCGGTGGCCGAACTGATCTATACACCAGCCAGCTCCAACTCCACGATATCCCTTCCCAAGACCCAGTGGAAGACGAAGAGCCGCAATCTACTTCCAGATGATAAGCACTTCAACTCCAGACAGCTTCTTCGACTGTTCCTCAAACCCAAGGCACGTATGGGTTCGAGAAAACTAATTGGACTGCGGAATTTCAACCAGCGACGCCAGGAACAGACTTCCGGAAATGGAGAGATGGACGAGGCGTTCTGGGCGAACCACAAAACCGAGGATCATGCTGGCGATGATGGGGCGGCCCCTGGAGCGTATGATGCGAACTTCTTTGCAGACGATGACGGCCTTGCCTTCCCGAACGGCATTGATCTAGACGACGATGACAATCTTCCATTCGCGGATGCTAGGGAAATGCTGTCCCCTCCACCAGGTGGAGTTCCAGGTGCATCCACAGGAGACGCAGGTGGAGCCACAGGGCTTACAGCATTACTCAACATGGTGGGGGCGACTCCTGGTGGCTCACAACTCCAAACCGGTGCTGGAGGCTTCGGATCGCAACTAGTAACGCAAGGCGGTCGGAGGGCACGGCCCGACTACGTCGCATACGCGCGAGTCGCCAAGAAAGTCGACGTTCGTCGGCTCAAAACCGAGATGTGGAAAGGCATGGGTGAGCGGCTTATATCCGCAATGGACTCTGATCGTCAACCCAGTGCTGTGGCTAGCCCGCCTAAAGAACACCACGAAACCGATGAAGATGGCCCGCCAACACCAACGCCCATGCATAAGCGCCCTAGACTGTCTTCGGATCTGGAAAGTGATAAAGATGGACACTTGCGCTTCACTGAAATCATGAACTCTCTTAAATCAGTCTATGCTCCAGAGACACTTCGTGATATCAGTACGTCATACGGCTTCATTTGCCTACTCCATTTGGCCAACGAACAAGGTCTCCTCTTACAAAATGACGATGATGCAAGCGGCCTCGGGCTCGGTAAACTAGAGGAGATCTTCGTCATGAAGGATACAAATGCCATTCTCGATGAAGCGGCTGCCTGACGTGGGTAAATTACGACGAAACCCGTGGATATACAGTGATCTTTGAAGAACCTGTTATTTACTGTACCTTTTTTAGCCTTCGTTGTTGGGCGTACTACGAGAGGCTGCACGAGACATGTCGTTCGAATAAAGTTTGGATTTGGTTTTCTTACGGGGGTTTGTGGTTGGCGGTTTATATCTGGTCTTTATTACGGGTTACTTCAATATCCAAACTTTCTGCCTTCATCCTCTTTTTACGTATATCGGTGACAGTTGTAATACGTACAGTTGTATCATGCCAGCTACATGCGGCGTTCGAACTTCGGGGAGCTACGTCTAGCCTGACCAGCGCAGAAGACTGACATTTTACTTGCTTTATTATTATGGCCCATATGACCCATGGACATTTTCTTGAGAAGCGCAAATTACCTAGTAGCAATCTCTGTCTGGGAATCATGCGTTCAGCCCAGGGCCGAAAAAATATCTACAATGTGAAGCGGCCACCAATTGGTGGACGGTAATTTTCACATGGGCACTGAAGCTGAGTCAGGACTGAGTGGTGCAACATCAGCCCGAGGCCCACTACTAGTACTAGTTAGAACTACCTAACCAGGGCTCCAGGAGATTGGATTTGGGACCCAGGGACATGGTCCTTGTATGAATTCGACTCGGGACTGCCTGGTCACTCACTCACTTGGTAAAGGCTCACTTTCAAGAGTGCAGGTTTGGTGCTTCATGATTATTCGTGATGTCCACAGGTAGCGATGGGTAAGAAAACCTAGACCATGTCTCGGAATGTTGGAGCTGTACGGAGTGCTAGCGACATTGTGTACCTTTTTATAGTCGCGACAAATTTAGCTCGGGCTTTCTTTCTGAAGCCTCCCTAGTTTCAAAAACTCCGTCAACGGTGGCAAAGATGGGCGCAGGATTTTTCAATAGTGTGAATCTGAAGAGTCTGGGAGAAGAATTAATCATATCGATATTATTACTCCGTATCGATACATGATAGCAAGTGGCCCCCTTTTCAGCACCTTACTCACTTCATAGCTTTTCGCGGCGATCCTTCCAGGGCGATATGCCGTCGAGCAGACATATTATTTCCGCCCTTTCCCGCTAGGCGATCGGGGATCTTGTCGAGAGTTCGTAGATTATGCGAAATAGTACAGACGCGTTGTGGAATCGATATCATGGAGTAAGTATCAGCTGATGTTAGGAATGTGGAGAACAGTTGCTCAGTCTCTGAATATCAATGTCAAGACTTGGATAGCAACAATAAAGAAGGATGGTGATCACGGAGATCCAAACAGTCACCGACTCACCATGATGTTGATGGCTGCCAGACCCAGTGTAAACAGACAGGAATCCAGCTGATATTTTATCTTTCGAATCTCGGCCAGCGCCTTTTCTATATTTGGGACTAGTGCGCAGCTCCACCAGCAACCTAGTGAACAACATCAAATCAACTCCATCGGCCATCCCATTTGAAGCCCAGTTTCAAGGGTCTTCCCCTTTCCTCTCCAGGTCTTCCGAAAGTCGTCAATCGCACCTACACTAATATTTTTAATTATTTAATCTTCAACTCCGTGATACCGATATATCTTGTCGCCGTGACTGCGGCTCAGACCGTCATTCTGACCTCCCCCCGCTGGCAGCATTACTCCTCATCCTTCTCAATCCAACGGACAACGGACCGTGTCCGCATCCACTCAACTCGCCGTCGCTTTCCATCTCGAGTTTTGCTACATCCCACGCCGTCCACGGTCCGATACATTGTTTATGGGATTCAGTTAGCGCTAGTGGGGAAGTCATTGGCATTGGTGCGCTTGAAAGGAGGTGCTGGCTTTTGTTTCTGAAGTGGTTCTTGTGTTGTAACCATTGCCCAAATGCCGATCAAGTCCTTCAAAGGTTTCACGCGGCGCAAGTCATCGGGAAATGTCCTGGAGGATGTGGAAAACCCAGCGCAGTCGTCGTTCCGTGTCTTCGAGCGGCCGTCAACTGGAAGGAAGTCTCTGAGCGATGGTAACCTCCTGAGGCAGAGAACTGCAGATGGGCCGAGTCCGGGCTCCCCGCCAGAAGACGATAATATTTTCGCTGGTTCCGATGGCCCTGCTTATAGAAATCTGTAAGACCCGTCACTCTATATGGCTACACGTACCACCCTGAAAGACAAAGAAGCTAACCGCCAAGTAGAACTGGAGGAAATACAATCGAAGGCCCAGCAGCAGTTCGCTTTAGCTCCTCCACGCGCCGCTCAACGGACCTACAGACGCAGTTTGACTCCCAACCTCCGCATTCCAAGAATCTTCACGATATTCCAGTGCCGCCACTATCCAGTGCGCTGCGCGCTGCTGGCCGGACATTTTCGTTCGGTGGAAGGTTTTCGAAACCACCCGCCCAGGCACCACACCGGCCCTCGTCTCCAGATACAACTCGAAGCCGAGCAACCACAAACAGTACGACAAGCACGGCGACACCGCCCAAGCTCTTGGAGACCGAGTTCCAAATCGGCCGAATGGACGATGATTTCGGGAAGATGTTCGACGGTATCGGTGCCCAGGACTCGACTCAAGGGCCAAACAAGAAAGGTGAAAAGTCACCTCGACCTGCCCCGATAAGCACGGATCGCACAAAGAGCGTCGAGCCCTCACCGTACTCTTGGGGGAGCCGGCATTCTGGTGAAGGTCTTTTATCCTCGCCGCACGAAGACAACTCTGCTTCCCAGTCTCATTCCGCAGACTCGAGCATGATACCTCCCCCTCTCGGACCACGTCGAAAATCATCGCCTATGTTCGACGCCCCAGTCAATACCACTACACACCGTTCTTTAGAGAAGCCAAAGATGGTAACTGACAAAGGTTTAAGGAGGAGCGTCTTATACCCCTCTAAGCAGGACACGGTTGCCATTGATGATGAAGATGCGAAGCTAGTTATGGCTTCTCTCAATTATAGCAAAAGGATGTCGCAGGCCCATATGTTGGGCGATTCACCTGATCCTGAAGCGGACGATAATGTTCCACTGTTTGGCCCCGATAATATCGCCAAGAACGTTTCCGCGCAAAGGGGATATTTTCCTCCTCCCGGTCCAACTGGCGACAGTGTCGATCCTTCGATTGCAGCCCATGCACGGCTTGCTGCGGAGTACGAAAATAAGCCCGCTCCGCCCCCGTCTTCCAACAAAGTCATGACCCCGTCTCAATTTGAACATTATCGACAGCAACAGGAACTGAAAAGGGCAAATAGCGATGGGTCTGACAGTGAGGATACGGCAGAAAGCGACTTCGATGAAGAAGACGAAGCGGAAAAGAACCGGGAGACCGAGAGGCAACGGCGGAAACAGGAAGCTCATCTGTCTGTATACCGTCAGCAAATGATGAAGGTCACTGGGCAACAGGCCTCACCTCCGTCCCTTCGTCCGGAAGATCGCGCTAGCAGCAGCACGCCGAACTTGACGAATCCCTCGTTACATCCCGGTAACCAATCTGGGAGCGGGAAGAGCAGCGAGGGCGACGACGATGAAGAAATTCCACTCGGCATATTGGCAGCCCATGGGTTCCCTAACCGAAACCGTCCACCAACCCGCCTTATGTCGTCCAACTCCATGCAAAACCTTCGTGCGTCATATCATCCGCCACACTTAGGCTCCGCGGGCTCAGACATCGGCGGTGGTAATCGGAGCAGCTTGCCTGTATTTGCCAGGAACCTTCCACGGGATCCATATTTTGGAGCAAGCCTGGTTGCTCCTTCAAACAGGGAGTCACTTGCTCTGGGAGGAGGAGGCGGCTCTGTATATGGGGGGCCCTCTGCCGCTACAGGCTCATCATCTCCTGCCCTGCCACCGGGAGGGTTGGTCGGCGTTATAGCTACTGAGGAGCGAGCCAGAGCTATGAGACGAGGAAGCCCGAATACCCAAGCGATGTATGACCATCCACATGGGATTCCAGGACCAGCAGGAAACGTGAGTGGTATCCCTAGGCCACATACTATGCTTGGCATGAACTCTGCCAATGGGTTTAATTTCCAACCGTCAGTCTCGGCGACGGAGCAAGCTCAGATACAGCTGTCCCAACAGATGAGCAGCATGATGCAAATGCAGATGCAGTGGATGCAACAGATGATTCAACTACAGGGCGGGCAGGCTACCCCGCAACAACTTGCATCCCCTGCAAACTTCGCGATTCCTTCTTTCCCTGTCAACGCGAATTCAAGACCCTCATCGATGCCAACGGTCGGTGGAGCATTAAACAATGTCTCCTCCAGCTACAATGGTGGGGACCACAGAACACTAAGCATGCTCGACCCCAATGTCTCATCCAGGCTGAATAGCCCAGCTGGGCCATTTGCTGCTGGCGGAAATCGACCAGGCACTCCAGGTGGGGCTGGCTATGCCCCGTCGCTTGCTCCGTCAGAGCGTAGCAATGTCGGGTTAGCGCCCCGATACAGGCCAGTCTCAACGCTACCAGCAGAGGCTGAGTCGACCAGCTTCCTTCCCCCAGCGAAGCATTGGAACGACGAAAATCGCAGAGCCACTTACTTAGCCCCTTCTACGAACGTAACCCCGCCGAACACGACTATCCGCCCTGTATCCAGTTACAGCAGGACCCTTGCCGTTCCGTCCAAGCTCAGCAGCCATAGCCCCGCTCCAGCTGATGAGGAAGACGACGATGAGGGGTGGGCAGAAATGATGAAGAAACGAGAGAAGAAACGAAAGAACTGGAAAGTCAAGAAAGAATCGTCGACCTTTGGAGAAGATTTATTGAACGCAGTACATTGATGAGTACGAGTAGATATTTTGTTTCTTTTCGGCGTTACTTTGACACATTATTTGTTTTTATACGCATACATTTACGCTGATTATAATACCTCGAGGCAAATGAATGACCCAGGGCTGACGCATATAAAAAGGCTGGGATAGCATCACAAGAGTCCTTTCTACTGTTTAGCCTCAATCTGTTACTACTTAATGACCAAACCGTAAACATGTTAGTATTAGCCAGAAGCTCGTCTGTTCATATAATGTTATTGCTGCGTTATGCTTTCATCAAATGAGATCCATTCCTGAGCTAGGTACTCTCAAGCTCTGCAATGACGGTCTATTGTATTTGGCTATCAGGTAGGTATTACCCGAGGTCAAGCGTCAAGTTGCTATATGTTATGGCACAACGACAATTTCCGTGGCCACGGCTTCGGCGGCGCTAGAGTCAATAGACATCCGTCAGACATAAGCCGGGAGAAAAGCCATAAAACTCGCCACCGCAAAATTAAGATATGTCGCTGTTGGGTAAAGGGGGTAGTCAATGGATCTGGCGATTGAACCTCAAAAGAAGAATATCGTCTAGTTATGCCTCTTCGAGGAATGGGTCTTGAGTACGCAAACCGCCGATCAAGGACACCCCTTTAGGAACTCGAGCATCTCGCACGCTGAAGCAGGCAAATGCAACGACCTGTTGAATAGCTGGGCAGCATTGGAAAATGCGGCCCATGAGGTAATCATCCATGACGGTGTGGAATGAGACATCCAACTCTCTCAACTTGGGGTAGCTTTTACCCTCGGTAAACACATGATCAAATGCCGCGTATGATATGTGGCGACATGAGGCAATGTTTAACTTTCGAATTGCTGAGCCAGAATGATTCATTAGAGCAATGAATCCATTCGATGCGAGGCCTGTGGCATCCGTAGGCCCGTCAGGGTTCGCGTTGTCTATGTCCCGAGTAGATGAGAGGTCCACGATTTCCAGGGGCGGATTCGACCATGTCTCAAAAAGCTGAGTGAAGCCTCTATCTGTGCAAGTAGCATTGTCAGAGAATCGAAACTTGAACAGGTGCCTGCATTTGTCATGTATCATCTCGAGCAGTGTATCATCAGCTGTTGAGAAACCTTGTAAGGATAGAGTCCGCAATTTTGTACCAGTCTTGGACACCAATTCGACAAGGTTCTCTGTCTTTGATTCCTGAAGCATGTCCAAAGACAGATGCTCCAGCAACGGGAGCGTTGAGATGGCCTGAAGAGAGCGATCAGACATCTTCCAACAGTGGGTCAGTTTCAACCGCCGAAGTCTTGTGCAAGCATTACACATGATTTCGATAGATTCATCGTCTAGTGAAGAATCCAGATTCGACAATCTGAGATTTTCAAGCTGGAGCCCCAGCTTCTCGAACATTGTTCGCCAACTCGAATCCGATACCAGGTTCGCGGAATCTAGTTGTAAATGCTGGATACGGTGGTTTTCAAGCATATAGTCTATGACTGGTCTTTGTTAGTGAACGGAATTTTTTACATGAACGGATCTAAATCGCACCATTGTCTTTCAACTGTCCTGCGAAACGGAGATTGACCCTGGTCAAAGCGGGCATGAATGCAAAAATCTTCTGGAAATCGTTCGCCTCAAGTTCTGCATAGCTGAGTTAGAAGTGTCTATACTATTAGCAACGGGCGATGACGTACTGCCTGAGTCATATATATCAATGAAGCTTAGGTCAGGCCTGAGGAAGAGGTCCAGTGTCCTGGGAGTTATCGCTCGCCTCTTCGATAGAATCTGGCTCAATCCTTGAAGGAGCTGCCATGGAAGGTCCCCGAATTCAGTTATATCCTGGATGTTATCCGCGACTTTCTGCAGGGCGTTAATTCGGCAGCAAGGTGCTGATGGGAAGGTATACAGACCTTGGTACACATCTCTGCCAGACTAAGAGCGCCATGCTGAGCAATTCCATCGAGGAGATCACTTTGGTTTTGGCGTCGAGCAGACCGTGGTCCTCTTTTCTTGGGCTGTGATTTCTTCTCCTGGTCCCCAACTTCCTTGGAGCATTTTGCGCAAAGAAGACCGCCCTTGGACCCTGTCTTGCTATATGGAGTGACCGTAAACCGTTTGTTGCAATTCTCACAATTCTCAAACTGACCAGGCAAAGGCCGAGGACGCTCATCCATCATCTCTCTGGCAAGAAAGTCGTCGTCGTCATCCGGCTCGCCAATACGCCGAGCTTTGCGGCGAGCAAACTCCTTGCTCTGCTTGATCTTCGCAATCGTAGCTGCTTCCTTTCGCTTGCGCTTCTTTTTCTCCTCGGGAGTCTCACCGACATTGTCTTCATACTCATCTTCGTCAAGAGCGTGCTCTTCTTGGCCGTGGTCAGCCTGAGTCTCCGCCTCTCTCAGTCTCCGCTGGTAGTCCTCATGGATCTGTGCCGCCGAGATGTTGTTGGACTAGCAGCATTTAGTGGATAAAATTTGTATACTGAATAAGCCACCAAAACTTACAGCAAGAAAGTCAGTGAGTGCGGAGTGCCTGAACTCGTTAACTATCAATGAAATGTGACGCTGAATCCGCCGATAAGCGTGGCTGGACCTACGGGCCTCGTATAGTGTTTCTTGTCTGCCTTCGATTCGCCCTGTGGATGGTCAGTATCTTGAATCCAGAAAGTGAGCAAGTCACATACATTCTTAAGTACGGAGTTCAACAAAGTGTCTCGATTTGAGGGCCCTGGCTGTGATGGTTGCTCAGGTCAGGTGAGATCGTGTTCTACTTAACGCGTCGAGGCGTGGAGAGCCGCTTATCAGTCAGCCGCACTCTTGTTCGGGAGCAACATCAACCCCAGGAACAAGGAGGCGAAAGGCAATGTGAGAAGGTTTTCGAAGACTCGCTTTCGGGTGGCCAATCCGTTCTCCTTGGTGGCAATCTGTTCCCCTTAGTGGCGAAATCACAATTATAGGAAAACTTTGATGTTTTCTAGACCGGGTCCTGATTATTAACCGGCGGGTGGTAAGTAACTGACTACTAATAGTTGCCTGTTCCAAAGGGTAAGTAAATGACTATAGTTGCCTGTTCGAAGGGTGCCTTCTGCCTAGTTCACTCGCTGCCTCTTGGTTCTGTCCCTGGTCGAGATTCCAACTCCTGTTCAACCTACGAGCCTCGTACGCCACAATGGTGGGGAGGAAGAAGTCAGATGCAAAGCAGTCCGTTGCTCTCAATGGTAAGATTTATATTTTTATGATCATTGCGAGCTGTCTTTTGTAAAGCTTGGTTCTTGAAGCTAACTCTAATCTGCGATCCCAGATAAAATGTCTCCATCCTTGTCCAGGCGCGCTTCCTTAAGGTTAGCTCAGGCCTCGTCTACCCCGAAAACAGACAAATCCGAGAACCAGCACGAAATCACCGATCTCGATGATGAGCCTGTATCCTCAAGTGTTCCAAAACCACGTCGGAGCATTAGAACGGCAAAACTTGAAGTGGCCATACCAGTGAAATCAGCTCGTCGTCGCTCACCATCGTCCTCCGTTGCCGCCGACGACACATCTGCAGATGGAATTACTGAATATGACACACCAGCCACAAGTGTGGCCGTGACTCCTGCAGAGTCTGATATAGGGACGTCGAAGAAGAGGGTCAACGCTTCTGCTCGAGCCCGGGAACTGCGATCAAGTAATATGTCTCTAGGAGGACCCAGGGGGTTGAAGAGACAATCCGCCCTCAAGGCAGATGAATATACCATGCCCGATAACGCGGATGCAGCTCTAGCTATGGACCTACAGCTTCAGGAGTATCAAAACAATCCCCCGAAACGCCGGAAAACTTCCAGTGATTTATTGCCGAATATCGATTCCGCCGATGATGATAGTATGTTGACAGAACCGGATGACGACGAGGATGATGATTTCTATGAAGAGATCGTGCACAAGACAGCTTTCAAGAAGAAGCTCAGGGCATCTCGTCGCTCTAATATCAGCCTTGTGATCCCGGATAGTGATGATGCGATGGAGGGCGATGAGCATGACTACATAACGGGTTCTGACCCGAGCGATTCGTCTTCTGCCCCAAGTGAAGACCAACCATTGATCTCACGGATGAACAATGTGGGAAATCAGAGACTCCAGTCTCAGAGACAAAGATCTGCCCCGCGTACTAGTGCGCTTGCCTCTGGGATGAGCTACCGGGTAAGTCATACGTAAACAGGCGTCTATCTACTTGGCTGATCGCAAGGATAGGCTCGCAGGGAGCGGCAGAAGCTTGAGAAACAGCATCCTAGTATTGTAACGATGTGGAATGATCTGAAGAACGACCCTCCTATCACGCCCGTGCCAGCAGCGCAGCCTTCGGGCATATCTAGGATGCTCAAGCCGTTTCAACTCGAGGGCCTGAATTGGATGACTCGACAAGAACAAACACAATACAAGGGCGGATTGCTGGGTGATGAGATGGGTATGGGCAAGACGATTCAAGCAGTGTCTCTTCTCATGTCGGATTATCCGGCAGGACGACCGTCCCTGGTCGTAGTACCGCCAGTTGCGCTAATGCAATGGCAGTCGGAGATCAAGGTTTGTTAAGGCCTGATTAAGTATGTCTTCTTCTCTGATCTCGTTTTCAGGCATATACAGACGGAAAATTACAAGTCCTCGTCTACCACAACACCAACTCCAAGGTCAAGAGTCTGAAGAAGAAAGACCTCGAAAAATATGACGTAATCATGATTTCCTGTTTGTATCCTTTACCCTGTGTCTTGCGCCATTTCTGATGTTCATCTAGATTCTGGCCTTGAGTCAATCCATCGGAAAGAGTGGAAGGGCTGGAGCCGTAATGATGGCCTTGTCAAGGAAGACAGTAAGCGTTACCTCGACCATGTCCGATTCTATTGCTAACGCTTCCTAGGTGTTATTCATTCCATTCATTATCACAGGCTCATCCTTGATGAGGCTCACAGCATCAAGGTATGAATCAATAAAAGAATCACCGGGCTCCTTATACTGACATCTAATAGCAACGTACAACTGGTGTTGCGCGTGCTTGTTTTGCACTTAGATCCAACTACAAGTGGTGCCTTTCTGGCACTCCTGTTCAGAATCGGATCGGCGAATTCTTCTCACTGCTACGGTTTTTAGAGGTTCGGCCATTTGCCTGCTATTTCTGCAAGCAATGTAAATGCCAGGAACTACACTGGTCGCAGGATGCAGAGAAGCGATGCACGAAATGCAAACACAGGTACTGTATAGCCCACGTGCTCCCTTTTTCCAGCATTGACCGTCATCACAGTGGATTTAGCCATGTATCAGTCTTCAACCAGGAGATACTGAACCCTAGTAAGTACTCAGCCTCCGATCCATACGACCATGGCCTAACGTATAGCAGTCACGGAACGTGACAACGTGGACGCACGAAAGGAAGCATTGGCAAAATTGCGGCTGATTACGGATAGAATCATGCTGCGACGAGTCAAACGAGACCACACAGCTTCAATGGAACTTCCTCCCAAGCGGTGAGCGTCTCTTTCGACCATGGATTTTTTATTTTTATCTAGTTGAAACTAACATACTCCAGCGTCATCATACATAATGAATTCTTCGGAGAGATTGAGCGCGATTTTTCTACCAGTATCATGACGAACTCCTCTAGGCAATTTGATACCTACGTGAGCAGGGGTGTAATGCTGAACAATTATGCCAATATTTTCGGCCTTATTATGCAAATGCGGCAAGTTGCGAACCATCCCGATTTGATTCTGAAGAAGCATGCCGAAGGCGGGCAAAACGTTCTCGTATGCTGTATCTGCGACGAGCCAGCGGAAGAAGCGATTAGATCACGGTGCCGTCACGATTTCTGTCGGCGCTGCGTCAAGGACTACATTCAGTCCTTTGATGCAGATTCTGTTGTCGACTGCCCGCGATGCCATATACCTCTCTCAATTGACCTCGAGCAGCCGGATCTGGAACAGCATGAAGATCATATCAAAAAGAACTCAATCGTCAACAGAATCCGAATGGAGGATTGGACCTCGTCGACGAAAATTGAGATGCTTGTCTACGAACTTTACAAGCTACGCAGCAAGAAGCAAACACTTAAATCCATTGTTTTCTCACAGTTTACCTCGATGTTGCAACTCGTCGAGTGGCGCCTGCGTAGAGCTGGCTTCAACACAGTCATGCTTGATGGGACCATGTCCCCTGCGCAGCGCCAAAAATCAATTGACTACTTCATGAATAATGTGAACGTCGAGGTGTTCCTCGTATCGCTCAAGGCAGGTGGTGTTGCTTTGAACTTGACAGAGGCGTCAAGAGTTTTCATCGTTGATCCGTACGTCCCCGTCCCGCAGCCAGTTTCATAGCCCTTTCCTCAATTCTTGCTGACGCTCTAAGGTGGTGGAATCCCGCAGCCGAATGGCAGAGCGCCGATCGATGTCATCGAATTGGTCAACGCCGACCCTGCGTTATCACGCGACTGTGCATTGAAGATTCAGTAGAGTCCCGAATTGTTATGCTCCAGGAAAAGAAAGCGAACATGATTAATGGCACCATCAACAAGGACCAAGGTGAAGCACTGGAAAAGCTCACCCCAGAGGACATGCAGTTCTTGTTCCGGGGCTCGTAATGGCATTTTTTTCTTAGCTCAATGGTCGGCAGTCAAGGCTCAAGCTCGTCTTGGACCGTGCAGCGGAAGCCAAGTCGCTGGCTTAATTGCATTTGCGTTATGAATTCTGCTCTTTCGAACCGTGGTTCTTTCTTAGCCTTCCAGGCAACAAAATTATTCATGCAGTGGAGACTCAGGAGCGGAGACAGTGCCAGGGGCGCTTGAGTAGTTGGCAGGTCTTGCTCCTGTTCTTGTTCTACAGGAGTAGTTTATCATCATATATGCTATCCAGCGATGTGCGAAAGGACCATGGGTCTTTCTAGCCATTTTAGTTTCCACGCGGCATGGTAACCTACTCCTGAACTCCAGGAAAGATCGAGCATCGAAGCTTAGGCTGACGCGAATCTCTCAACATGTGATCTCCACCCGCGCGGCACCAAAAGCTTATATACCCTGGTAAGGCTGAGGGGTCGGGACACGGTCGTCATCTCAGCGCTTCCTTCCCAACCGAGAGAGCCCGATTCTACAAACAATGGGGTAGCCAGTGTGGCCACTTCCCTTTCTCAAATAGACCGTGGCCCGTCGCGTGTCCCTCCCTTTACTCTAATTCTCCTGAGCCCTATTCTTGGCTCTTCCGACATCCGAGCTCCGTCCAGTTGTCCCTCTATCAGCAGGCAACAGCGAAACGCCCCCTCGCAAGTCGCAACGTGCAGACCATTTCCCGTCTCTCCGATGGCAGACACGGAGTCGCATGTTCGACCCCAGCATATGGGCGACAAATATGGGCCAAAACTCGTTGATAAGGCCGAGCGATTGCAAAATCAAGCTGTCGCAATGGGTGTTGGTTCGCAGTCCGGCTCTGAGCCTGCGGGGGGGTTCGATAGCACACCACTCCCCCAGGCGCCGCCAGGCTATACAATCAAGGTGACATTCCATCGAGGCGTTAACTTGCGTGAGTCTTTTATGAGATAGAATCATCTCATAATAGGCTTTTCAGGAACTGACAGCGATGTAGCATGCGCCGACTTCGGCTCCTTCTCCTCGGATCCTTATATACATGCGACCTTGTCTGTTGATGTGCCCCAGCGACATAAGCAAGATCCTCTCCCTTCTTTCCGCACACCGACAGTGCGCAAGAATCGCGACCCAGTCTGGGAGAAGGAATGGATAATCGCCAATGTCCCCGAGTCTGGGTTTCGCCTCAAATGTCGAGTTTACGATGAGGTAGCTAACCAATGCGTCCTTCTCATGGATCGTTGCTGAGGAAGAATATGTAGGATGCCGCAGACCATGACGACAAGTTAGGCAATGCCTATATACAGGTATTCGTTAGCATTACAAGGGGGCCTTTAGACTGGGCGAGCTGACTTCTATGCAGGTTGATTCAATAAGCGCGCAATGGCCTGGAATTCGACAACAGCCTTTTCGATTGAGGAAGCACACGGGGAGCAAGAGAGTTTATCTATTTGGTAACATTGCCGCCATTGCCTCGAGGCGCCTTCAGACGGAATCACATTTAGTAGTCAGTGTTGTCAGTCTGGGAAAGACACCCGGCATCGACGGGGCACAGGTGTATACTGTGGGCCCAAATTATTGGTTTAAGTAAAGCTTTTGTACCAATTATTTGCGAGATCCGTTCTAACAGCTCCAGGCACTTCTCACCTCTGATCGGGAGGCTCGTGGGGACAAAGGACGCCATTCAGAGTGAGGATGGAAGAAAAACAATCAATCGATACAATTTCCAGGCTGTACAAATCCAGTTAACAGGACCAGTGCCCAAGGAATTGTACCACAGATATGTGGAATTCAAGCCCTTCGTCGCAGGGATGTTCACGTCACATACATTGCGAGGGCGAATACTTAACAGAGCGCTCCATCACCAGCATGAGAGGATCTATAATTTTGACCGGGCGACATTAGACGGCCAATTTGATAAGCCATGTTTGGAGCTTACACGGCAATTCCTTGGGTTTGTCGAATACGCGCAGGGAGGCAGGATCTTTACATATGTCCTCACCCTGGACGGTCAATTCCGTTTCACTGAAACAGGCAAGCAGTTTGGTATCGACCTTTTGAGTAAGCATACGATGCACAGCAACGTATCTGTCTATATCGCCTACTCGGGGGAGTTTTTCATCCGACGGCGCAAGCATCACCACCATCGAATGCAGTCTTTGGTGTCGAATCGTTCATCTACCGAGTATGTCATGGACCATGATGGCGAGGAGAGGGAGGTATCGACGGACCCCGATAAATATGAGCTCTTTATAGACAACGACAGCGGTACCTACAGGCCGAACGCCAAATACTTGTACCTTCTGAAAGAATTTTTCTCCTCTAACTTCCCTGGACTTCACATTACGACCCTGGACTGTCAAGCCGATGCGGAGCGGATGCAGCAACTCAAAAGTGAACAGAGAGAACAGAAAAACAGCGCAGGTGGCCAGATGGCTTTCCTTCAGCAACGAAGCAGGTCTTCATCTTCTTTGTCTATATCAAGTTCCGACGAAGACGAGTTGAACGAGCGCAGCGGCCTGGAACAGAAAAAGAGGGGAGACTTTGCTAAAAGAGTGCACGAGATGCGGGATGTCAAGGGGCAGGTACTGAAGTGGGCACAGGCAGATGAAGACGTACAGCCCGATTTTGGGAATAAAGCGACCACGGCCGAGTCATCACACCCTTCTGAGGGAACGGCCGAGGGCAGGATCGGGGTCAGGGAGGAATAGTAAGCCCCATTTTTATACCCAAATGGTTCCAAGGGCCATTGCTCTTTACTTTGCGACCCTTTGCCCGAGACTTGGGCCTGTTATTTTATGTTTACTCTTCCCTCTAAGTTGGTTTCATGGATTCCGTACCCGGCGACCATTATTACTGTTGTGTGCAATCTGTAATGTTAATGATATTATTCTTAGTGGAGGGGGGCGGGTGGTGGACTGACCAGCCTCAACCATTATCAACTGTTCTCCTTTACTTGTTTCATGTCTTGCTGTAGCAACTGCAGTTTTAAGTCTTGGTATGAGAACATTTTAACTGGGTAGCTTTACAATATATGATATGTTACTATTTATTGGATAGAGTAGCGGCTAAAAGACTAAAGACTGGACATGATGGGTTTCAGAAGTTCACGAGAGATATAAGACGCCCCGAGGCAAAGAGACTGTTCGATGACATAGTGTACGCAGGATATCCAAGATGCCTCATATCACACGCCCTGCCGAGGTGCTGGAGCTTCGATCGTTGGTCTGGACTTTCCTGAGTCCCTTGCCTGCCTGGATTGAGGCCAACAGAGCGCCTCTATCAGGGGCGCCAGCGGGGGCTGCCGTGGCAGGACCGGGAGGTGGAGGAGGTCCAGGGGGTGGGGGTGGAGCGGGAGGCGCCATAGGAGGAGGTGGAGGTGGTGGAGCACCAGCCGGTGTTTCAATGCTGGGCACCAAGGGCGCGGCTCCAGGCGGAGGAGGTGGTGGTGGCGGGGGAAGCTGTGCACCACCAGCATTGGGGGATATGTCTGCTTCAGCTGGGATTGGCGGAACCGGTGGGATAGAAAAGTCTTGTACCGGTGTCGCGGACTTGGGCGAAGGGGACTGATTGTCCATAGCGCTCAGAGGCCGAGGAGGTGCCATAGTACCGAAGAGAATACTTGCGAGTTGTTTGGCGCTTCCACCACCTGCGCGGTCATCGTCTTCATCATCAGACGACTCGAGATCAGATCCGGCCGCCGACCAGTCATCGTCCGCCTCTGGGCGAGCGCGAGTTTTTCGTTCAAGTGGCCCAGAACCTGTAAACTTCGGTTGTGTTGTATGCTGCTGCTGCTGCTGAGCAAGCCGATGGAATGGGTTGGTGGACTGGGTATCAGCTTTCTGAGGAGCGCTGGCTTGAGAGGCTTCAGGTGATGTTGGGGGAGGATAGTCCGTAGGCTGAGAAATGTTCCTCCTGAAATAAGGATTCTTAGACTCAGTTTCGGGGCTTAGGTTAGCTGGCACTGCTCGAGTGCTTTCGGGAGAACTGGAGGCAGTGGTTGTCTCAGGTTCAGGAGCGGCCGGCGGTTCAGAAACTGGAGCGGGAGGCGCTGGGGGAACCGGGGTAGATGTCGGAGGTAGAACCTGGCTCTGAGTTGGCGTACTGTCCTGGGGTGTTGTGATATCCACTGGACCTTCCTCGTCCGAAGAGCTCTCGTCTAGGCCTTCAAGTTCCAACTGTAGCTGTCGCTCCCGCTCCTTGGCGGCGTCTAGTTCCGCCCGCTGACGTGCGAGTCTGGCTTCTTGTTCTTGTGCGGCCTTCTTAGCTTCTTCTCTTCGGCGTTTCTCCTCCTGCTTCTTAATCTTTCCTTGCCTGACCTGCTCCTCAAGAGCGCGAAGACGGGCCTCCTGAGCCTGCTGCTCTTTCTCGAACTCGTCTTCATGTTTCTTGGCCTCCATCCTAGCGTAAAAGTGAGTAAACCGTTCAAGAAAGGTATACTGAGCGGATTGACGCTACTTACTCGAGGCGCTTAGTCTTCTCCTCCTGTGCTTGTTGTTCCTCCTTCAAAGCTTGTTCGCGCACCAGCTGCTCAGCCTTAGCTGCATCTTCAGGCGCTTTTTTAGCATCAGCCTGACCAGTGCTATCAGTTCGACGACTGCGCGACGGTGGTGCTGGTGGAGGCTTTTTTCCAACAGTTTTCGCTGCTTGACTGGAAGGAGGACGCTGCTCATCAGCAATACGGCGTTGCCTCTCCTGCTCTCGCTTAGCATCTTCCTCTTCCGCCCGTCTCACCCGCTCTTCCCTTTCCCTCCTCTCACGTTCTTGACGCTGAGTCAAAGTTTCGATAGCATCACTTTGAGGCTTAAGACCGGCAGCCGCCATGCGTTCGGCAATTCGTCTTTGGGCGCGTTCCCTCGCAGCAGCAACACGGTCCTCATGGGTGATTGGTGCAGAGCCTGCTGATCCAACAGACGGTGGCGGGGACGGTCGTGCAGCTGTCGAGGCATGTGCCGGAGAATGGCGAGCCCGCGATTCCAGAGGAGATGATTTTCTCGAATCCCTGTAAAGGTTAGATTCACAGTGGGGGAACGAGAACAAAAGGAAACAGCAACAAGTAAACGAGCGTAACTTGACGGTAAACTTACTCTTCTTTTCGAATATGCGCAGTACGGCTACCGCGGTTGAGGTCGTAGATGAAATCACGAATAACGTCCTCAACACCTAGAGCATCTTCCCACCGACGCCTTTCATGTTCGCGGGTAGAGCTATCGCCCCCTTCCTTGAGGCTGTCCTCCAAGCTGCTGGCGAAGTCCTTAACGCTTTCTTCCACATCGCGAGTCATGGAATCATTCTTCTCTCTCTCCGCCTTGACCCTAGCACTCTCTGATTCTAGGCGACGGGTTGCAGCGCCCTCGTCATCCTGTGACGTAGGAGCCGGTCTTCCAGCGAGTTCGGCGGCGCGAGCTTGCATCCTAGCACGCGCACGAGCCTTGATGTGGTCAGCTTCCGTGACTGCGCCGCCAGGCCCAGTGCCGACAATATTGAATGCGCTATTAGGGTGTGCCTTGGCATCCTTGAGACGGAATATCTCAAGCCTAGCCTCTGCAATCTGACGCTCCACACGCCTAACGTCCGAAGCAATCTGCGGTACCTGGTCTTCATATGCCTGCAATTGGCGACGCAGTGTCCTTCGCTCAGCACCAGTATCGAGGTTGCGAAGAGAGGCATGGGGGTGAGTATCGATATCGTCCTGGACGCGTCGGATCCTATCCATCAGACTCTCCGCCTCCCGGCGGTCCCGCCGATCAAGCGCATCCTCTTCCTCCGCACGGTTTTCATCCTCAAAATCTACCGCTTCCAACATGATCTGAGTTTCGCGGATCTTCTTCTTCAGCTGCTCGACCGACAGTTCATCCTCTGAGGCTTGCGAAGCCGCAGGTGAAGGAGTGCGACCGCTGTTTCCAACACGGCGACGAGCACTTGAGCGGTAACCAGCAGCCGCATCGTCGTTGTTCTTGAACAGCGTAGCATCCTTGCGGCCTGCACCTGCACCGGGCGACACTGCCCCACCGCGGAAAGAATGTTCCTTCAGATAGCTGACACCGGTCTTCTGGGGCTGCAGGAATGCACCAGTAGCTTTTCGATGCTCTGCATCTTGAGAAAGCATGGACTTGATGGTTCCAATTGAGTCGTTCAGATTCCTTGTGGATGGAGGGATAAGTTCCGGGGGCAGACGGCTTGGAATGGGATAGCCATTGAGCTTTCTATAAATCAGGTGCATCGCGACAGCAAACTCGTCCATGTTGAGTCGGCCACGGTTATGAGGGTCCGCCAATGTCCAAAGAGCCTCCAAATCATTCCTAGCCAGACCACTCTGACCCATAATCTCAATTGCAGTGTCACCACCAATGAATCCCTTGTGAAGGCCATCCCATGCCCGAAAAAGGTCGTCATAGATCCTCTTTTCTTCTTTCGTGATAGCCCAAGGGATATTCGCATTTCCGGAGAGCCCAGCAGCAGAGAACCCACCCTCGCGACCTGGCTGAGGCATCAGCTGCTGTTTCAATGCGTCGATATTAGGCAATCCCGAGGCAGGCGCATTGACAAAGCCCCATTGACCAGGAATTCCAGTGGGCTGTGCTACTAGTCCACCAGTTTGTGAAGGACTGAGATTCGAGCCGTAACCCGTCGGCATGGGAGGCATTGGTGGACGAGGACCAGTATAGCCTGTTGCCTGCGGGTTATTCAAGAGACCCATTTGGGGAGGCTGAAGACCTTGTCCCGGAGCCTGCCCGGGGAATCCTGTCGCCTGTGGGACAAGGCCCTGAGGTTGACCTGGGAAAGCAACATTGGGTTGGTACCCGGAAGACTGTGGGAATCCGGTTGGCTGCGCGGTAAGCTGTGACAAAAGTTGCGAGTTGTTAGGCTGTTGTGGTCGGGGCTGCTGCGGCGCGGGCGGCGCTGATTGATTCTCGAGCAACGGCGCATCAAAACTAGGAACATTTGTTCTGACAACAGGTTCTGGCTGCGTGTCTGGGACCTGAAAGGAGATGATGTCTACCATGCTCGAGACCTCATTCTTTATCGTTTCCGGAAGTGAGCCTGGTATATCCCTTCCCGTGATTCTCAGGTTGCACAGGTACATGGCCAAAGCGAATTCAGGAAAGAGTAACTGGCCGGATTTAGTGGTGTCGGATAAAACCCTATGAGTTGTGAGCTTCAAGTCCGAGTACAAGGAGCCCGTAAGGGTTACCAAATCTTCGACAAGTCACTCCCGGAGAGCTTCGAGCGAAGGAGTAGTTCCTTCGCTTTGTCACCTAGAGAGAAAAAAATTAGACAAGTGTTCCAGCCATCTATAACGTAGCAAATTTGTCCAACTAACCAGTCATTGCCTGGCTTTCTCCGACAGCGGATTTGAAGAGCTGCTCAAACTTCGCCTGATCTTGCGCCGTGATGAATGACAGTCGAATGTTTGGGATTCGGCCACCGGAAGCCTTGGGCGGCGGAGTAGGCGCAACTCCTGAGACATCCTGGAACGAGTTCGCTATCTCGGAGGAAGTCTGCAATCCGGTTCGAAGCGGAAGGTTCGTGCTCGACGTAACCTGTATCTGCGGGCCCTGGCCCTGAGGCTGGAATCCACCATGTTGAGATTGCTGCAGTGTGGAGGGGTAACCTGTAGGCTGGGGTTGTTGGGGCTGCGGCGCCTGTCGTGCTGGTGCGCCCGGGAAACCAGTATACTGAGCCTGAAGCTGTCCGGGTGAAAATCCAGTTGCTTGCGGTTGCAAATGGGGTGCACCAGAGGCAGATAACTGAGGACCATAGCCTGTAGGCTGGGAGGCAAGACCGGTCTGTTGAGGTTGTGCCTGCTGCTGGCCGAATTGCGAGAATGGGGATTGCTGCTGTATGTAAGGCTGCCCCGGGCGTGCGCTGTTAGCACCGCCCAGGAAGGAATTAGACGAAGAATACATTAGCAACTATGCAGCTTCATTGGCGACAGAGTTAATGGCAGAATATGAAACAAGAAATCAAACAATGGAGAGACGAAATGGGGAATTCGCGGGGGGAATGAATGGCGGGCAGGCAGCAAGATGGGCTCAGGAGCAGGGTGGTGACGCCGGGTGTCCAGTTCCTCGTGGGTCAGGGACACGCAGCCGCTAACCGGAAAGGGGTGCTGAGTCAGCAGGCACAAACAAGGGGGACTACTACGAAGTATATGGCTCGGGAATGCACGGGCAGAGCCCTTGTAGTACTATTACTAGTTAGGTCCTTGTTGCTGAACAATTAGTTAGCTGGGCCATTACGCTCGCTCATGAACAGTAGAATAATGTCATCAAGATTGGCCCCCGCCATCAATCATTCCGTTGCTCCCATACATGGAGTGTCAAGCACAAAATAGCCCCGCAGATCATAACAAAGAAAATAGAAAGGAAGGTCTATCAGGCATCAGATAGGACACGCATAACCAGCTGCGTGCATTGCATTGAAATATAACCCACGCCACTACCGCAAAATCAAAAGTTTGGATACCACAATGAACACAGCTGACTAAAATCCATCTGAAACACCATTTTGTTGCTGCTGTGTGGCTCCAACCATTTTGCGCAATTCATATTCTTTGGTAAATTCTCGAGACAAGATGCCCAGGTCACGCACTAGCTCATTGCATGCGGCAATGACAGCTTGCTTAGGGGTGATGTCGCCATCTGTTTGTACACGAAGGACAAACTTGGGAACAAGGGGATGAGGAACCTGATGACAGAGTTAGTTGTCACATGGTTAAACAACATAGGTGAAGAACTGCTCTTGAGAGCCGCTGTTCTGCTGAAGTGAGCGATACCCTGTATGCAGCAAAAAGAACATGAGAGCTCTGCAGAAGACGAGAACGGATCAGATTTCCAAGCGTATGGTCTTCTTTGTTGAAGGTGAAGATAGCTGATGATGGGATTCCTGAGATCTGTCAGTCATTGAATGTTGCGTTAGTCCATTGGACACCGCAAAAACTTACGTGTGTCAATCTCCATCTCAACCTTGCTTTCACCACTCGCAAGAACGAAGGACTCATATCTATATGCAGGAGCTTGTTAGCTAGATGCCACCATGAAACAATCAAATAGCAGAGCGATCCAAGGCGCAGGCTATATTTTCAACAATTTGAGATATCAGACCTGTCCGGGACGTTGCCAGCTTTATCAGTTGGCTGGCCACCCTTTCGAGTAGTGGTGGCACGAGCGAGAACAACTTCTGGTGGGAGGATAGCCTTGGGTTTGTGTTCCTCGTCCGGGTACATGATGTTTTGATATGAAACAATTGGAACAGGTACACAAAGCAAGAAGAGATGACAGAGATTTGGGGCAGTAGTATTACATGGAAAGGACCAAATGAAAGTAGAGTAGCTGAATCAAAGACTGTTCACAGACACTCATAAGAAAGTGAGGGGAAATTCAGGGCCTGAATCTGGAAGGAGGAAGTTGAACTGGGCATTGCCCACAGTTAAGCCACAGCTTCCACTTTCAGATCCAGACAGGGAACAGAATACAAATGCTCTGAAGACAATGCGAGCTCCAACACAAAGTTGCAGTCTCAATACCAAAGCATATTCTTACCTATCTGGTGCGTTCATTTTGAATCAAAGGAACCCAGTTACCTGAGTTACACTCTGTCTCAAATATCCAAGAGACTATGGCCGCGGAGTGACAAGCGGATTTGAAAGCTGTTCTAGGTTTACTCAAGAAAAGAGTTTATCCCGCTTATTTTCAATCAGGACTTCAGTAAGTAGAGATTTTGACACTGGCCAAGAATAACTGCATAGCTAAGAGTCAGATAGGTTATTCGGTGTCTCAGAAACAACAGAACAAGCCAGAATATCTACCTGGAGTGGGTGGGAGAATACGGATATTCAGGAATATTAAGCAAACTGATATAGGGTGGGCCTCAGACCGAGCGCTTTGACAACAGCTGCTTCACAGAGGAGATGAGTAAGGTAAGAGAGTATAGAAAGTAAGAGGACGAAGATATCCTGTATATCGATAAATCTGAGCAGTGCTGATATCAAAGAGAGCCAGCAGATCTTCCATGAGTTCCGCCCCGCTTTGAGTCAGCAGATCACGTGGCTAGGTAACTGGCAGTTAACCTTGTCTGTAGAAAAAGAGGTTAACTACCACTAGACTTCACTAATGATGTGACCCTACTCTAACTAACAATGTAGGCTTGAAATTGATATTTGCTTACAAAGGTAGGAGTAGCGGGATACATATAATAGGCGCGTTTTCGACGAGGGTGTATGAATATCTCCAAGGACGATCTTACACAGCCGAATAACCGCGGTCAACTATTTATGCTCTCCGTTCCTCCGTGATCCTTTCACACACCATGTCAATTCAAAAGAAACAGAACGACATGTCAACCAACTCAGCGCTACAGGCCGCCTACCCTTGGACCAAGGCACCTCTACTAGCTTCGGCGCCGATGCTGAACATTGCCACGGCACCGCTCGCCGTCGCCGTCTCAGCAGCAGGTGGCCTGGGCTTTCTTGCCGGTGGCTTCGACATCTCATCCATGGAAGGCAATTTGGAAGAGGCCGTTCAACTCATCAAGGGATCAAACTCGACGATCCGAGAGGTCTACGCCACCAGCAATATTCTCCCAATTGGAGTTGGTTTCCTAAATTGGGGCGCCGACCTCCTCAAAGCCATCGCCGCGATTGAGAAGTACCGGCCCTGCGCCGCCTGGCTCTTTGGTCCCAAGAAGTTGCCCGATGACCTCCGTCCATGGGTTGAGCAGATACGCGCTGTGACCGGTGGCGAGACCAAGATCTGGATCCAGGTAGGCACTGTAGCCGAGGCGGTCGTCGTCGCAGAGTCTCTGGATCCAGATGTCTTGGTTCTACAAGGCTCAGATGCAGGTGGCCATGGCCTGGCCCAATCAGCGTCAATAATCACTCTTGTACCCGAGGTAAATGATGCGCTTGGAGCGCGGCAGCTCAATCCCATATCACTTATTGCGGCGGGTGGTATAGTTGACGGTCGAGGGCTGGCTGCGTCCCTTGCACTCGGAGCCTCAGGTGCGGTCATGGGCACTAGATTTCTGGCCTCCTCGGAAGCCAAGGTTGCCCGTGGTTATCAGGAGGAGGTCCTCCGCGCATCTGATGGCGGAGTGAGTACCGCTCGCTCGACCGTGTATGATCGAGTGAGAGGGATCTTGAGCTGGCCGTCGCGATATGACGGGCGTGGTGTGGTCAATCAAAGTTATGTCGACGCTGTTGAGAGAGGCATGGGTGACGAAGAAAATCGAGCACTCTATGCGGAAGAGTTGAAGAAGGGAGACGCTGGGTGGGGTCCCAATGCCAGACTAACAACGTATGCTGGCACAGGAGTTGGGCTTGTTACAGAGGTTATTCCTGCTGCCGAGATTGTAGCAAACGTGATCGAAGAGGCAAAGAATGCTTTTGCATGGAGTTGTTGACAGAGTATAAACAGGTTTCATTAGTTTGGGAACTTGCATTTTCCTCATACAACCTGGCCCAGATACACTCGAAATTCACCTATCCAGGTATGTATGCTGTTTTGGTTATAAAATGACTATCAGAGAATGGACATGGTTAGCACCCAAAGTGGCTGTCGAAACATGAACATGATTATAAAAGTATAGTATAACACCTACAATCGATCGTGTCCTGTCATGAACCACGGCTTGTACTTACAAAACGGCTATCAAACAGCTTCAGGTGTGGACCTTGATCATAAGCAAGTCATACGGTATACTCTAGAGTAACTCTGTAAGCCGGAGAGGATTGTTATGTATATTTAGGGTATATCCAAGGCTGCAGATGTGATATTCTGTGTACAGCGAGCTCCGTTCCTATCAAATGACTAGTCCGGTTGGACCAGGTTGGACCATCTGACGAGAGCTCCATCAGCACGAGAAGAAGGAATCAGGCAGCACTTTATACTTAGATTAGGCATGTTACTACTACACTGTGAATGAATAGAACATCCCAAGGACCATGAATTGGTGCGGCTAAGGACTCTGGGCTCAGAATACTCCGTAGGATCGGAAAATTATAAAGAGTCAGGGACGCTAGAGCAATCTTTCCCGCTTCAGGTATTTCGATCGAGGGGTAGATTGACGACAAGATTCCGGAGTCAAGTCTAAGCCCCAAGTTCTTCGCGACTCCTCTACTCATCCGCCATCCTCCACAGCAACCTAATACCATCCCATTCCCTCAACCGACTGTCCTACCTTGTCAGCCAACTGTTTGCTTTCTCCTTGAGCCTCTTCCGCTCGGCCGCCCAACCGCTTCCCCGTCGCCTTTTCTATACACACTCAATCTATCGGGCCAAGAGTCAAGATCGTGGATGAATCGAGGGGGTGAAGACTGAAGAGAGCTGAAACAGTGGCAGTGTGGCTCCATCTTCCCCACTCAACTCATTTTATCTCGTCCACTCTGCGCTCCGACTGTGTTCTTCCAAACCCGTCGATCGTTATTATTCACGGCTCCTTGCCCTTGCCTATGACCACGGGCCACTCACTCAAGACCTGAGTTGGGTGGCAGCAGCTCGTTGGGATCCAGCCTCGATTTCCGTATCGATCACAGACCGCCGATGGTGACCTTCTAACTTCCCCGGCTTCCTCTTCGGACTTGATCTTCTGACCGGCGACTTGACACCTTCAGCGCTTTTACCATGGGGATTGTCGGAAGCCGACTTGACGACTCAGGGTGCCTGTATTTCAAGGATCAGAACAAATGTGCGTTTCTTCTGCTCGGGCGGCTGATGGACTGCGATTGACATCTGATTCTACTAGTAACGATCGCATCTGTGACGATATCTAATTCTCGCCGTGTACTCCTCAACCTCGTTCCAAACGCATTCCCCGCGACTAGGTATAATGCGAGAAGAGACCTTGGCGATGATGCCTTGGTTGAGTATATACAGGTAATATGGACGATCGTCGCATGGCAATTTCTCCGTTAGCTCACAATCCCAATACACAACAGGACCCGGACTCTCCTCCGTCTGCTCCCACCCCGTCGTTCCTCTTACGCCTAAACAACGATGATGAACTCATTTTCAAATTTACCTTTGTTCTAAGACAAACACAAACTGGGAACGTGACGAATTCGACAGTTAACGGGGTTTCGACGACATTACCCGAAGTAGCCGACACCATATTGACGGGCTTGACCTTCGCGCATGCGCCCAACTCAAAAGAGCTCGACAATCTGGTCACAAGGGAATTCCACGCGAATCCGAATTTACAGAATAACTCGAATGTCCAGCTTGTGGGGGATTTCTCGACCGGTGGCAGCCCATCTGTCCAGTTTGACTGGACCTGGAAGTGGAAGCCCCCGAAGGGCACGGAAGACAAGGGTGGTGGCTGGCGGAATAGCTGCAGCTTCTTGGATTACGACCAAAGAGCGAACCGGCTCAATACCCTCGCCTATTTTTCGTTTTGGGTACAAAATACCGCGCGCGCTCTGCCGAGTCCGCAGGTTATTTCCCCGAATCTGGATGTCCACATGCCTATCCGCAACCGAGTTCCCTCCTCGCATTCAGTTTTATCACATTCTAGCGATGCAGATATATCGTCAACCGCTCAAATACAAGTTGTACCGGAGACACCCCCAGAGGTAAATGATGCGCCTTCAACTTCCGCAGCTCCGGCCCCCGTGAAGGTAGATCTTCCCCATTCGCGTCCGGGTGAGGATATGAGTGCGGTCGAAGATGGTCCTCTATTCCGTGCTACCATGAAGGCGCTAGAGCAGAAGACTGGCAATATGCGCGCAAAAATCAAGAAGCTCCTGAAGAAGGCCGAGGCTGCGCATCAAGCCCAGACCGCTTGCAATGAAGCTGTGGAGGCCTTTTTATCTGCCCTTGGGGATGCGTCTACGTCTAACGCGAACGCAATCCAACCAGCATTGGACCACTATTTTGAAAAGATTTCGCGGCAGATACTGAACTACGAGCGCCTTAACGCCTTACAGCTTCAAAGGCTGGTTATTGAACCCCTTCTGAAACTCTATACTAACGACATCAAACAAGCGGAAGCTAAGAAGAAAGAATTTGAAGAAGAAAGCCGGGACTATTATGCTTACGTTGGTCGATACCTCGGACAACGGCAGGACTCGTTAAAGGAAAAAAAGCGAGTGGAGAGTGACTCTAAGTACCAGGCGAAACGGCGAAATTTTGAGTTAAGACGGTTCGACTATTCATCATTCATGCAGGATCTTCATGGTGGCCGCAAGGAGCAGGAGGTTCTCTCTCATCTTACTAAATATGCGGACACTCAGGCGAAGAGCTTCCTCGCTGCTGCCAAACACGTGGACGACATGGTGCCACAGCTTGATGCTCTTATCCATGAGGTCAATCAAGCCGACAAGGAATTCCAATTCCAGAGAACGGAGAGGGAAGAGAAACGGAGAGCTTTGGAGAAAAGCAGCAACACGTACCTTGAGCCTGACGCGCCCACCAGCGCGAGCGCTGCGTCAACGTTAGTCGGTAGCGGCAATGGGAATCAGAAATCAGAGGGCGACTTGGGTCGCGCAGACAGCACGGGGTCGCAGCTACGAAGTGTCACGAGCAACAATTCATCCACGTCAACTCAGACAGCCCCTCCCACAAACCCCCCGGCTGGGACATCCGCCGTGACCTCAGTAATGAACCCGAGTTGTACGTTATTTGGCATATCTGACTATATCTGCAAAGGAGTTATCAACGCTAACCTTGGAATAGGCCAACAAAGGAAAGAAGGGCTGCTCTGGGCATTATCTCGACCGGGTTCTCATATTGATCCCAAGGGAATCAACAAGCAGGCTTGGCATAAGTAAGATCATAAATGCTCCTTTATAATTTTACAGGAAGTGCTAATTTTCGCCAGATTTTGGATTGTTCTCGACCAAGGCAAGTTGTCAGAATACAGCAACTGGAAACAAAAGCTTGACTTACACATGGACCCCATCGATCTGCGGATGGCCTCGGTAAGAGAGGCTCGGAATGCAGAACGGCGATTTTGCTTCGAGGTCATCACTCCGCAATATAAGCGCATTTACCAAGCGACTTCAGAGGACGATATGGGTAATTGGATCCGGGCGATCAACAACGCTCTACAGAGCGCGGTTGAAGGACGTAGCATGTATCCACCCCCAGTATCCGATGGCGATAAACCATCCATCGGTCGTGACATAGGCTCCGTGCTGACGGGGAAGAGCTCTTCGGTTTCCCATCACTCCCACCATCCATCTGCCTCCAGCAACGTGACCCGCCGCACGACAGTTGGCGCCCGGCCAAGCTATGTTCGCAGCGATTCGCAGGGATATGAAGATAATCCCTCGAAGCTACTACAAGCGGTTCGCGACGCCGACCAAGGCAACCACTGGTGCGCGGACTGTAACTCCACCTCCAAAGTTGAGTGGGTCTCCATAAACCTGGGGATCGTTTTGTGTATTGAGTGCAGTGGCATTCACCGGTCTCTGGGGACGCACATCTCCAAAGTTCGATCACTCACATTGGATGTCCATTCTTTCTCGAACGATATCGTTGAGATTCTTCTTCAAGTTGGAAACCGCGTTAGCAATATGGTTTGGGAGGCCACTCTAGACCAGTCTCAGAAGCCTATGTCCTCGTCCACTCGAGAACAACGGCTCAGATTCATCACGGCCAAATATGCGGAAAGGACATTCGTCCAACCCCTGCCGTCTCCATTATCACGATTTCCGACAGCGGACGAAACACTTCTCGCCTCAATCAAGAGGAACGATATTCAAGGGGTGTTGTACGGCATCGCTCTCCGTGCCAATGTGAACGTCGCCGATCGTTCCCGTAGCACTGACGCTGTCTTCCTCGCCTTAGCTGCAGCTGATCCGGCCCAACCCGGTTCAACACCTTCAAGTATAGCCTCTCGACCTAGTACATCCGCCAAAACGATCCCTTTCCCCGTCGCTGAGCTCCTAGTACAGAATGGAGCCGAGATCCCTTCCCAACCCCCGCCAATTCCTCTTTCACCAGCTGCTCAGTTATACCTCAACCAGCGAACCGCACGACTCTCTGGTTTGAGTCATCCAGCTCCTGTTGCATCGCCGCCAGATACACTGGGATCACTGCCTACCCTCCGGGGGCCTGGAACAAGCGGCGAACATGCACCGAGTCCATTGGAGAACAAAGAGCGTGAGAAACTGCATAAAAGAGGGAGTGCTGGAGCCAGGTTTGCTGGTAAAGTTGCTTCGCTGGGCATTGATCGATAACCTTCATATTTCCTATCCCTCCTGCCTTATACCTACCGATATCTATTCTTACTTCATGACGCGTCTCGCTTCCCTTCTTCCTGGATCCTACACCAGTTTGGCGGATTGATTCCAATTACGATCTATTTATACACCGATTACACTTAATGATGGGTCCAGGCGGACATAATGATTATTGCTACTGAGAAAAACATCTTCGCCGTATTACTATTATTGCTAACATATTCGTGGGGATAACTACATTGCCTATGCAGGTGTTCGCTTCAAGTACAGACGATTGATGGATTGATCGAAGATGTCAGGCCTGATATTCTTGATCATGGTATATCCTCACCCTTACGTTTCTCTTTTCGTGGACATCATTGTGAGTTGACCAGGGTCGAACTCGGTCTCAGTGGTACTTTATAGGAAAGTCGTCTAGGTTTCCTCAAATTGTGTTCTTGATTCCCGTAAAGCACCTGTAGGGTAGTAGCTGAGGGCACCGTACCTGGTCAAACCGGACCCCGCGTTCCAACCATCAGCGTTTGCTCTCTTGACGCTATTACAAGGGTGAAGCTGCAGTAGACAACCTTGAGCCCTGATTGATCACATCCTTCTGACAATAGAGGGTAAGTTTTCGACTTGGAACGCCTCTAGTGATATCCGCGCGCTGACCATGTCCTATAATCTAGGTATATCCGTACTTCCGCGGTAAACAGTACGGAATAGGCTGTACTTTGGATATTGGTACCAGATAAGAATATTACGGACTGTCGGAAATCAGCTGCCCTATCATAATGCTACCGTAGGTCTTTGCAGAGTAATCTAGAGGAAGATTGAGCCCGATGCACCTCGAGGACGCACGCGCATATCCCGTGTGACTCAGCCGTGAGCGTCTAGGTACCTACGGTATGACGTCATGCAAAAATATAGTGAGCATGTACATACGTATACGTACCAGTCCTCTTCCATTCCCTGGATACTGAGCGGGGACATGATAAGCAACCAACTGGTGAATACAGATACAACTCCTCGAAAATGGCGATGGCGCTGCTTGCTAACGGATTGAGAAACAGAACCCGCAAGTCAACACGTACTCGCTGGGCCTATTCATCTCCAGTTGACCACTACCGAGCTTGAGGTAGATTAACTGAGGAGACGAACAGAGCCGCGCGTGTGGAGAGTTGGATAATTTTGTCTTTAATATTATAGGAGGATGCACTGACCCTTCTTGTAGCACAGGTGTGGTGGCTGTACAGAGGCAACGCGTATACCGGGGTTCAAGCACGTTAGGCTGAACTAAATGCATGATATGGAATGCCCCGAGGATTGGAGTTTCCAGTGTGGGAAAAGTGTGGCAAGCTTGCTGTCTTTACCAATTAAACAAGGTAAGGATAGACGGGACTGCGAGTTCCCTTGCTCCGTTGTTTATGACAAAAATAGGCCGAAGTAGACAATTGATAAGGTTAAGTCAAACTAATAATCAAGCTGCCCTGAGAGACTCAGCGGATAAAGAATCCGCGTTGAGTGAAAGGCCGAGCAGGGCTCACCTCAACGTCAAGTACGGAGTAAACGGCTGAGAAATCGCCGAGTTTAGGGACACAGGGGCACTGAGCACGAATTCGAGCCCACAAGCACGGCAATAACCTCGGCTTGGTCCGCCGCATCTCGAGTCGATAGAGGGGATTTAGCTATAACTAGATCTCAAGCGTAAGGCAAGTAAACGGGTATATGTGGATGCTGGACTCAGCCGGATCGACCCGCCAATCATAGCCGGCAGGAAGCACTGCGCACACTGTACTCTGAGCTCCTTAAGCATGACATATATTGTGCCTATCCAACTCAGTACGTGAACTCACTGTGGCACGCACTCTGCAGACTGACTCTCAGAATAATTCAGATAAATGGAGATTGGGATGAAAGGCACGCTCCGAGTAGGTACACTCTCTACGGAAGGACCTGAAAATGAGAGTTATCGAGGACGGATGCCACACCATTCTACGGAGTAAGAAAGATCCACCGGTCACAGTGGGCTTGTGGCAAGCAGCCTCTGATACCTTGTACCTACCAATGGTCCGATTATTGCCCCCGGGTCGCGTAGCTTCCCTTTCGGGTCGATATGAGGTCTAAGCAGTGGGGTCTAATGCGATTGGTCGGCATCTCGTACCGAATCCACGAATCAGATTCCACGAAGGGCTGCCCGGCTGCCCCGGCATCTTATTCTCAGTTCTCACTTCCCCAGGGGAGTTCAATTTATTCATGTTGAACAGGAACGGTTTTGCTTCGCTCTGTCAGTCTGACCAGTGGCCCACAGGGATCCAATCAGCCCTAGTGCGGCCCTGCCACAGTGCCACAGCTCTTCAGTTTGCACTCAATAATCGTCTGACTGACTGATGGTGTTCTTCCGCCTCTAGTGTTTCTGGGAAGTCCTGCCACTACAGAGTAGCTGTTCTGACATACCGTGATTCCCGGAGCTGATAGTCTGTGGTGGTGGGTGGCCGCCATCGTGCATCATTGGGAGTCGAGACTTTCCCTCCTCAGCCTGTCTCTTTCAGGTACTGTTATTAAAGGTGGCGCTCATATCAGCCACACTGCCACGGAATGCCCTCAGGAATTAATCCAGGAACAGTTTAACAGTCCCCACCGGAAAGCCTGAGGGCATTTGACGGTGCGTACTCTTTAGAGTATAGAACACCTGGTCCGCAGTGCCACCTGCAGTCCGCTGTCAAATTGGAATCTTGGGGATATAAAATCCGCCCTCCTGGTTTTATCATGTTGCCACTGCGTCCTCTGCACATTGTTCCTGGGAGCACACGGAGTACACCGTCTCTTTTGCATATGGATTTGCCACTACTGGCCCTTTGACTGAGTCAACGCTTGTGGTAACGAAGATCTACTACCATAACTTCTCGCAAATTGCCCAATGGTCCACTCCGGAAATCCTCCCTAAACAATAATCTGTCAAAAGGTGATCCATGGATCTGGCCAGGTCCGATGCACTCTGGCTATGCCCAATCATGCCTTCACGATCAAGCCATCTTATGTCGCCAAATTTTCACTTCACTGCGGAATACAATAGTATTATGTGGAAGCCTATCTTGCTGTGACATCAGTCCCAGCTGTGTGCGAGAATAAGAACAGTCTGCGCTTTTGTGTTATCTCCCAGTCAATTGTTTTTGATCACTGCCTGGTCTGAGGGATCGAGACTCTTCAGGAACATTCCGTGTGGCAAGCATTCTCCCCTGGGCCCTCCAACTTAACTCAGGCTGTTCGCTAGGTCATTCGTCAAGGTATACTCTACTGTTGGAACGCAAAGAATAACCTGCAGAATCCGTCGATCGAACCCTCGTCGATCTTTGCATGCCAAATTGATCGCTGTGGCGTGAGAGGAGGTTGAACCGTTGAAGGCAAATTCCGAGTGGAAACGGGGCCCCGATCTTGTAATTCGGAGTGGATGGTTTCTCCATCCAGGAACGGGCCACAGCCACAAAAGGAGACTCAACCCAACCCTCAAATACTGACTATTGGGCTCTGTGAGTGTCTACTGCTATCTAGACTACCATTCAGAGCTGTGACTCGTGACATCCTCGCTTTCCGGTCAGTCCCCATCGCCGGGGGGCATCTTCTGAGAAGGCCGCGTTCTCCAGTGGCCCGTTGCGCGCTAATTATTCAAAATCATTGGTTTCACTATCCGTGGCAGTTCCCTCTAGCCTTATCCACACCGGGCGTGCAGGGCTTGATTTGCCGGGATCTCTTCCTGAAGGTCCGCTGCATTGGCCGGGGCTGGACCCGACGACAGGCTGAGGCGCCTAACAGTCTAGCAAAAGGACTCGAGGAGGGGGCCCTTTCAAGCTCCTCATCCCCATACATTCTTCCCCTTCGGCTCTAGAAGGAGCGCGCTTACGGCCCAGGGAAAACGCAAGCAGTCCCGCTCTTTGCTCGGCCGGGACCCGGACTGAGATCGATTTCCAGCTCCTGACCGACATCTCTCAGACTGGCAAACTACCGCTTGTCAGTACTCAGAGCCAACCCCGTCCGTAACTAGACTGCATGTAAGTCACGATAGCGTATACTGATGGTTGGTAGGATCATGTCAGAGCGGAGGGTTGATTGATTTCTCCTCTATTTAGTGCCTCGGATTTGGTCCGCTTATTTTTTTTTTTTGCTTGCGATTTGTTCCAGTAGAAGACAGTGTGGTGAGTACATTGTTTCCTTTTTCCTTTTCTGGCTGTTCCCCCCCCCCCTTCCCCTTCCGCCATCTTTGTCATACTCCGTACACGCGCGGATTGCCTTTGGCCTCATGCTTTCAAGCCTCAATAAGGGGCGTGCCTGGCTCTGCTCCCGGCCAATACCTAAGCATCCGTCTCCCGCTGCTCCCTCCAATCCTTGTACGGCGTTTCCTGGTTGGGCTGGGAAGCTCTCTTGATCTGGAATGGTCAAGAAAGAAGCTGGCTGAGCCAAGCTCTCGTGGGTTTTCCGCCTTGTTGGGCTCCAGAAACCACCCGTCTTCCTACACTTTTACCTCCAGCTCGCCTTGACATGTCGATTCTTGCACCCGGAACGTCTGGTTTGCGAGAGAAAGAGAGATATGTCTTATTCTCATCTCCTTGCTCTTCCGAGTCTGCTGCCCTCACCACTTGTGACTCCGGCTCCAGCTCTGTTTTTGTGGCTTCTCTAGCCACAGCAGCAGCAGCCATGCCCCTCCCTGTGAACAGTTCCCCCAAATTAGCCCGTTGATATTCATCCCCCCTGTGTGCCATTACCATTCTCCACTCTTTTTCAGTTCTCCCACTTCAATTTGTGCGAGCCTTTTACTATGTGGCTCTATACCCTCAGCCCCCGTTTTCTTGTCTCTTAACTCTGCTTTCAAATTCCTAAGGATCTGAACACACCCACCGCAGTATCGAGGCGAGCATTGTGGAGGGAAAGGTCTGTCACAGTACAGGTCCGGTTCATGTTCCGCCCTTTGACACACCCACGTCAACAACCGCATGTTTGAATAGCGTCTTTTTTCTTGTGCTAAGCATATTCTGGCGTCAAACGGCACTGACATGCCTTAAAAAGGCTCTTTCATACACCTGTCATCGTTTATATACATACTATATAATATATTTTGTCAGATCATTTGACCACACCAGGTTCCGATAAGGTACGTACGTTTGCCTGACAAGGCGGTGCCATTGCTGCTTGCTAACGCTAGCAGGGCAGTGGTGGGACTTCAAAAATATCGAAACACCACGTCAAACCCGCTTGCACGTACTGTCGACCTCAAGCATTGACAGACCGCAATCGATGGACGGCGGTACTCCTCCAAACCGACCAAAAGCAGCTCGTGAGGCAAAGGGGAAAAGTAGAGCACCGTCAGCATCGGGGAGGTCAACCGACCCCAGCGGGCCTCCTCGACAAACGAGTAAGTTCTCCTTGTTTATGCTATTGCTGGCGATAACATACCCATGATGGAGAGCGCATTCGCGCTAAACGTCGCATCCAGGAGCCGCATCCTTTCGTCAGACGTCCCGATTCGAAAATATACAGCATTATCCGGAAGCGCACAACTATATGAACCCGATTGGCAACTATGCACATCCGGAATCTGTGCTGGGCATGAGCAATATGGCGTCTGCGCTACCTAGCTACCCGTCCGGTCCAATTCCATTTGACCAGCACAGTATGCAGCAGCAACAGTTCGTAACTGTCGGTCCCAATCCCGCCCTCATGTACGGCATGCCACAATTTCAATCGTTTCCCGCTCCCGCGACCAATCCGAACATGATATTCAACGCTCCATATGCTCAGATGTACATGTCCTATGTTCAGCAGCAACAGCATCAGCATCCAGGAACTCACATTTCGAATGCCGCTGGATTTTCCCCAGTGGCTCCCAGTACTCCCAGTCATGGCTCACTTCAAAATTCATTGGATGTATACGCGCATGGCTACTTCCACCCGAGTGTGTATGCAGCGCAGGGGCATCATTCAAGACCTGCGAGTATGTCGGGGGCTTCCCTGCAACCGCATAACCAATCTTATTCGAGTATGCGGAGAGCGAATGAGGCCCGAGAAAAAGAGGATAAAAAGCGGATCACGATTGTCGATGGATCAATGAATATGAGATCATCTGCTGCTCAGGGTTCATCAACAGGTAGACTCGCAGATTAGTTTATTCTGTGAATGGGGAGCTAATCGCGGTGGTATCATTAGATTCTGCCCCACGTCCATCAAAGTCGAACCCCTCGAAAGGTCCGCCGAGAAAACCGAAGCAATCCGGCAATGCTCTATGGGTCGGAAACCTCGCTCCAGGCACAAATATCGTCGAACTCAAAGACCATTTTTCGCAAGACGCTACGAGGGATTTGGAGAGCGTGTTTCTTATCTCAAGAAGCAACTGTGCGTTCGTGAACTACAAGACGGAAGAGGCCTGCATTAGGGCTTTAACAAGGTTCCACGACACGAGGCTACGGGGGGCGCGACTGGTTTGTCGGGTGCGCCGGGGGTTGATGTCCCCTGGGCCGCATAGCGAGCTCACGGGTCTAGCAGATCAACCTTCGATAAAGGAGGCGGAAGAGATGGTAAAGACCACCGCTATGGAAGATGAAGGGCGGGAAGGTTCGTACTCCACGCGAGTACCTAACCGATACTTCATTTTAAAAAGCTTGACGGTCGAAGATCTCGAACTCAGTTGGCAAAGTGGTATCTGGGCTACTCAGACCCACAACGAAGAGAGCCTTAACCGAGCCTTCGAGGTGAGCATATTTCCAGACTTTGTATACAGTAGACGATCAGATTGTCCAAAGCTAATAATGAGATGATGATAGAGCGCAGATACTGTCTACCTTATTTTTTCCGCAAACAAGTCAGGCGAATATTATGGATACGCTCGGATGATGTCAACAATCAAGGACGATGAAAGCTTAACTCTCGAGATGCCGCCACGCCCTGAGTATCATACCTCCAACGAACCAGACAGTCCGGATGTCACACCGACACCTGCATCAACTTCGGCACCGAACGGGCGCATCATAAACGACGTTGCGCGGGGTACAATATTCTGGGAAGCAGACACATCGGAGGATGAGGACGGCCTTCCCCGGCCGCTTAAGAACGCTTATCAGGCGCCCGATGAACAACAGCCCCAGGCCCCCGCTGAGCTTCAGCTAATCGGAAAACCATTTCGAATCCGGTGGCTCTCCACCGAAAGGGTTCCCTTCCACCGCACACGAGGGTTACGCAACCCGTGGAATTCAAATCGCGAAGTGAAAATAGCACGCGACGGCACCGAGCTTGAGTTCTCCGTTGGAGAGAAGCTGGTGCTCCTTTTCCATCCCGAGTCCTCGGGATGACCTCACACTGCTCACACCACTCACTACACATACAACACGACCTTACATCTTTACCTGCTTTCTACATACCTTGAGATTTCTTTGAAACACGACAAGAAATGAACGGTATCAAAACGAAGACCACGAACACGAACACGGCCTAAAAAAGGAATAGACATGGGATAACTATGTACATAGCACGAGATATATACAGTATATGAGGTATAGATCTGGATAGAAAATACATATACACATATATATGATAGGCGATGAACGAGGTGAATCAGGATGATGAAGAACAGTTGCAGTTGATGCTTGATCGGATCTTGACCTCACGTAGGTCCAGGCTCCCGTCCCGACATTCCTTCTTTACCCAGAGTAGACTAGCTTGTTCTAGCTTCCAGCTTGATTGTCGCTTGTGGTTATTGTGGGGTAAAAAGTGACTGACTCCAGCTTCTCCTTGTCCTCGAGAACATTCTTTGTCTCTCAAGTCTCAACGCCCCTCTCCTTTCCCCCTTTTTATCTGCTTCTCTTCTCGATTAACGTCTCCCAACATCTGCACAACTGGAGTTCTTCTCAAGCCCCGGTTCCAGAGGGAACCGATGCTACTGTAGGTCCGTAATAGCAACCATCCACCCCTGCACCTCACCCTCAATGTTCTATAATACATTCGCCTCCCCGCTTCTTGTCTCATATATAACTCCCTTATTTTTTGACCGTCGCCTTCCCGCTTTTATATCCCTGTCATTGATTGCGATCATATCAGTATCACCGCGAAACTACCCTCGTTTGATTGACATTCTGTACCACATCACGCCACCCACTTTGCCGAATCATGTCGGGCTAACTCCCTTCCATTGACACAGCTTTCAATCTGGCAACACACTTCCTCACTCAATCCTCAACTGTGCCTCTTCTCCCCGAAATCGAACTCTAACCTGGGTTGATTTCGCGTGCTTGATGCCGTCTTGAAACCCTTTTGATACGAAGTCGACTGTACCTATCTCTATCGTTGACCTTCACATTGCGTATTTATTCTCCTAGCGACCCGTTCAACTCTTTTTACCGTTGCTTCTCCCCACTACGATGTCGAATCACAGCTCGACCCCTCCAATCTCCGTTCCCCCATCCTCTTCGCGCCAGCGTCGAGCGTCCATAGCGTCAGGCCTTTCTTTTCCTGAGTACAAATCAGGAAACCAGGGCTTGACTGGTCCCTCAACTGGGCCCATGGCCAACGCTATGGCTAATGTTCAATCAAACCAAAGACGCAGGCTCTCCATCACAACCCTGGGACTGTCTGGCTCGCCCACTCAGACTTTACAATTTGGGAATCGAAACTTCCGGCAAGGGAGCACCTCAAGTTCTGTGGGGTCCAGCCCTGGGAACCCTGAAGAAGCCATTGTGGAGGATGAAAACTCACCCCCCGGCGGCATGCCGACGTCTCCATTTGCACGCCGCCTCTCATTTGGTGCACAGGCATTGAGGGATGCCCGCGCTGGAAGCATTGGCAACGGTAGATACCACCTTTCTCCTCCTGTATCACCACCTGCGGCTGGGAAGCGCCGGACAGCATCGTGTGCCGGCGTTTCTAGACCTTCAATCAACAATGGCGTTTCGGGAACATCATCTGCAAGTACATATAAAGGTCTTCCCCAGAACGATATATCTAACAAGTCTTGGCGACCCATAGGCGAGGGCTTCAACTGGTCTGAAGCTCTTCGAGCAAGGGCCGAACGCGGTCCTATATCTCCAAATTCGGCTCAAGTTCAGCAGGCACAGCAGGCCCAACACCGACGGTCTGCATCCATTGCATCCATGGATCAGCCGGCGCGGGAAATTACCAAGCAACCTAAACAAAGCAACAAGCCTGACTTTTTCCAGGAGAAGATCCTGCGGGGTGACTTTATGGATTAAACGTCGCTCCCCGTGATCTTTGAGCTGCCAGATGCGTGGCCGTCGATTCCCGTCTGATGACACCGGAGTATGGCCTTCACTCAACAAGTCTATGATTAAATGATTACAAATCATACATTCTATGACTATCCTGACCGTGACCTGGGAAGTCGACGTCCCGTTTCAGCCCAACCAGCACGTCAGATCTATCCCTTCCACCTTGCCCTGTCTATGGTTCTTTCATCTTTTCAATGACGATTGTGCATCTTGATACTGGGCTGCTTCTGAAGTTGCCGATTTATATGTATTCTCATTCGACTTGAAGACAACTCTCGCTGCTGGACAGGGGCCAAGTCGCACGTCCCGTTTTTATCATCTTTTCGTTGCTAAGTTTCATTCCTTGTATTATTGGATAGGCGTTGATGCGCTGTAAGGGCGGGATTGTTTGCCACGAAAACAAATTGCGCGCCGGGCCGGTTGGGGATCCATTGATGGCCTCTTGTGCATTTCCGGTCTCGTACATCTTACTCGTGGTGCGGACGTGAAGTCCGTTGACTATTAATATTGAGGATTACATAGCGTCATGATATTGAGAGTTACTAAGTTTAAATGCAATATGAATTACACGGTACGGCTGTTCGCCGGGCTAGCCATTAACCGCAGTATGTGTGACCTACACTTTCAAACGCATCCAATCTATTAGCGCCTTTACGTGGCCATGACCCTTGGAGCGACTTACCAGACAGGCAAGCCTCGATTACAGAGGCAGAGAGGCCGACCGGTTAGAATTGGGGTTCGAAACAAGTTTGGATTGCCAGCTCTCCTTTGTCTGGCTTTCACATGGCCCTGCCCGTACCCATTTGAACTCAAAAAGCGCAGGCTGGCTCGAGGTTAATAACCAAAACCGCGAACACAGCCGAGAATAGTCACACGCAGAGAAGAAGTCAATGTGTCTGGCAATAACCAAATCAAACGATGCAGATATACAAAGTTGAAAGACGAACAAATAAAGCGCCATTCCCAGAAAGGTAACGGATGTCTACGCTATGGGCCCAACATCAGCATCATCCTGGTCAATGTGCTGAGCCTGATGTGCTGGCACCTGGCCCGTCTTGCTCGACTCGTCCCCGTTGGCAAGATCACGGGCCGCCCTTCGATTTAGAACCTGCGCCACGCTCTTCCGGGGGCGGAGGAAGCCATTTGCTGCTTTACCCGGGAGACACGCGCATCCCGTACATCATGTCCATCTCTTCGAGCGTCTTTCTTTTGGCCTCGAGGACAAAGAAGTAGACTACGAGCACAGCAGCCAAGAGGCAGCCGGCGAAAACATACCCATAAGCAAAATCAATGTCCCCCGTTATTAAGGGGGTGAAGAAGCTTGAAGTATATGCGTTTGAAGCCGTGGCCATGGCCATGGCTTTAGCTCGATAGCGGGACGGTAAAGTTCTGCTACTATAGTCCAGATCGTTGGGCCCCACGTACTACGTAGTTGCGAAGCCTAAAAATAAATATAAGCGTTTTTGCGGAGATTCCCGCTGTGGGTACCGGGGTCGTATGTATGTTGGTGATGACGTCAATATTCATTTCCCCAGATTTATCCAACATGCAGGGTCTCATTGGCACTCGGTAGAGAAAACATACTTGATATATTGTTTACTGGCACAGCCATCATAACGTTAAATGATAATATGGACTTGGGAAATAGCTCGCGAATCCTCTAATAAGGTATGCCGTTTGTAAGTAGCTGAAACTGATCATACCCTTTCGTAGACATGCTCAAATAAGACTTGCGCACCAGCTCTCGCATAAACTCTGCCGCCTCTCGCTCACTTTTTTCGAGGACAAATCGGTCACGGAAGTGTTTAAGCGTCTCGGGCTTGAAGCATGGCAGACCGCTGTCTAGCATCAATGACACAATGTGCGACAGCTTGGCGCTATATGGCCGTGATGCCAAGAAAGCCTTCACAACTAAAGACTCAAACCATCGATATGGTTGCGTCTGCGTGGGGTTATGAGAACCTCCTGGTAGGCGTCCACTGCTGGAGCCACCGTGGCTGCCAGCGTGCGAGTGGGGAGTGCCACTCATCACGGCTACCATTTCTGATGTGAGTTTAAATGGTGCGCGTTCAAAGCGTACACCGCCGGGCGCGATATCAAAGCAAAACCCGAAGTCAATATGGATAATATGGCCGGCATCGTCGAACATGATATTGCCATTGTGCCGGTCCTTGAACTGCATAAGATAGGAGATGACCGAGTAGGCGGCCATGCTTTTGACAAAATTCGTTCGCGCCTCCTGGAACTGTATCGAATCTTCGCCTCCATACTTGGAGACAAAATAGTCATATAGCCCATTAACTGCTTCACGGCCTAGCATATCCCGGGATATTGAATTTGGCAGGACATCGATGACTCCACACCCTGGTGCTGTAGAAGTTACCCGGTATGGGAACACCCACACATCGAGGCCAATATTAGCAAAAATGCTTCGAAAGGCAGCAATCATCTGTAGAGCTAGCATATCCTGACGGCAGTCGTCGCCAACTTTAAAGATAGCCGACTGCCAGACCTCGTAAGTTTTCTGGTGCGAGTTTGAGTGACGATACTGTGAAGACTTGATGAGCTCGTTTGCGTTGGAAGAAGCCGACCCTAGGCCGTTGGTGTCATCTTCATCCCACCGGGTTCGTGTTTTCTGAATTCTGAAAGTCGCCAGATAAGGTGCCTTTGCGTGACTCTGCAAAGGCTTTCCTGACTTGCGGTCGATCCCAACGACGACGCCGTCGGGATTGCTCGGAAGATAAACTCCAACCTCGACCTTAATTTTACGGAGCTCTTCCTCAATCTTTTCCTTCTTTTCCGGCTTGCTCTTCTTGATGTATGGGCGAAGTTTGCCGGATATGCCAGTGATTTCATTGAAGAAGGAGAATTCTCTTTCATAGAAATCGCGCTCTTCAGCGGTGAAACTTGTGATCAGGGTATCCATGAATCGATCCAAGGTGGGCTTAAGAGGGTCCGGCTATTGCCCTGTCAGTGAAAAGGATCAAAAAGCAATTTCGCACTTACTATTTGAGAATCCTCGTCTTTATACGAGTTGGCCTTCATGTTCCAAATCACTTGATGTGCAAACAATTGAGACTGCTTAGCGGTTTCGAGGATATACCGCTCAACGTAACCTAGGGCATCATAGCGAAGAGCCTGAACCAATTGCGGAACGAAGTAGAATCGAACATCGAGGGAATGGCTCTCCAAGGCCTTCATCGCATATTGCAGGATGTACGGATGGTTGCCATAGGCAGGCAAAAAATAAGTTAAGCCTTCAATGGGGTTGACTGGTGCCCAATATAGCAGGTACTAGAAAAGTCGTTAATCAAAACACAATAAAACATCTACCATATCTCTCTACCAACCTTGAGTTGCGACGAAACATCAGCCGGCAGGGCTGATCCGAACAAGATCTCAAGGCTGCTTGGCTCATCAATAGCTTTCTCAGGAAAGCTAAGAAGTAGCTTCCGAAGGTCACTGTTAAGTTTTCCGGATGAGGAACGCGTCGCAAGCTGAATAGCCAAACCCGGACTTTCACCCCAGGCAATTCGCAGCATATTCTCCTAGACGCAGTGTGAGCATCTGATTGGCCAATAGGAAAAGAACCATTGAAACGAACCTCCGTGAGATGCTTGCTGAGGGAAGATTGGGATGCATTATGTTTCCGATCAGGTTCTAGCGGAAACAACCAGACCTTGAGCCTTGTTCTTTCGTTCTCTAAAAGCACCTGGAGAAGGTCCTGTTTCGCCTGAAGCGAGGTATACGGCCATCGAGTGTTGCAGCCAACATCGGACATCTTGGTCAATGCAGTGATAACATCGCTCAGAATCTTATCTTCAGCCTTCAGCTGCAGTCTGTTCCCTCCAAAGGACCATCTAAGTACATGGTATAAGCCGCGGTATCATATTAGCACGGTTGAGGTGAAGCTTACCGAGGCGGGTGAGTGAACCAGCTGAGAGCAGCGGACATTGTCTGGTTCTTGAGTCGCCAGAGGGTGACATTGTCAAGGGAGGTGCAATGTCTGAGAACTTTCAGACAGAAGTAAACTATGCGGAAATGCAGTTCTCGGGCTAGAGGATGATTGCTAGCATGCAGCAGACCAACTGTCGTCCGGTCAATGAAACGGCAGAACAGACGTTGGGTCTGAGCATTTCCCAGTCGTACGGCGTTGAAATGGCTCTCAAAGAGCTGGATGATTTGTAAATGCGGTGCAAGAATGTTTTGTGCCAGCTTCTGTTGTTGAAGCATCGAATCTTTGTTTGTCGGAAGAAGCTCAATTTTGGCATACATGGGGTCTATATGGCTGGATGACAACCATACATCAATATCGAACTGGCTGAATATCGGCATGTTTTTACTTACTTGAAAGAGGGATCGAAGAGTCTCTGTCTACGTAAGATCGTGTTCTCCCATTGATGGACCACCTCAAACAGTATTGTTGGCTCCAACCTGGGATTCTCGTGCATCACACCCAGCCAGAGGGACACACCAATCTCAATGGACTCCTTGGAAAATATCTGGAACGGCAACGAAACCAGAAAATGAGCAATTGCAACGTTGGCAGCATTGCTACCACATAGTAGAGCAGCAGCACGCTGCAAGGTATCTCGTATCCCTGAGAGAGTGACCTGACGTCCCGAGCGGACTGCTGTGTGAATACCAAACAGTGATTTCTCAATGCTCCTACTCGGCTCTAACGGGGGTAGTGACGAACCATCCGAAGGTGGCATAGTACCATCAGTACGCCGATACTTCTGACGAGCCGTATGCTGGGCAATGAAATTGGACGCAATGTTAACTCTAGTCACCCCCGGACTTTCAATAGATCCTGAAATTGAAGTGAGCCGCGCTGCATCTCAACATGTGCAGGACGCTTACCGAGCCGGTGGTCGGTTTGTGGTATCAATGAGCCCATTTCAAGCGCAAATGAGCGGCCCATTGAAACATCACCATATCCATCATTATCATCAGACGCAGATAGATAAGTCTAATATCCAATTAGCTGCTGCGTTCATTGGCTCATATAACACATACCTGAAGGAGGCCTTTGACATCAAGAGGCGCAATGTCCATGACAGTTGTTATCCATTCCCTTGCCCGTTCAAGCAACACTTCAAGTGTCCTTCTTCTGTAACCGTAATTATCTGGAAGATCGACCTTAACATGACCTATCAGGGAAGTGAATGAAGGTTTCCATTCAAACTCATCCAGTTCCTCTTCATGGCAAGATCTCCATATAACTGTCAGAAGCTCAAGTAATGCAAATAAAGAGTGTTTATCGCACAGGGCTGATGGACATTCCTTTATAATTCTGTTTGCACAGAGAATAGCCACCTTCTGAATTCTTTCTATGCGGTGACAGCAGGCTATGAAGAAGCCCGCCAGTTCCTTTGATAGATAAGGGACAGAAAAACCCTCCTTTCTTCCGGAAAGAGTCAGTGTAAGGTAACATCCGACAACCTTATCCGCGACGGCGGTCATGCAGCTCGCCATCTCGCTTGTAGCCAGGGCTGGGTCCCGGAAGTAACTCATCGGCTTGGTGCAGGTCCCCGAGTATGCACGAAGATTTTCAAGCAGCAAGGCAGCATTCAAGAACACCGCCTTTGGGTAGCTCAAACGCTTTATGTCGAGCTCTCGGTGAGGGATCTCATTGACCAACTGTTTCTTTTGCTCAATATGCCGTTGTGGGCCCAATCCACGCCTAAGGACCGTGTTCAGCTCGACATCGCTCTCAATCATGTCCATTTGATCCTCAGACACAAGCGTGGGGGAATGTTTTGCTAGCAAGCGTAGCTCTTCATGATGACTTTTTCCGACAGCTGAACTGAGTGATATTCCATGGACAGCGATATTGAACCACGCGTCCCGGAACAGAGTCGAAACGTCCTGGTCATATTGTTCCGGGAAGTCTCCAGACTCTTTCGAAGAAGATACCAGTAATGCCAGAGGCTTTAGGAGCGGGCTGATGTCCTCCGGTGCAAGGGTGATATCTTTATGTCGTTCATGTTCAAGGTCCGTTGCATCTCCCTTGTTCACGAGACTTTCCAACAAATGGACGAGGTACAACCTGTAAAGAGGGGAGTTCCTTTTCAGCGAGACGGAAAGATAAGTCATTGCACTCAAGACTGCGTTCACCACATTGCCGTAACCTTTCGCGATGCCATCGCGGAAAACACGGTCATAGAACTTCAACAGAAGTTGAAACTCAGCTGCGCCAATCGTAATAGAGAGCGCCGCTGACTCCTTGATTATACAGGCATCAACTGCAGTGTTGAGTTTGCTGATCTTTTGTAGAAGCATCGACTGCGCCAGCGCGCTGATCTGTTCGTCATGGGAGCTGGTTGCGATTGTCACTATTGCATGGACAATGCTCCGGTATGGCGTATTGTCTTCCGTCTCAATCACAGAAAGAGAAGCTATACTCCCATTCTTGGTCTGTTCGAATTGGGTAATTGAGGGCACCCCGTTCGCCTGCCCTGGGTACGGCTTGTCAGTGCCAGACCCAGGACTTAGCACATTCCCTAAGGAGTAAAGAGTTGTTATGACAGAATCTTGAGAGAGAACACCGAGGACCTGAGAAAGACACCGGGCAGCCACAGGGCCTATATTTCCTGCATGTATACCACCCTCGACAATAAAACGCAGGAGTGAACGACTCCCAGAGGAAGCGCTGTTGACAGACATCCGGGAAATGATCGTAAGGCACTTTAGAGTTGTGGTCGCAAGTTCAGGACACGACATTTGGTTTGGATCTATAAGGGTATCTTCCAGCCATGACAGAAAATCCTCAATATTTGCTGTATCTTCGCTTATGATGATACAGTTGAGATACCCCATCAACGCCAGGGCCTTGACAGAAAAAGCAAGTCGCTGTTGCCCAGGTGAGCCAACTTGCAAATAGTCAGAGCCGTCCTCCAAAAGTTGAATTTCGTCAGCAATAATGCTGGTTAACCGATCAACAAGGGATATTTCAGCCTCATCATGGCTCCTAGCAATACCGACACCGACCACGTAGTCATCCAGAAGCTCGTCATCCGACATGTCCTTCGCTCCAACGAGCGAAGTGACACAGGATTTGATGAAGCGCATGTAGCCTTTTTGCAGAAGCATAGCGCCCAGAGGCCGACCGTTCGTGGTGTAACGGCGAGCATATCTCCTCCAATCACGGAATGTCCCATCCACGGTGCCTGCACTGCGCACCGTAGACGAGGCAGTCTCAATGGCTATCATAAACTTCTCGGAGAACATCGACCGCAAGTGGTCGACCATCCGCAACTTTTCAGTGGCTGTCCAGAACGAACTGAATGTGGCTGCGGCCTTCAGAAAACCAACAATTGAGATGCAAATCGCCAGTATATTGACAGATTCGTGAGGAGAAGCACGCGTGTCTTCTGGGGAGTGAGCTGATACCAAAATGTTAATTGCCTCAGCACAATTATATAAATACTCGTCCACAGAAGTAAGGACGATCTGGCGCAAAGGCGAATAACTTGATCCCAAGTGGAGCAGAGCGAAGGTAAGATGGTAGGAAAGAGTTTCCCACGGGGACGGTCTGATGTCGTGTAAAAATGGCGAAGGTCGGAAAAGCTGGCCATGGGACTCTGGAAGGTACTGGGACAGTTGTGAGATCAATCGCGATGCATGTTCCTCTTTAGCGACGGAGGGGGCGGCCTTGCAGAGAGAGACCAAGACGCATAACTCGCGAGTATCCTTGGATAATCAGCCCAAGCACCTTGCCTTCCAGTTATTCTGATGGGGGAGACGAACCATAGGCACCCGGGACACCGGAGACTGATTGTGCAAGACGCCATTTAATGAGCCGTTCGAACGTTTTTTCAAATGCTGGCATTGCCGCGTAAGTTGGTCAATCTCAGTCTCGCCACAGTCTTCCGGAGCGCTGACGGCGAGATTTGCGAGCTTCTCCAAGGCGGAGGTTCGAATACTTGGACTGAAACTATTCTGATTGTCAGCGAGGTCGATATCAAGCCAGAGTTTGTCTAAAATGCGCACTCGTCCATCGTATGTGAGCCTCGATGGCAGTTTTGGTTGATCGGAGACCAGATTTGTCCTGTAGTTGTGTCTTCTCAAGCTCCTGGTCATTTGAAGCGTCCAGGGGCAGGAATCCAATGGGACTCGGTATGATGTTATGGAGATTGGAGACAGATCCATGTGGGGCGTGCTACTACAGTGGCACTGTGGCAGTGGTCCAGCTCCGGACTCGGTCTCCAATTCCATGCGCTTCACCAACCATTACTATCACGGAGTATGTCTGAGGTTGATATAATGATAGAATGCTTAACCTAAAGCATTGGATCCAGCCCTCCGCATTGGTTACTAGGTATCCTAGTACGCACGAGGAGCACCACATTCTGACCTCGGGACAGCCACAGGGCGGAAGATAAGCAAGAAGTACGGGATACCTAGTCTACAGGGTAGTTATCCAATATTTTGGCGAGTGAGCTCTCCCTCCGGAGATTGTAAAGAATAAAATACTGAGGATCCGGTTGCTGCCTGGATCCGGATGTACAAAAGAACCAGCTTTTTGTTTACGCGTGGTTACGTAGGATGATGTACCTGCTTTTGAAACACTACTCAGTACGTAGCGCGTTTTCCTTCCTCCAAATCCTCGACGCCGCGATATTGTGAGATTGGTCAACAAACCCAGAATTCTTTTCATTATTTCGTTACGACATACTACTTCTCCCCATTTTGCCGGATAAAAAGCATAATTTTCATATTTTTAAGCTCCTTCTGACTGTTTTGAGTATCAATCTTTCTAAACGCATACTTTGCCAGCAGGTGAACAAAAGTGCGATGGTCCCACGAATTGAGCAGAGCTCTCTGAAGCGCAGCAGGGTAGGAACATTACATATCAAGCTATATTAGATGCTGCTAATTATATGCTCGTCCTCCAGGCTACTGCCGACTCTGACTCGCAAGACCAAAAGAAGCCTAGACGGTCCGAGAGAATCAGTTCACAGCAGCAGTTGCAGACCCCTGTCATACAGTCCTACCTCCCTACTCCTCTAACGCACCATGACTCTACGGCTACGGACCTACGAAACGAGGTGACAGCTACTCCGCCAAGCCAAGTTCGTCTGCGGTCACCTTCAAGTTCAGACATCCATCAGGCACCTTCATCCCCTCCAGGAGATACACAGGCTCTCTCGCAGTTTGTTTACCCTCCCAGAGCATTCGCCGACGAGGTTGAAGATGAAGCTGCCGAGGGGGTCTGGGGCTACTTAATCCCACTTGACGATAAGGTCCGGGATGCTCTTGTGCTTCGAAAACGCGATGGTTGTTTGGACACTGGGTCGAAGTCTATTTCCCAAAAAGGGTCTCGGAAGCAGTTCAAGAATTCAACCCATCGACGCCCTGGGGGATACCTGATTGGACGACACCCCGAATGTGGTAAGTAAAGCCAGCCGCCGATAGGTGTGCGGTCGTTGACACAACTCAGATCTGGCTCTCAATATCCCGACCGTGTCCAACCGCCATTTTCTGGTGTTTCCGGAGAACAGAAGGGGCGACACGGTGGCTATCCTCGAGGATTTGTCAAGTAATGGCACGTTTATCAACGATGCGATCGTTGGTCGAAACAAACATCGCGAACTGGAGGACGGTGATGAGGTGACTATCTTGGACGAGGTGCGATTCGTCTTCAGGGCTCCTCGAACAAAAAATATCAATGGTTTTCGGCAGCAATATCGTGTCTTGCAGCAGCTTGGAAAGGGGCATTTTGCAACGGTCTACCTCTGTGTGGAGCGCACTACTGGAACCCAATTTGCGGTAAAGGTGTTCGAAAAACGGACGGGTGATTCGCAAAAGTCTCAAAACGACTCGTTGATGCAAGAAATTGGCCTCCTAATGAGCGTTAGTCACCGGAACCTGCTCTGTCTCAGGGATACCTTTGACGAAAGCGACGGGGTATATCTCGTTCTGGAACTTGCTCCAGAAGGTGAACTTTTCAACTTGATCATAAGCAAGCAAAAATTTACAGAGAATGAGACCCGCCACATCTTCCTGCAACTTTTTGAGGGCCTAAAGTATCTGGTAAAATCTCCTATCACTGAGAAGTCGCGGATGGTGCTAAACAGGATGACAGCATGACCGTGGAATTGTTCATCGAGATATTAAACCAGAGAACATACTAGTCGCCGATAACAAGCTGAATGTAAAGCTTGGAGATTTTGGTCTGGCTAAGATAATTGGTGAAGACTCATTCACAACCACGCTGTATGTTTGCCTAGGATCCATTGCGTATGACTACTGACAACACTTCCTGTTTACAGCTGTGGTACACCAAGTTGTAAGTCTTGAATAGTCTGTTATTGATTTCGTGCTCATCCTGTAGATGTTGCTCCAGAAATTCTCCAAGAAACCCGCCGTCGAAAATACACCAAGGCCGTTGATATCTGGTCGCTTGGCGTTGTTCTCTACATATGCCTCTGTGGGTTTCCGCCATTCTCCGACGAGCTCTACACACCAGAGAACCCTTACACGCTGGCTCAGCAGATCAAACTAGGGCGTTTTGACTACCCATCCCCGTATTGGGATTCCGTGGGAGACCCAGCCTTGGATCTTATTGACAGAATGCTTACGGTCGACGTTGAGAAAAGAATCACCGTGGACGACTGTCTTGAACATCCGTGGCTCACATGCCAGCACCCCAGCGTGGCTGATAGTACAGACGGCCTCACCGGTGCGTTGGTGAACTTGGACTTCTCTAAGAGAAAGATTGCACGGGAGCGGACGCTCCTTAGCAGCATCAATGACGTGCATCTCAGTCAGCAAAAGACTCGAGGCAGTCAGGTAAATATGACAAGTACAGCAGGTCAGCGCATGCACAACCAGAAAAAAGATGAAGCCTCCCCTTATGAGCATAGTGGTCCTAAGGATTTTGTCAACCTTGGGGAGCGCGGCGATCCTGTTCTATACGAAGAGGACCCGACAAGCCGGTACAATTGACTTACATTTTAGCGAGATTGTTGTTGTTGTTGTTGTTGTTGTTCTGCGAAGGCGGCAACACTTGGAAATGGCGCATTTCTTCTACACAGCATCGGCCGTCAATGCTTAGAGCTGCTGGGTTCGCTTGATGTATGCATAGTATCTACCGTGTGTAGGAGATCCAAAGGTGGATAGTCATAATCCTCAACAGCGAAGTATTTATGCAACAGCACAGTGGAACGAACCCGGCCTGGTGATTACAGGAGGGCGATGAATGATCGGGTCATGACTCCCGCTGGAGGTGTTAGGCCAGTCATATTGACCTTGCGACCAACGGAGTAGATACTTACACTCTACGAAGTACATTCTGCATTGTAGTACTAGTGCTCCTTAAAACAAGACCCGTGAGTCGTGGATCCCAGTGGCCCCTGGGGCCTGGGGCCTGGTGTGGCGTGAGGTGGCGGCAGTGGCCCCTGCTGCCAGGAGACGGACAGGGGCAAGACTTTAGTAGCGTCCCAAGGAGGCCCGGGCGCGATCGGATCCATCCCAACTTTTCCCATTGCTTGCAGGCCTCCAATTCACACTCATTATTATTGCTTGCTGTCCTTTCTGGCGAGACTTCCTGCGCCTGGTCTCTTTCATCATGGGTCTTGTCGCGCTTGTACTCGACCATGTCTGTGAACGTTGCTCGAGCCTGCCGGTTTGGGCCCTGTCTGGGTTGGCCTTGCTTTGCATCTTCGCTCTCGCTGTTGTCGTGAACGTCTTGCGACAAATTATCTTCAAGAACCCCAATGAGCCCCCGGTCGTGTTTCACTGGTTCCCTTTTGTTGGCAGTACTATTAGCTACGGCATTGACCCCTACAATTTCTTTTTCAATTGTCGAGCAAAAGTATGTATGGCTTCTTTCCTTTGTTACATCTCTAACTTGCCGGCAGTACGGAGATATCTTCACGTTCATTCTTCTAGGAAAGAAGACCACCGTTTATCTTGGTACTAAGGGCAACGACTTCATTCTGAATGGAAAGCTCAAGGATGTGTGTGCTGAGGAAGTTTATTCTCCGCTGACCACCCCTGTCTTTGGACGCCACGTTGTATACGACTGTCCCAACGCGAAACTCATGGAGCAAAAGAAGGTATTTTTGTCATTGTTATTTGTATAATGAAGCTGACGAGATAGTTTGTGAAATACGGCCTCACCTCGGACGCGCTCCGTTCCTACGTCCGGTTGATCACCTCGGAGGTTGAGGATTTTGCCCAGAACTCTCCGGTTTTTGAAAGTATGAAGGGCGTTTTTGATGTGTCCAAGACGGTTGCCGAGATAACGATATATACTGCCTCGCGTTCTCTCCAAGGAAAGGAGGTCCGCGACAAATTCGATTCAACGTTTGCGGATTTGTATCACGACCTTGATATGGGATTTGCTCCCATCAACTTCATGTTACCCTACGCGCCTCTTCCACACAATCGGAAGCGTGATGCTGCTCAGAAGAAAATGGCCGAGACTTATACAGAGATTATCAAAGCGCGTCGCAAAGCCGGTGACAAGAAGGACTCTGAGGACATGGTCTGGAACCTTATGTCCTGCGTTTACAAGAATGGCACACCGCTACCTGATCAAGAAATTGCTCACATGATGATCGCACTCCTGATGGCTGGCCAGCACTCGTCTTCTTCTACGCTGTCGTGGATTCTCCTTCATCTCTCAAGGCATCCGGAAATCGTGGAGGAGCTTTATCAGGAACAATTGAAGGTTCTGGGGTCTGAAATGCCTCTGACGTACGATGATCTCCAAAAGTTGGAACTTCATTCCAAAATAATCAAAGAGACACTGCGCATCCATGCACCTATCCACTCCATCATCAGGGCAGTGAAAAGCCCAATGCCTGTACCCGGAACCTCCTATGTCATTCCAACATCACACAACGTGCTTTCCTCTCCTGGAGTTACAGCTAGGTCCGATGAATATTTTCCAACCCCCTTGAAGTGGGATCCTCACCGCTGGGATGGGAACCCGATTGCCAACTCTGCCGAGGATGAGGAGAAGATCGACTACGGCTATGGTCTTGTTAGCAAGGGAACCAATAGCCCCTATCTTCCATTCGGTGCTGGGAGACACAGATGCATCGGTGAGCAGTTTGCCTACGTTCAACTTATCACTATTACTGCCGCTCTTGTGCGGCTGTTCAAATTTGACACTGTCTCTGAGTCGGACAAAACATCTGTCCCAGAGACAGATTACTCGGTGAGTTCAAGGGAAGACTTAGCATTTATGATCTTGGCTAATTTGCACACAGTCTCTGTTCTCAAGGCCTGCAGGTAAATCGTTTGTGCAGTACGAGAAGCGCAAACGGGCAATGAATGCGTGATATACTAAATCTGCTTAATACATGCTCTTTTCTCACGCTTTTCTCTTACGCCTCAGAAAAGGGCTGAACAGATAAATTTATCAGAGTGCATTGTCCGGTGCCACGCTCATGGAAAGCAGGGAGGTTGGTTCCAACCTACAACAACATATTGTACATTATGCCGGTCTAGTTTTCACAGCTCATGTCTGACTTTTTTCAGACATGTCACTATTTCTATCTACACTTGTAATAATTGGGGGAATATCATGTACTCGGGTTTTAACGGAAGTCATGTACAAAACTCGACCTCGGGTGTGCTTAAAGACTTCGAGGGCAATGTACTTACCATACTAAAAAAACAATTTTCCATTAAACAAGGCTATAGTACAAATAGGTCCATTAAATTAGGACGAGTGTTCATGCCCGTTCTTTCCTCCTTTCCTCAGCTCTCCTCTTGGCTCTGACTTCAGCCCGTCTTCTCTCACCCCCGTCGACCTTGTGCCCCAGCTTGTCTTCCCACATTCCTTCCTCAACTCTGATTATAGCTGCGCTGCCATTGGTGCCCGCTATTGGCTGTAAATAAGGGCCAGCGATATACACGCTGTTATGAATCTTCATGCCCTTAAACCTCTTTAGCTGCTTTGACGGATCGTGTTTGTACTCAATCGCATCCGGCGGTAGGTTTACGATAACCCGCCTCATCCCCGGAGTAAGAGTAGCCGAGTGATTCAACAAGTCAACGATGGTGGAATCACGGACTTCGGTATTCGTCGCCGGTGCCTTAAAAGGAACCTCCATAACCCGCAACTGTGCGGCGCCGTCCACAACGTGCTCGAGATCTCCGCCAGGCCCGTACCAACCCTTTGTGAACCTAGAGCGTTTCCGGATGAGATAGCGTCGTTGTTCTGCTGACTCAATCCCTGCATCCCGAAGCTCGGTGGAAGACATGGAGAATAATTTGTCCCAGGAGGGGAATTTGCTGGCATGCTTTGACATGTCGCGACCGATGAGTTTGAGGAATGTTTCGACATTGGGAACGAACGGCGTTGGTACAGGAGCAGGCTTTGAGCGCGAGCGTTTAGATTCAGTGTGCACAGTCCGTAGGCATTGTTGCGTTAAGTGGAGTGACCTGAATGACCCAAAAATTGAGAACGGATTGCGAAGCGCCATGCTGGTTAGAAGGCAGACAAAGGTTGTTGAATTTGCTCGGGTGGTAAGAGTACTTTAGTGGGCGTTGATCGCGGCAAATGTACTGAGGGCCCAGGATGCAGAAACAGATTATAAAGTAAAATGTTTCGCCCGTCAGTGTTGCTGTCGTTCGGATATGTTATGATGATGTGGAGCAAAATTTTGGCAGAGCTCAGGGAGTTCCCGGGATTAACAATACTCCGACGATTGCTGTATCTCCGCCCATATCAACCTCCAGCGACCCTGACAGGTATTGCCACTCTGGCATTCATAGTGATCGCTGTTCTTGATCTTCTTGGAGCGTCTTTTGGCTTACCATCAGTGTTGACGGAGCAGAGATAACCGTGAAAGCTTGGTTCTCGCTTCAAGGACTCGACCGGCTGTGGACTTTGCTCATTTGCGCTACAGAAACAATGGCGGTCTCGCCTCTAGCTCCTCAGTCGTTCCAAAGCCGAGCCAGCGAGGAAGTTGCTGATCGTGAGATTACGGAACAGATGAATGATGAGGTCAGGCACAAGTACATAAAAGGTATCCACCTCAGTAACCAAGCTGTATACAAGCTGACCTTTTTTCAGCGAAGAAACTAGGAGAAGGTACATACGCTGTAGTTTATCTCGGGCACATCCGGACGGATCCCACATCATTTGTGGCTATAAAAAAAATCAAAGTCAACACGGAGTACAGAGATGGACTTTCCATGGACGCAATTCGCGAAGTTAAATATCTCCAGGAACTCTCCCACCCCAATGTCATCGCGCTCCATGACGTATTCTCGTCAAAGGACCAAAATCTCAACCTTGTTTTAGAATACCTACCACGCGGTGATTTGGAGATGCTCATCAAAGACAGCGATATACATTATGGCGCTGCTGATGTGAAAGCATGGATGGGGATGTTGACCAGGGGGATCTGGTTTTGTCACGAGAACTTTGTCTTGCATCGAGATATCAAGCCGAACAATTTGCTTATCGCCTCGGATGGGGAAGTCAAGTTGGCGGATTTCGGTCTGGCAAGGTCATTTGCGGACCCTTATTCGAACATGACGCACCAAGTCATTACACGATGGTACCGGCCGCCTGAACTTCTCTATGGTGCTCGGCAATACTCTGGCGCTGTAGATATATGGTCTGTGGGGATGGTATTCGCTGAACTCCTTCTACGAGTGCCGTTTGTCGCCGGGAACTCTGATCTTGATCAAATTACTAAAATCTGCGAAGCTTTTGGCACGCCAACCGAAGAGAACTGGCCTGGCGTGTCAAAGCTACCGAATTTTATCCCTGCGGATAATAATCATACCGTGCCAACGCAAGGCCGAGAGTTCTTCCTCAGGCAATTCCCGACAGCTGGTTCTGTCGGCGCAGATTTACTCATGTCTATGTGTTCCTTGGATCCAAGGAAGAGAAGCACTGCATACCAAGCCCTTCAGCACAGCTGGTGGACCGCAGAACCCAGGCCAACGAATAAGGAATACCTTCCACGAAAATCTGGTGGCACAAGGAAAATGGGAGACGACTTGACGAGGCGCGGCGGGGAGCTCGATGATCAGTTCAAGAATGCTGCTCGGCAATTGGATTTCGGCTCCATGAAGGGGTAGCACAATTTATACGGAGTGCGTTTCTCGGTTCAACCTTTTGATCAGAGGTGCGCAGTAACATGCCGTTCTTCCGGCCGAAGCTCGAGTTTCCTGCACCATGCCATCTGATCCCAGCCGGATGATCCAACTCCGCAGGCAGTCATAGGCTTCTCGGGAGTCGGATACGGACTACGTGCGAGCCGCTGCGGCATGTCTGCGCATGTATATGGGATGACTTATCTCATAAAGCTTAGTAAGGGGTCGGGTACTAGACTACTAGTAAAGACTCCTCAGGATGACTACTATTTCCAGAGTGAACTGGGCCAGTAGTGATCATTTGTGACTCTGGCCATATCACAGAATCTCACATGGGCATGGTTGATCCCCTTTTCTCCCTTGTGTTTCAATTTATCTTTGTCGCCAGGGGCAAAATCGGGGCTTATCGAGGCACATGTGTCCTCTTATTGGTCTAGACGAAAGACTCGATAATGAGATCAACAAACCTATGCCCGATACGGTAAGAAGAAGAAGAATTCATTACCAATGATTAAGTCTGTGCTTCCGAGACTCCAGGTTGCAAGCGGACTCGAACGGTCAACCCCAATAATATATAGACTACGCAGCAGGCTAACTCCGTAAGCCTGCATGGCCGTCCGGGTCGAGCATGCGCTGTGTAATAATCATCATTTGAGACTCGAGAACCCTTGTTTCCATAGAAGCAATATCAGTAAGAATGGGGGATATAAGACATAATGAAACAAAGCGGTATCGGAGCGCAAAGTAGACAGGGAGGAGAAACGCAGAGGGATGATTCTCTCCTCTCCTCTCCAGAAGGAAGCAAAAATCAAAGGTAAAATACAGAGTGTATGTAAAGCTGCAAATCTGCAAATGGCACTTACAAACTTAGTGCCCGCAGGACGCGCTCCTTGCCTGGACAAGCAGTAGGCCGGGAGGCCCTATAGTCGAATCCAGCATGTATACAAACTTCAGGGGAATCGACTGATCGAGGCAGGGGAGCCGGGGTTCGACCTCTTTAGGCTCTTCTACGGCCCAGCAAATGTGGGGTGACAACTACAGCCAGTCACTACCGCGTACTGTTCACAGCACAGCAATGCGATACCCGTCCAGTGCTCTCTGCTTCCGCTTCTCTTAAGCCTTTCCGCATTTTGCAGTTCGCACTTGCAAAGACACTTCACTTCAGTTTTCTCCTCATTGCCCTTGACGAGGGGGCGCCTTCATCATCTCCTGGCACTATCTTCCCTCTTTGCTCCAGCAATCTCTCGCTCTCCCGCGCCCTCAATTCTATCTCAAGCTGCCACCCGGCGACTCAAGAGGGTTGGTTGTGGGAACGTTGACCCTGAAACGTGAGTTTCTCTTGTTTTCGATCATCATGGCGTCGCTGTGCACGCCATATATTCTCTGGGCAATGCAGCAGCCCCCTTCAAGAGGCGTTAGCAAACGTCAAAAGCATTTACCTCCATATATAACAACATGTCAAATGGAATGTCATATCTCAGTCTGCCCTTTAACTAGCTGACTTTTGCGCCAACTACAGCTTTTCGTGGCCAAGCCTACTTTCATAACCTGTTTTGCCCATGGCCGCAGGAGTTGTTTGGCTCTGAGCGCATACCATTTAGCACCCGGCATACATAGGCTGACTACGTGATTAAAAATATTGATCATCAAGCTACAGTCAATGTCTACACTGCCACAGCCACCGAGGACGGCCGCCGGCCCACAAATGGGCGCATTACCCCAGTTGCCAGCGCCGAAATCGCGAAAAAGTCTACCTGCATCCGCCGAATCCTCAAGGGCGGCATCTCCCTCCAAATTGCGCACACCTTCCAGTCCCAGACCGACACCTAGCAAGTCCCCACTATCCAATTCAACAACCAATATTAGCGCTACCATATCAACCTCAGCGGCCAGAGTTCCCAGTAGTCCGGACAAATCTCTGCGAAGAACAATCAGCATAGCGGCATTCCCTCAACCACCTAGGCCAGGAAGTCGGCCTTCCACCGCATCGTCAACGGCGGCCCCTCACGGTTTACAGTCGTCTGGAAGCGTGAAGTCAAAGAGGGGTTCGCGTCCCAGTGTTGGGACTGCTAGCCAGAGGAGCTCGAAGACACATTCATTACTGAGCATGGGAGGAGAGGGAAAATCAATTCCGCACGCGGAATTGGAGGGCTCACCTTCCCAGAGCAGAAGCTCCTCTGCGGAAGGATCTTACTCGACAAGTGCCACTACGTTTGATGAAGGCGATGAAACAGCTGGGACATCAAGATCCAACGCTAGATCAAAGGAGACAAAGGGAAATGTCATAGTCAGTGTCAGAGTGAGGCCAAATGTCAGCGGCGAGAGCTCGGCCAATCCCGAATGGATGGTGGATTCTCGTCGAGGCTTACTTGTGTATAACGGGAAGGAGGGCGGAGATTACTACTACGGTGGGCCACTGCCATTCGAGACTTGGGTCATGCTAACCTTACTAGACAACGTCTTTTCAGCGATTGAAAATAACGCTCGGGTCTACGACTCCGCTGCCAAACGTCTGGTGAGAAGAGTGATGGAGGGTTACCATGGCACAGTCTTTGCTTATGGCATGACCGGAACTGGCAAAACATTTTCGATGCAAGGAACTGCAACCTCTCCTGGAGTGATACCATTGGCCATCACGGACATATTCTCGTTCATCAGAGAGACCCCACATCGGGAGTTTTTACTTCGCGTCAGCTACCTCGAAATTTACAATGAGAAGATCCACGATCTTCTTTCCGCCAGTTCGGCTGTTGCGTCACAGGAGGAGATTAAGTTACGTGAAGACAGCAAGCGGGGCGTGTATGCAACCCCTTTAAAAGAGGAAATTGTGCAGAGTCCAACACAGCTTCTCCGCGTTATTGCAAGAGGTGACCACGCGAGGAGGACAGGCAGTACTCAGTTCAACGCTCGCAGCTCGCGAAGTCATGCAGTGGTTCAAATTGTCGTTGAAAGTAGGGAGCGAGTGCCTACAGGTACTGCACAAGACAGGAGATCCGGCCTAGCCCCCGGTGGGGTTCGAGTATCAACATTGAGCTTGATCGATCTCGCAGGATCTGAGCGAGCGGCTGATGATAAGGAGCGACGTACGGAAGGTGCACATATTAATAAGAGCCTTCTGACTCTGGGAAATATCATTTCAAGGCTGTCGGAGACCAAAGGCAACACTTCCCAATCAGAAGGAAAGCACCTGCCTTTTCGCGATAGTAAACTCACGAGATTGTTGCAGCCAGCTTTGTCTGGCAATTCTCTGGTCAGTATCCTCTGTACCGTCCAGCTGGGCAGTATGATGAATGCAAATTCGGGGGAAACCTTGAACACTCTGAAATTTGCTGCTCGGGCAAAAAACAATATTGTCAGTCATGCCAAAAGGGCAGAAGAGGCGTTTGGTGGCGGTGGAGGTGACGCAGGCAGCCGCGTGCTTCTCGAACGGTACCGTGTGGAAATTCAAGCTTTGCGCGGTCAACTCGAAAGTCAAACGAAGGTCCAAGCTGAAAAAGAGCTCAAACTGGAAGAACAGAAACTGGAGCAGGAGGCGCAGGAGCGCCACGAAGAGCAGATGCTGGAAATGCAGCTAGCCCGAACTGCACTCAAAGAACGGATAGAGCATTTGAACCGGCTCATTCTAAGCTCGAAATCTACTGGTGTCAATACACAGGGCGCCATGTCTGCTCTTGGCCGACTATCCAGACTGTCTTCCATAGATCCGGGCTCTCGATCTCTGCGCTCTTCCGTGAGTCAATCCACACTCGGCGGTTATGGGCATTCGTCCATACGACCGGTTTCTTTCCTTTCTGTTAATAGCCAGGAATTTCCTATGAACTTACACCTAGGTAATGAGGATGAGGAGGATACGATGGGCGAGTTTGCAGATGGGAAAGCAAGCGCTCAAAGACAGATTACCGCTCTTCAGGCCGACCTCACAGACAAAAATCGATACATTGCAACCCTAGAAAGACGGCTGCTTCAGGCTCGGCGTTCTAGTCACTCTCGCATGTCAATGGGTATCAAACATTCGGATGATAGCGACCTTATTGCCCAGCTCCGAGAAAAGGACATGGAAATCAACGAGCTTCGCCTTCAGTTGGACGATAAGGATCGCATGCTTACTGCCCTTCGCTCGGCTGCTCGACATCGCGACCTGGCGCAGCTCACCTTAGATACTCAATCGGCTGGTACTAAAGACAAGGGAGCCACCAGTTCTCCTGGCCGAGAATCCCCGGCCCCTGATTCAGGGGTGAAGCGTCCAACTCCTTCGGCTGAGCTCGACCCTGGGACAAAGCGAAAAAGCATGGACGAAGTTTCCCGGATCCTTGATGAGATGATCCAAGATCGTGTTGAAAGTGGCCATTTGATTAAGGGTTCCCGCGGCAGCGTCAGAGTAGCCCCGGAAAGTCGAAGGGCATCCGATTCAGGCCCGGCCATTCCAGTTCAAAGTTCTAGGCCAGCAAGCACGGTGCTCTCGAACAGTCGCCCGGGTGTCTGATTAGTGTCCTTTCTTGTTGTGATTGTGATTATTGTTACAGAACAGATCCAACCCTGGTGTTTGTCATGAGCGATTGGTCTGTCAATATTCTTTGTGATGTTCTTATAGATACCCAGATTGTCTTTTTTATTATGCGCCATCTTTACCATTTCGTTCTTGCACTAGTATTCAATGGCCAGTTTTCCTCATGATCTTGTTCCAGATGAACAAGACGATGATCTTATCTACTTCTTGTCATAGAGCTCATTAATCATCTTTCTCCTCCTGGATTCTCAAGTCCAGTATCAAGCATTTGGATTATCCACCCAGAAGGGATAATGCGGTGTTGCCAGCAGGAGTTACTGGTTGCCCTACTTGCAAACCTCGAAGCTCAATTGAAGCTTAAACACAACAAACGCTTGACCAAGTCATATGTGGTATATTATAACATCTCCGCGAAGCTCAGTACCGCCAGCGGTTTATGCATCACATTTAAACAGGCTGTATATTCGTGTCTTCACATGGTTATTATCAGACGGGAGAAATCGGTCAAACCCCAAGAATGACATACATCTACTATGCCACTATTTCGATTTCAGAGACTCTGTCTTTGGCATAAATTTCCCTCCACTCCTTCCAGAGCCTTTCAAGCTCCCCCACATACTCAGAATGAAGTCGGTTTATGTAGTCGTCATCGATCTTATTGCGGTCCTGTTGCTGAATGACATGTATGGGCCGACCAACAACGATATTCAACGCGCGGCGGTATGGCATTAAGCCAACATCGTAGTTAAAGACGCCTCGAGCATGGAATAGTGGGATAGTAAATCCTAGACTCTGTTTCACCAGCATCTGAAACTTGTGGATAAGAGGGTGGCTATCCGAGCGGACCTGTTCATACAGATCATTCTCTCCAAAGGCCAACACCGGTACAAGGTCAGCACCAGTGCGAATGGCTAACTTTATGAATCCCATACGACGTTTCAAGACAAGTTGCAATGAGCCTGGCGATGCATTGAGTGATTCTCGCGCACCGCCTATAACAATTGTTATAGCGCGGCCCATGCCTTCGCCATCTACTCCGCCTTTAGTAAGAAGATTCTCACATGATTCACGCGAGACACTGGCCAGACCCATTGACAGAGCATATTCTCGGTAAAATGGTATTCGAAAATTGGAATCCAGGGTGAGTAATGTGTTAGTTATGCCGGGAAACAGCTTCGAGAAACCGAGGGCCTCGGTACAAAATGCTGCAAATGCGCCGAGCGATATGATTCCATGTGGGTGATACCCAAAAATATACTTCCTTGTCGGCAGGAGAGGCTCCGAGCGATGTAAACGGGCTGGAAAATAAGAGGCGTAAAGTGACCAGATTGGGAGTGATCGCAGAAAACCACTCCGATACTTCAGCGAGCCCGACGTAGCGATATTCGAGAATAACGATATATAAATCAGATAAGGCACCAGGAGGGGCCATGACAATGGAATAGCACAGGTGAAGAAGAAAAGTCCAAGGCATATAGCAATTGTCAAGGTATGGCATAGGACCACAAGGGTCTGCAGTCGACGCTCAAGTCGGATATTGAGTGGTGCCCAGTGAATTCTGTTAACATATTAGAATGCATCATCACATGAGCTTCTGGGCATCTCTAACGCACCCATATTTCTCATAGCCTTTCGAAGGCTGTTTAGCGGTTCCTGACTTGACGACCTGGGCTGACCGATGCGCAATATCAGGTGTCTTCCACGAGCCATCCACTGTAACTCCACTACCCTCTCTAGGCACTTGATTCACAATTTCCCTATTTGCAAAGGCTGATTTGTCGTGATGGGAAGGGTATGCTGTAAAGTCAGGTTCCATGATAGAACCTTGCGTCGCTTGGTCTTCGTCCATTCAGGCCGTCTCCAGGGTAGAACTCAATAAACGTAATACAAATGAGACCTGTATAGCCTCAAGTAACCAATCAAGGAGAAGGCAAGATAAAGGCCTGGCTTGCGAGGATTCTTCAGACACTTTCCCTCCGGGAATTAGGATATCAATGTCGTCATAGTTGATATGACCATATTGATTAGTCATTGATTCTAAGCCCGTCACCTGCAATACTCCGTAGGGGTCTCGGTCTTATACATTTTACGTATTCTCTAATTAAACCGTCCATGATCTTGTATATGCCACTACCTAATATAGACCTATAACACTGTGTTCTATACAAGCTTTTGGAGGCCCGAACCCGAAAGGGCAATGCTCAGGTCGATTGGGGTATATGGTGAGTATATACAAGGGCTGTTTATGATTTTACCATGAAGATCTAGCTCCGTTAGCCTCAAGCAAGTCCCCCGAGATGGATATTATGGGATTACCTCGTTCAAAGACTTCTCATCCATCACGGCCTTCCTTTTTTGGGCAATGTACCGTCCTCTAATCATGTGTCTCCCGGGTGGACGACGTTCCTTCACTGTATCTGACGGGAGCTGGTCCTGCTCATTGCTAGAGTGTGTACCATTCTCCATGGTTCGCGTTTGCAGAGGGTTGTCGGAGTCTTCTTGTTGCTCTGCTCGCTTTCTCTTTTTCTCCTTATTGTCTTTCCTATCCTTGCTATCCTTCTTGTCTTTTTTACCTTTCTTGTCTTTTCTATCCTTTTTCTTTTTGCTGTCTTTGTCCGTCTTGTCTTTTTCTCGCCGGTTATGGGACCCCGAATCTTCAGAGGCATCGATACTCTCAGTCTTGTCATCCGATACCTCTTCTCCATAGTCATTATCGGTAGCGTTCGCAGCCTTCATCTTCACTTCTGGTATACGACAGGGTGTCTCTTTTGCGTCCGCCAGTGGATTGCGAGCCTTCTCGAAGGTTGTCACCTCTTTTTCTTGCGCCAATAGACCACCACTTATGAACCTAACAGCTTGCCACTTGGTAGCAGCATAACGAGCGAGTTTCACATCGTCCCTCTTTCTCTGCTCAACCTGTAATTCGGCGTCCGATTTCCCATTCAGTCGACCAAGCAGACCTTTGAATGCGTCAAGGCCGGTGGGTTCGTCCAGCGGTTCCCGTTTAGACCGGGCCCCGAGACCAAGGGTATCGTCTTTCACAAAGACTCTGATATGCGACGCGCTTGCAGCAGTAAACATATCAGCATGAGCGGCATTGCGAGCTCCTAAGAAACTTCCTGGCGTCCATCCTTGGGAACTGAGAATCTTATGTCCGAAACCACTCGTTGATCGCGACCAATTGGTATTATTGGGATCGTGAGAAATCTTGGTTCTCCTGGTTAACAGTTTTGTCAGTGGAATGTTGGCTTATGCACTCAGCAGAACATACTTCCGGGGTGCTGCTAACCCCATTTCTTTCACAAATAGAGATCACGCAGTAACAATAATACTGACACAAAATAGACTTAAAACAACAGTGAAGTTAATGAATCAACACAATAGAAGCACTGTTGGCTTTATTATTGCTGTTTGGCCATGAAGATATTGTTGTCTTTACGGGCTGTAGGGACTAGATTTACAAGATACCAGGCAGAGGGGGAAAAGCCTGCCGCGGTATCTATCTTGACCGCTTTCCGCAAGTAGGTAGGGGAGCCGAACTTGACTGCTTTGGATCTCTGTCTTAGTCACAGCCCACTGAGCCCAGTCAGTTCAAACTTGCTGGTCCAAAAATAATAATAACTCTACACGACTTACACTCCTCTATAGCACAATTCTAGAATTTGGAATGGACCTACTTCATGAAAGCTTAAAATGTCTTGAAAGGTTGCGCATAATCCCATATTCAGAGTTCAACCATTCGTCACTCTCTATCTTGTTTAATGAGGGTTTGAACAGTGTCATTGGTGGCTTGAGTAATTACCAGTGTTACTCAGTTCTGAAATTGTTCAGCCCTGCTGCCCTATGAACCTGCTGTTCTTAGTTGCTTTGCGATTTTGTATCCGCCTACCTCTACCCTACCCCCCACACAGCGCCCTTTGACAAGCTACAGGCGTGTCCGATTGATATGCAAAAAAAGCAGAAAGAAACGCCATTCCAATAAATATCCGCTGTCCGGCCGTTTGCGATGATCAGCCGTCATCGAGCTCCTACTTGAATATGCCTACTATTCGAATCTTCAGCCGGGACCACCCAGTTCGCACTCTTATTGTGGCCACATCCGACGATGCGTTGATCTTCCAGCATAGCTTAGTGGAATCAGCTGGTACTGACTTCCCGGCGAGCCCTAACACTGAGCGCTGCTTGGTGGAATTTGCTAGTCTATCTTCTATAGACTTGACAGGCTACCGACCCTTGGGGTCTGGCTATGGAATCCTTGGACTGATCACCATAGACCAGGATGTGTTTGTTTGCGTTGTTACGCGTTCTTCCAAGGCCGCCACTGTCAGACCCGGAGAATCTGTCTTAAGAATCGAAGACGTAGATTTCTGTAAGATACCTTTGTCATGTGGCTGTCGTTCTCTATCTAACCGAAGAAGATTGTTTAAACCGCTCAGAATACGAGTCTAGTCTCTATTATGACACGGAATCTTCATTAGCCGACGAGGACCTATATTCAAATGCAGGCCCTGATGCTAGACCGGGCCCGACGAGAAATCCATTCTTATCTCTCAAGAAACTCCTGACCGATGGTAGCTTCTACTACAGTCTTGACTTCAATCTTACGGATCGTCTGCAAGACCGGTAGGCTAACAGCTTGAAATAAAAAAAAGACGTAGACTAACATGCATTTAGCTCGGACAAGTCGACGGCTTTTGACATCGACTCCCTTGACAAAGATATGTTGTGGAACGCGTATATGATTCAACCTCTACTATTGTTCAGATCTCACCTATCGCCACGCGAAAAACAACTTCTCGATTCCTCTCAGATTCTCACATGTGTGATTCGAGGATTCTGCGGGACGCTGACCATTCCAGCCGCTGTCAATGACCTATCTTCAGTACGAAAAAAACACTTGCCCTCATTGCTAACCATAATCTCTCGTTTGTCCTCTCGGCGAGCGGGTACTCGATTCAACGCGCGTGGTCTCGATGATGATGGAAACGTTGCCAATTTCGTTGAGACAGAAACAGTTTTGGTCTGTGAACCTTCCGGTGTCGCCTTCTCTTATGTCCAGGTTCGTGGCTCGGTGCCAGTGTTTTGGGAGCAAGCCACGGGGCTTTTACCCGGTCAGCAAAAAATCGAGGTGACGCGATCTATTGAGGCTACTCAACACGCGTTCGATAAGCATATCCAATCCTTGGAGCTAGAATACGGCGCTGTCCACGTTGTCAATCTTCTTAGCGAATCGAAACCAGGTGAAGTTGAACTTTCTACGAGGTTTCGGGAGCATATAAAGAGAAAGCTTTCAGCAGAAAGTTCAATTTCAGATCACGCTTTGTTACGGACTACAGAGTTTGATTTCCACGCGGAGGCTCGGGGTCCGCTGGGGTACGGGGCCGGGAACGAAATAAAGCACGAGCTCATACCTTCTCTGGACGGTTTTGCGTACTTTCTTTCTAAGAAAGGTCGTCTGTCTGCGAAGAATGATAGCGTCTCCGGAGGTACCACTACAATTCTACAGCAAGAGGGCATTTTCCGTACTAATTGCTTGGATTGCCTCGACCGAACTAACCTCGTGCAAACCATCATCAGTTCGCTGGCTCTTGAGTCGTTCCTGATGCAAGAAAACGGTGTGCTAAGCCCCGATGTTCGACTGCGACACTCCACACTTTGGGCAGATAATGGGGATGCGTTATCCAAGATATATGCTGGTACTGGCGCTCTTAGGAGTTCATACACGCGGCACGGGAAGATGTCTCTTGCAGGTGCCCTAGCGGACGCGCGTAAAACTGCCACCAGGCTGTATATCAACAATTTTTCCGACAAGGCTCGGCAGAAGACAATAGATCTACTGTTAGGCCGTCTGCCAGACCAGATGCCTGTGCATCTCTATGACCCGGTCAATGATTTGGTTTCTAGCGAGCTTGATCGAAGAGCATCAGAGTTCACTTCCAGGAAATCGACCAACATTTGGACCGGAACATTCAACGTTAATGGGCGAGTTCAAGGACCAGATACTGAATTGAGCCCTTGGCTGTTTCCCAAATATACTGGTCAACGCATGGATCCGACTGTCTTTGCTGTTGCGTTTCAAGAAATTGTTGTCTTGAGTCCCCAGCAGATCATGTCGACAGACCCTACAACCCGTAAATCCTGGGAGGTTGCCGTCATGGATTGCTTGAATCAGCGTGCAGCTGCTCAAAGAACCCCAAAATATGTCCTTTTACGGTCTGGCCAGCTCGTTGGAGCGGCTTTGATGATCTACGTGCGTGAGGATATACTCAAGGACATAAAAAACGTTGAAGGAAGTGTTAAGAAGGTGGGTTGAACCTTGTTTTTATTCATACCTCACTAATCCCCCCTCTCGCAGACTGGGCTTTCTGGAATGGCTGGAAACAAAGGAGGCTGTGCCATTCGCTTTGAGTATTCAAATACCAGGCTTTGCTTTGTAACGGCTCATTTAGCTGCTGGGTTTGCAAACTATGACGAGCGCAACAATGACTATGAAACTATATGTCGCGGACTCCGCTTTCAAAGGAATCGGTCTATCGAGGACCATGATGCTATTATATGGCTGGGCGACTTCAATTATCGAATTGGTCTACCTAATCAGACTGTTAGGGACCTAGTGCAACAGGCCAATTACCAAAAGCTCTATGATAATGACCAAGTAGGTGATTTTTCCGTCCCGTCTATACTCGCGCTGACAGCCAGGTATAGCTAAATCTTCAGATGCTCGCGGGCCGGGCTTTCCAATTCTATAACGAGGGTCTTGTCACGTTTCCGCCGACGTACAAATATGACGTTGGAGAAGACACCTATGACACCTCGTGAGTAGTTCCATTGTTCTCAGCGGTGCAGAAATAACATTTTCCAAGGGAGAAAGCACGTATTCCCGCATGGTGTGACAGAATACTGTGGAGAGGGCCCGACTTGAGACAGCTAAACTACGGTGTTTCCCATTTGCGACTTTCTGACCATCGTCCAGTGTGGGCAAATTTCACATGTACAATTAGCGTTGTCGATGAGGCTCGAAAAGAGAACTTGAGGCACTCGCTCCACGCTCGCCGAAGAAGCAACCCGCAAATCCTCGAAACCCAGCCACAGCCGGTTGGCATGAGTGACGGTGTCCTTATTCCCATTGAGCCAACGACTACTGGGCTTCCTCCACCTAGCTCAGATCATCGTAAATGGTGGCTCGACAACGGTAGGCTCTGTCGACCCACAATTCTACTTTGTGCTTTCAGCTTAATGATTCTCAGGAGCTTCCGTAAGGTCATCCATACGTCCCCCAGCCAATGGTTATATATTGGATACCTATCGTACATCCAATCCTTTCTCTCCCACTGAGAATCTCGAATGGGGTCCAATGACCGTGACACAAAGGAAATCTACAGATACCTGCGACGCGAACTTCAGAAAACCTCCGGTTCCGCCCAGGAGTACAACAGCACCGGCTACGCCCCAATTTCCACAGCCTGTCCGACGAGGAACGGAAGATGGTTCAAAGAAAAATGCACCACCGGTGCCCCCTAAACCCAGCTCACTCGGCTTGAACCAGAATCCAGCAGCAGTTGAGCACCCATTTCAAATTGCACACAGTGATGCCCCCGTTCCAGAGATCGTCGCAAAGGATACCCACAAATCGTCATTGTTGACAGGATTACTTGACGGTAATGTCAGCGATGAGATCAGCTGGAAGCCTCTTCTTCAATGAACATATAACAAAGGCATCTGGGCACCATTGCTGGGTATTATTTCGATCTTATATCATACATGGCAATATACTCTCAAAGAAGATTAATGTAATAGTTGTGCGGGTAGAACGAGTGCCCTTGGGATTCTGATACACTGAGATCGAAGTTTAGAAAAGAAAAAAGTAACGGACCAATGCTCCCGATTTGAGCTAAAGAGAAATGAACACCTAGCATATATATACATATACAAATGCACGCTATAGAGAATGAAGTCGCTGTCAACGATCTATGGGTATATCAGCAGGATAGTTCCCTCAAAATACTTTTCCAACTCCAATGAAAGTGATTGTTTTGATACTCCCACAAGAACAACAAACGCCAGCAATATTACCAACTTCGCCATGGCATGAGAAACCAATCCCATTCGAAAACGAGAGGAAAAGTCATGCCTGTCTAAAGCAGACAGCCCTGTATAAGGAAAGCTCAAGATTCGGTGCACCGTTTGGATCTGTTGAAGGAGCAGGACGGCGGGAAACGGGCCAATGCAAACTCCATCTGGTAAGTTTTTGTGTCCTGTACTGGAGATCCTGAGAACGGATATTGAGAGCTCCTGTTCCCCGTCTCCATCCACAAGAATCCACTGGCTAAATGGACAGCTTGGGGCTGTGACCGAGACTCATAGCTTTTGACCCTATCAGACAACACGCAATACAGCGTGATCGGCTGCTTTAGGCTTTTTTCCCACTTTTAAAGCCTGCTTCTTGAAGCGGGCTGGACCTCCTACCATCCACACCGCAAATGGGCTAGGGTCGCCAGGTTTTGGCCTCGATTTTTTGGTGCCTAAGTAACGTTAGCAGGTGGCTCAGCTGGTAGATTTAATGCTCGTGGACATATGAACACACCCGACTTCTTCGGCGGCTCGGCAGCTGCAGCATCACCAGGCGGTACTGCGTCAGCTTCAGGAGCACCACCCTCTGGAGGCGGAGCCGGCTCCTCTTTCGGTTTTTCTGGTATCGGCCACATATGCATAGTAATGGTCCAGTCAGGCTCAAGAACAGTCTCCCAAACCTGTGGGAGGATGATATCGCCATTGGGGCCTATCAAATCATAATGCCCCTCTGCAACATGTGGTCCTATCACCTCAATGTGAAGAAAAGCTTGTCTGATAAGCTCCTCCATGCCCTTAATTAAAGTTAGAAAGCAGTCGGTTGCCCTCATGGTATAGGTGCCGTGCATGCTTACCTTCCAAGTGCAACATAAGTCGAAGGGAAAATTAAATTTTCTACCAAGGGCATCCTTAAACTTGATAGGTTGCTTCTTGTCAGGAGGTTTATTGGCTGCTACTGCAGCTGCGATTTTCTCCTGTACGTCCGCAGTGGCTTTCTCCGTAGCCTCGGCTGCCGCCGCGTCAGCTGCTTTCGCTGCCGCTTCCTCTGCCTCTTTCTTTGCCTTGGCCGCTTCATCAGCAGCTTTCTGCTCAGCCTCTGCTTTGGCAGCAGCAGCAGCTTCCTCGACAAGCTTTTTTTCGTGGGCAGCACGTTGCTGCTTCTCGGCTTCGGCGGCAGCTTCGGCTTCGGCGGCAGCTTTTGCGGCAGCTTCACGCGCATCGCGGGCTTCACGTTCCGTTCGCTCGTCCAATATCAATTTCTCGAGCCTGGCGATTGCTTCGTCTTTCGCGGGATCTGCGGGGGCCGGAGCCGGAGCGGGTTCTGGAGAGACGGGCGCTCCAGCGGATTCGGCCTGACTAGGAGGAGACGGTGCGCGAGCATAAGGATTAAAGTAGGGAGAAATCATACTGGGAACCATAGCGTACGGCTCTCGGAATGGATAAAAGCCCCCTGTACCATACGGAACCAGGTCATGATGGCTCATCTGAGGTCCGCCATAGGGCGGAGCGCCATGAGAGGGCCCCGAGGGCTGAAAAGGATACTGTGGTAGGTTGTGGCCGTCGCTGCGATGGGCTCCTGAGGCTACCGTGTGCCCGTGGGTCCCGGGGTGGTGGTCGTGCATGTAGAATTGAGAAACGCCTGGGCCGTGAGGTTGTTGCACAGGGTGACTATACCCGTAGAAGGGATGGCCATACTGACTTGAATGCCCGACCTGGCTGTGAGATCCGAGTCTAACTAACTGGTCTGATGGCGTATGTTGACCAGTGGGGGGTGCGAAGGGAGCATGCGGCACCGCGCCATTCGGATAAACATAGGATGGCCCCGGAGACGGGCTGTGCGCATATCCTGAGCCCTGGGCGAGCGAAGGCCAATATCGCTCCTGGGATCTGTACCGCTCCTGGGATCTGCGGCGATACGGATCACCGTACTCCTCCGCTGAGTCCATACTCTCAGGGGAATCGGGCGAAGGATGACGACGGGATCGCCGATGGAATGATTCCCGTTCTGGAACAATTTGACGCCTGGCTGAACGTCGACGACTTGTAGACGTGGAAGGCGGGTGGACTGGATTGCGACTCTGGGTTCGATAGGATGTTCGATTTCGAGAACCTGAGTCAGATGGCTTCAGTTCATCAGGATAAGGTAAATTCGTCCATTCATCGTACGGGTCATGATAACCATGGCTTTCCGACTCGGAAGGCGGCGAGACCTGGACCCCCGAGGAGCCCTCTTCGTCGGTGAAAGAGGAATCGTCCGAGTCGTGTGGACTGGGGCCAATTGTGATGTTGAACCTGCTTAGCAGATCGTGAGTATCAAGCGATGCCGATGAGATCCTTCGTAACGCACGTCATTGATATTACTTAATGTTTTGGGTTGCTGACTGTACACCTGCTGAGTCCTGGTTTTCAATGTGTGAAGAGAAGTGGTGTTCTAGGACCGGGCTCCCTTTGTCCGGTTCTGAGTCAAGCAAGTGTCCGTAAAGCTATTCTTGGTTTCTTTGGAAATGCAATCCGCGAATATAAGGTAACAGGAGAAAAAGATGTAGTTCAGGATATGATGTGTTGTCACAGATGCTTTGTTTTTGGTGTTAAGTTCATAATCCATTTGTATCTGGTCAGGGCCTCACTTTCACTGTTAGTGTTGAGCTTTTGAATCCAAGGCGCGCAGTATGGCGCGTTATAAAGTAACAAGGATTGTAGCAGATTAATCAAAATCAAGGAGGAGAGTCACGAGGTGGTCGTGTTCTTCGGGGGGAGGTGGGGGGGTTAAGATATACTGAGGGGATAAAAATGGCAGGCAGTAGCAAGGACAGGGAGGGGATACCGTCAGGTAGTTCACGGCCTGATGATTCATAGTTGGGCAATCAGAAAAGTATTGGGCATGGACTTACCTGGAGCAAGAATCCCTATCGACATATGTTATGGGATCTTTTTGTTAGGCTCGGCTGTTTATTAATTTCTTTCGCATTCCTCTTTATGTCCTTTTTTTGTTCTCTATTGTTGGCATGCAGAGGGACAGAATCTAGAATAATAACCCTTGACAGTTGGAGTACCTAAGTACTACCTGACCTGCTGCCCAATGCCCAATCAACATTCAGTACTGGGGATCCCACGACCAGTTAACAACAATACTTGTTATAATAATAATGACCTTGACTGCTGTCTGTTCCACATGTTAAGTGACAGGATTTCTCCTCCCTACTAGGTAGACTGGATAGATCGTCTTGACCGAACAAAAAGGCTTTACACATCTCTCTCCCCGAGTCCCCATAGATATCTAGGTAGTAACGAGCCGCACGAACCACAAATCATCAACCTCCCTTGTGACTTTCAAAATATTGTAAAGCAACCTTTCAAGAGTACATATCTTATTCTGCATTGTTCTGGTGGGTTCTATTAGTTGCAGTAGTCACATAAAATATATCTACAGCTAATGCCGGTTATATATATACTTGTGATTATTATTAACTAGTTACTGCTTGTTCATTTCCACACCATGTAGCAATCACTGTTGTTCATGAAAGCCCTATAGGCACATACATTACCATGAAATTTCTAGGGGGTCTAGAGACCTGCATCGCCAATGGGCAGAGACATGGACATACTTGCTGTTGCCCAGATTCTCCTTCTGCACTGCAGGTGGTCTGCGAGTAGGTAGTGAGAAATCCATCCCATGGATGGATGTGAGTCTGCAGAGCGGTAGGTACTTGACTGGTAAGCAAGCATCCACGTACGTGATGAAATCGCGGCAAAAGATTCCGAATCCACGGCGGAGGCAGATAGAAGCTTCAAGGTGAAATACTCAATCTGTATGGACTTATATCATCATCAGTAGAGCAGTAGTGGCCATTGACTCCCCAACTTGGTATGTGAGACATTATATTGAAACTCAGTCATCTTCCGAGGTTGTCTCCGGATTACTTTAGGCTGTACCCCTTGTCTGCGCTCCGCGGCAGCAGTTCGTTCCCCCAACGTGGCCTCTCAGACTTTCTGGCGAGCAACTGAATCATCAATTCCTGCACTCACGACACCTTTACTCCAATTTGACTAAAGTCAAGAGCTGTTCCGCTAGCATAACCAGTCCTGTTCAAGCCTCATTGCACTGCCCTGTGAACAACCCAACCATCACAACATGGTATATTTCCACCTCCGTGCTTCCCTACGAACGAATGGATGTTGACCCAGTCCACTAGGCCCAAACACCACAGCAAAGAAGAGCAAATGAGAAATTTGCGAAACATGAGGCTTCCAAGCGTGGAAAAGCGAAGACAACTACGGTCAAACACAGCACAAAGCCCTCGCTGTCAACGGGCTGGGTCGGTATGTCTCTATGCATACGGGGCCACTGAGATCAAAGACCTTGCTAAAGTTCTAACAGTTCTTCTTGCCTTCGTTGTCTGCGGTGGTCTCATCTTCGAATTGTTGAGGGTCGTCCCGGAATTATGGTCTGCAATAATCTCTATATTTAATCGACTGCTGGCATAGGGCCCCGGTCCCTCATAGAACTGGCATCCCAGAACAGTTGGCATGTTCGAAAATACTACTGTCACGCCACCCATATTTACTTTCCTGGAGAGTCGCACACAAGCGCTATATTTCAGAATACACCAGGCGCATCAAATATTCGCTGTCGATGGGGCCTGGATGTGCCTAAGCGGACTGACCTGCTGAAACCCCAAGCCCATCCGAGTACGAGAGTGGCATCGATGGAAACCAAGGCTCTGTGTATATTCGTCTTCCAGATAGCATTAATTCACCCGGGCTGTACTTGAGTTATTCTTTCGGCGGCCCCTCTCTTCTTTTCCTTGCTTTCTTTTGCACCGACGACGAATTATTGCCAGGCTCTGTGTGGCTGTCTTTCTTCTGGAAGGAGTCAACTCCGCGAGCCCTACCATGACTGGATTTCTTTGGCTTCTTTCGTTTCTTAACAAGCGTCCCATCTGAAGGGGAACCTTCGAGCTCTACACGCTCAGACGCTCGCTGCATTTCCAGTCGTATTTTCTCGATTTTCCTCATTGCTGTGGCCATCTCTACATCATCCTCAGCCTTTCCAATCACCTCACCCATGCTAGTGAGTTCATCCTCTGCCAGAGTAAAATCCTTGAGACCACTGGAGTCAACTTGCAGTAAACTCCTCTTCACCTTCGCGGGCTCATCAGGAGAATCGAAACCAGCTGTTGCCTCGAGCCCAATTATTTCGTCTGGAATGACTTCGTATTTTTTGGGTTGTCCGACCGATTTGCCCCGAGCATCATATGAGGCGGTTGCGGGTGTAGATGGGCCTTCAACCCTGCCTATCTTTAGATCAACTATTGGGATTGAGTCGACATCCAAGACCTCATTGTTCACAGTACGCGGCGCTCGGTCTTCCACTGGTGCTGCTACACCATTCTGCTCGTCAGCGCCGATGTAAAACGGATCCTCTTTGTTGCGTTGCTTCCAATCTACCTTCGGCCGCAAACTCGTAGTAGCTGCTTCATAGGCATTTGGGCCCTGGTAATAGAGATTCGGCTGTACTCCCACCATGCTGAGCCCGCTTCGCGGTTTGGTCGGCAGCTGAGTCTCCCGGACATAATAAAAGTCATTGTACTGTGCGTAGTTACCATCATGGTCATCATCAAACAGCCTGCGAACGTTGCCATTGAACGGTATATTCAGGCGAAGTTGGTCTGGCAGAGGAACTTTCTTCTGTGCGTTTGGTGCTACCGGATTCAGCTCGAGCCCAGAGAACAGACCGGGAATAACCGACGACAGCAAGTAGGGCATTTGTGTTTGCTGTGTGCCTGTATGCATCACATCGGCAGAAAGCCGCATGATTTCTAGGAATTCAATAGCCCTTTCCTGTACCTCTAGGTCCGGATGAGCCGCGAGGGCTTCTAGGAACTCCACGATCCGCGCCAGAAAAAGGGAGACTTCACTCCTCTGCGCTAGGCTCCATGCTTTCTCATTATCATTGATGATGCGAGCCAGAACCTTTGGAACTGCCTGGACGAAAAGTGTAAGGGCACTCCCAGGCAGGAACATGGTAGATACATCGATTAGCGACTGGAGTGTCTGGCCGGGAAACGAAAGATACTGGGCATATTCCCCAACAATCCAAGCCAGCGGACCGAGTAGGCCGTTGTGTACAATAGGAATATTCGCGAACACCGATGGTCTGTTATCGGTGAGCAACAAGAATTCAGCGGCTCTCGTTGCTTCCATTCGAACGTTCCTAACGCGAACAGCAATGTTTCGCATCTCCAATCCAATTCGGCTTGCCGCGTCGTCCTTAGAGTCACTTTCAAGAGCTTGATACACAGATTTTTCTCCAGCATTGGTGGGAAGGTGTCTCACCAGTCGGATCAGTATATTGACATACCAATCAAAATCGATTAGTCTTGAATAGTTGTCGTAGGAACAGATGTCCAAGACGCGATGCAAAATCTCGATCCGATAGTCGTCAGGAACAAGAACGTAGGCCTTGTTGTTCCGTAGCTCTTTGCCTTCGACGTAATCGGCTGACTCTGCGGCACCTTCGGCATCTTCGGCGTCTGAACCACTTCCCGTGATTGTATGTCGTTGGGCGTCCTCGAGCTGGCCAATAAGTCGTTCGACAACAGGTTGAAGCGTGTCTTTTGCGGCCATACGAGTCGCCAGCTCCAGGGCCTGAAGCCGAATAGAGATATCCGCGTCCTCCAGGCAGTTCATTATGACATCCTGGTGCATCGAGACCAGGTGAGGATGAGATACTACAATCCTGCTGAATGCGAGTAGCGCTACATACTTGACTGATGTTCCGTTAGAAAGGGCACCTAGATAGGGCCAGGGGGCCACTTACGGTTGGGATCAGAATCCGTAACTACCATGCCTCGGAGCTTTGACACGCAGATGTCCGCAATCTCATGTGAGTCCTCTAGCGCCCCTTCGCCCTCTAAAATGCCGCCTTGAATAATCCCGTTGATGCATTCGTAAAGTAATGACATAGCCGTGGTTGACTGGATAATGTTTATGAGCGGCCGAATAAGCTTTCGGACAAGCCTTGGTTCTAGGGGCGTCAAAGTTGCGAACTAAGTAGGTCAGCACAGAAAGGTGAGCACTGAAAAGAAAGCGGCGAGGCCGATAACTCACAAGTTTTATGATCTTTATGGCCATCCAGTTGTTACCCCCTTCTACGAGCAATTCGAAGAACCGTGGGGCAAGTGGAAGGAAATCATGAGGTCTCCGCCATCCAAGCTCGCATACGACATTAAGTACAGCAGTGGTAACACTGCTGTCCTCTCCATCATCCATCAAGCGGTCCTTTAATTTGGGCCATGCTAGTCTTAAAGCCTCCGGATAAACCAATGCAAGCCGGTACAAGCATACCACTGCCTTCTTTCGGATGGAGGGATTGGAGTGAGATATCCGGGATAAGACATCGGAAAGCAGTGACATGGCGAGAGCCGGAGTTATGATATTCGGAAGAGTAATCAAAGGAAGGGAGATTATCTGCAGATTGGGGCATACAATATCCTGCGACCATCGTGTTAGGAGGCTCGTACATAGAAGGGAAAGACGAGTTGCTGACCTTCTTGAGTAGATTAGTAGCAAGCATGAGGACTTCAGTCTCGGGCCTAAAGCTCTGTAGAGCGCCGAGATAGCCAACCCTTTTTTTAAGGAATTTGGGGGATGACATCACTTCTAGAACATTGAAGGACGCCCAGGACATATCATATCCAAACATTTCCAGATACGCTAGCTTCAAAAGAGCTGTAGCCTTTTTGTCTGTGGTATCTTCAGCCAGGATAAGATGTGAACAATGTACATGACTGCCTTACCCATGTCTTGAGAGCGAATTTCAGCTTTACATTCTCGAAGACTGCTCTGGATATAGTCTTCCTCAGAACCCTTGTGGTTTCTCAGACCTTTAATCAGGTCATACAATGATTTCTCGAACCTGGACATGTTAGAGCAGATCTGTTTGATATTTTTAGACCGGGGATTGCTAACATGCTGCGCGATTTCCTTGTGGTCAAGCAACTATTAACCTCAGACCTCTGCAACTTGCATCGAAACGTCCGGACAATGTCATTGGATCCGATTCCTGTCAAATGTTGGCCATGGAACCCTTGGTAGATCTTTTCAGTGTGCACGCATGGACACTTACACTGAGTTCAAGGGTAGCGATGGCCCCGGGGTCCTAGTATTGATTCTGCACTTATTACAGACCTTTTCGGAGGTCCTACGGAGTACGAGGGTCGGAGGTACGTCAGATTGCGGAGTTACCGTAGTAAAAGTCACGGGAACGGGAAGGACCCGAAAAGACAGACCCCGGCCGTACCCTGGACGTGTACCAGTACGTAAGTCACAGCAGTATAGCCACATTCCACCACTTGTTCCGCCTCTTGCTTCGGGATTGAGATTGCATACTTGTACTGCCAGAAATGTCGATGGCTGCTTTCATGCTCACTGGCAGCCACAGATCGAGTCTTAAGACAGCTCTCCATCGTTCACAGCAAGCGCCCGCCATCTTCGGCCAACGACCTGCGGGAAGGCTACCTGGAGGTGGTCGACCTGCGTTTCTAGATCAGGAAACTCCGAACGAATTTGATTCTCTCGAAAAATTGTTCTTCTCATGCATTCAATCTGCTGACGACAAATGTGCTTTGTCATGCCTCGAACGCTTAGGGCGTCGCTTTGGATCTCCCAATGAGAGAGTGGCCGCACTACGAAGCCTATATGATGAGGCTGTTGCAGAGGGTCAATCTGGCCTAGAGCAATGCCTCCGGAACTATGACGATATCCTCTCTCAAACCCCCGTGAATTTGGTCCGTGCATATGCGCCTGTGGGATATTAAATACTTACTATAATGGGTAGCCAATTTTGAAGCGCCGGGTTGCACTGCTTCGCTCGCTGTCTCGATATACAGATGCTATCTCTAGCCTAGTACAGCTGCTTGAAGCCACACCAACAGACGCCGAGGCCTGGTGTGAGCTTGCAGAATTGTACCAGTCACAAGGGATGGGCCTGCAGGCAATATTTAGCCTTGAAGAGGCGTTATTGATTGTGCCCCATGCCTGGAATGTGTGTCCTCTAGCAGCCGACCGTCAGAAAAGATTGTTGACCTCTGATCAGGTACACGCTCGCTTGGGCGAGGTTCTTTATGTCTACGCCAATTCATTGGGGAATGATGGCGTACACAAGCCATTACAGTCTTCTATTCAACATTTCTGCAGGAGTGTTGAGCTCTGTAATGATTACTTAAGGGGGTTTTATGGCTTAGCCTTGGTAAGCAGCTACTTCCGTGCTTTCTACTTATCAGTTGTTTCCCTCGCGATATAGACTGATGCGCCTTTTAGGCCACTTCGCATACATCAGTTGAAGGTGCCTCAAAAACAACTTATGGATACGATTCGCTTGAGCAGCAATCATTCAAGCGCCTGCATGCTTTAGCAATGGGAAAACTTGCGCACATCCTTACAACACAGTGTTCGCTTGAGCTCCATCGTCGTGACTATGAGGAGAATGAGCTTGCGGCCGTGAAAGAGTTGCTTAATGGCTCCCCCGACCCACGTCTATAGGGTTCTAGTGAGCCGACTCTGTGGCTTGTAATGTCTATACATTGGTATTATTCTGTTTCCATTCATGCATATAGGGTGGTGAGACATTCTTTGGTTCGTGATCACCTGCGCCGAACAATTCATGTCTTATCAGTGGATTTGATAAATTGACGCCAGTACAAGCCAAACCCACCAGTTCCATCATCAACCACAGTCTAGACTCAGTCCTCGGAAGACCTCTTACAAAACGGGCTAACCCAACCACGACTAAAATGGCCCGAATGGCCGCAGAACTTACAGGTAGGCCCGGGCCGAAGATGTATTGACTTCCGCTGTCCTAGCTCTTCAGGTAATATCATAGTCATAATGGCTAGAGGCGAGCGGTTACGGAGTATAATGGGATTCAATCCGTGCGGACCAGAGCGTGTACTACCATGCTACGTAATTGCGATCGTACGGTACGGCACATTATGGAGACGCTAAATCTTGGGGCTCCAGATTATTGGTACCGTAGTGGTGTAATTTATGCCAACATAAAGTGCATATATTCTCAGCCATAAGTAGCTACTTTTCTCCCATAATATCAAGAAAAATATTTCAGTCACCAATGGGTATTCCGCGCCTGAGACGACATCTGCATCCCTTCTGCCAGGACGTCCTGCTTCAGAATGACGCGGATGCCAATCTTGAATGTATAAGATCTGTTGTGATTGACGGGCCCAGCCTGGTGTACAATGTGTACTCCCGTCTATTGTCATGGTTTGCAGCGACCAGCTGCAGTACGATTGATGCCCTTCCCACCTGCGATGAAGTGAGCCGTGGGGTCATGCTATATTTGATGCATTTGGAGGCGCTCGGCGTTGAGATGTATGCACACACGCATCACCTGCCAGAAATTGCTTCAGCTAACCAGCTCCAGTGAAACCATCTATTTCGACGGTGCCTTGCCTGCACGGAAGCGCGAAACCCGGGTTATGCGCCTTGAAAATCAAAGGAGCAGGCTCGAGCTTTTCTGTGCAGAAACCAAGAATGGCTTCAACACGTCCAATGCTTATAACGACAATCGAACTGTCAGACTTGACAAAGTTTTACGCAAGCGATCAACGCCTGCTAAGTACGACAAAGCTCCTGTCAGTCCTTTCATAGTTCCAGCGGTGTTTGAAGACCTGAAATGTCGCTGGAACAGGATGAATATCACCAATGCTACCGGAGCTGCTTTTCCTCTAGACTCGCTTGGGCTTCAGGATTTCCCTTGGGCAAGTAAAACAACCATGGTGTCGGGGGAAGCTGATGCGTACTGTGCCTCCGCAGCAAGATATATGGACTCTTGTGTCCTCACAAATGACTCAGATCTCGTCCTTTATGATCTCGGAGATAAAGGCTCGGTAGTCTTTTTAGATTCCGTTGAGTTGGGATCTGACTCGACGCATTCATCAATATCTCGAGTTAAGGCTGCCATGCTGCGCCCTTCGCTGGCCGCCCGACGGCTGGGAATTTCCAGTTTGCTATCGCTAGCTTATGAATTGAAAGCCCAGCCAGCAACTGGTTTGGCAGAGTTACTTCTGCAAACGAAGAATCGGACTGGCACGGCGGAAGCATGCAACTACCAGCATTTTGCAAGTGAATACCAGGTGAATGACGTATATGGGCAAAGTCAAGACATCAAACAGCCTCGTGGGATCCTCGATACCAGGATATCGGAATTATTTTGGCAGTGCGAGATGCGGTGTAAGTTTACAGTTGTAGACTACCCGCGTGTTTATCTCCCGATCCTCAATGAAGACCATACAAGACAATGCTCCTGGGTGAAAGGCCGCGAATATCGGAAACTTGCCTATTCGGTTTTGAATAACTTCCGCCCTATCCATGAGAGATATTACTGCATAGCAGAATATGTTCGGCGCGGCCGGCGGATTGCAGAGGACAAAATAGAACTTCATGATGAAGAATGGATATCGGCTCAGGCAATGTCGCTTCAAACCCGCCTGGAATCATTGCAGATAGCCCTGCAAATAAACAGTGATGCACTAAATTTTTGGAGAATATTCGCTCTGTGCAACGCTTATAGTGCAGACGCCGAGCTTAGCCAAAGAGATTTTCAGAAACTGGAACAATTTCTCAGACTTGGTTACATGGGAGAACGGCTTGAATGGGAGGATCTCCACCTGACAGCAAAGATGCATGCGATTCTATATTCCCTACGGACCCTAAAACAACTCATTGACGTCCTACATCCCAAGAACGTGGAAATAGTGAAATTGAGGTCTACACTGGGAAGCCTCCCTCCGTTGCATATCATGATGAATCCTGCTTGTCACCGCACCGCGTTACACTCGAGATACATCACAGCTCCACAGCTTATAGATTCATTCAGGTGCCTGTTTCAAGCACACAAACCAACGTGCACAATCCGAATTCATGCAACATCGCAATCTGAGCCCCCATCTTTCTTGCTTACCGCAGCCACTGAGAAGGGCACCATTGATCATACACACATATCAAACATTTACGAGCTACTTCAGGAGCAGTAGTTGCCTAGGATATGGCGAGAAATAGACGGGGGAAATAAGGAAGAAGATAATTTGAATGTGTGTAAACGTGAACCGGCATCTAGAAACAAGCAACTTTTGCTAACGGGAGGACCTCAAGAACTCAATGACGCCTCGGCAGTAGCCGACTAGACCTGCCAGGCGTTGGCTCTCGGTCTGTTGTACCCGTCTCCAAAGATCAAGAGACTCACCCAGCCTATTGTCTGCACCCTCATTCGGGTCACAGCAAGCCGCAACAACATCGGAGTGTATTTTGAGGAATACTGCCATCCATGCGTTGGCGAGCTCAAAATCTTTTCTGGTAGCAAGACGATTACACAAAGCCAAGACAAAGGCAGACAACTCAGACTGCTCCCCTTTCACTTGCGGATCCAGTGACCGGATTTCAAGTTCTAGTCTAGACGGATTCAAAGACTTCATTTCCAAAAAGAAGGACTCAAAGTCTCCAGACAGAGAACCTGCTCGTAAAAGCGATGTGAACCGGGATCCCGCATTGGTACTTCTAGAGAGCCGCAACTTGGCAATGCGTGACAGTTCGGTGGACGCCCTATCTAATTTCGCATCCGCATTGTGGTCAGACACACCGTAGGTAGATGGTGCAGGAAGGAAGAACGGGGCCTTCTCGGGACCTTTCGGTGGCTCCTTAGGCATGTTCCGCTCCTATAGAGATGTTAGCCCATATGTTTGGACAGGGATCGCGGGAGATGTCGAAACGCAAGGGAACATTACCTTGATCAAATCCATGTAAACCAGGGTCTGCCACTTATTTTTGGGGATAGCACTCAAGGTTAACATTTCTCGACTGAGCTGGCCTGTATATGAGATTGGACCGTCGCCACCACGATCCTCATCATCTTGTCGGAAAGCCGCTTCGATGAGGCCAACGCCACCCTCGCCAGCAGAAGAAGGGAGATCGGCTTCCAGGAGACTATCCACGTTTAGATTTCGGGTGGACACCGGCATGAACAGGCTCCTGTTTGACCAGAGACCAATACCCAGCCCATCCGCATGTGCAGTGGCTAGAAAATCACCAGTGGGAGACATGGCCAGAGAGGTACACGTGCTGGATACACGAAAGATATCAATAAGATGGCCAGTCGGCAGGTCCCACACCCGGATAACGGAGTCCATAGACGTAGCAATTATCCACCGTCCGTCGCTCGAGAAAGTAAAGTCATTTATTTGGCCTGCACAGCCCCACAGCTCACGAACAATTTTTCGTGTTTCCATATCCACCACGCGTATGGAAAGGTCATCGCAGCTGAATGCAACTAGGTCGCTTGTGCTACTATATCGCAGGGCCGTGATGGCCGTCATTGGATACCAGTCAAGTTCCTGGACCAGCGAACCGGATTGAAAATCCCAGAACTATGGCGGCGTAGATACGCCATCAATAAGGATTGCAGACTATGATTTTTTTGAGGCACTCACCTTGACTTTGCCATCCAACCCGCAGCTAACAATGGCGCGATTCAACCCGTCAACTGCCAGGCCAGTGACTGCTTTTGTATGCCGATTTGAATCAGTACGGGCTTGCCTGGCTTTGGATCCGGCATCACTGCCCCCTGTATGTTTCACTTTCAAACTTTTGGCCGGGTAACTCTGGCGGTATCGACCTGATTGCATGTTGAACAGGTCAATGCTGCCACCTGCAGATCCAACCACTGCAAACGTTCCACATTGAGATATGGCAACACTCTGTCAAAACTATGCGTCAGGGGAAAGTTTTACTCCTTGAATGTTGATTCTTACCTTGACATCGGTTCCATCACCAGTCTCAAATACCCAACGTCCAGCTTTCTTCTTGCCCCAAAACCAGGTCCTAGCATATTTATCGCCACGATGACCTGTCACTATACTTTCCCATCCTGTTCTATTAGAGGACGCCGTGTCGGTTGTTTTAGGGTTAGACCAGACTGGGGATGATACAGTGACGCCCATTCCCCCATCCCGATTGAGGGAGCATGCGATACATGTGACTTCCGGTGCCTTCAAATTTATCCGGTTCAGGGGATAATCGTTATTCGTAGTTGGATTAACAACACCACGCTTCCTCGCTCTCTGATCTCCAGAGCCCTGAGATAGCTCGGTGCTTTGACTGTCCTTGCGCAAACTGAAACCCCATAGACTACTATCTTTGCTCGCACTCAACAACCATTTGGCTGTGGATTCGGAGCCGTCAGAAGACGACGGCAAAAACGAAATAGTTGTTAAAGTATCTGAATGGCCGCTCCTTGAGTGTAAAGGCCTCGGAATTGGGGAAAATGGAGACTCGTCGACAATCCATGTCCGCAGCGCATTGTCCTTTCCAGTCGTAACAATAACTGGCTGTCCATCGAGGAACTCCATATGGTTTATACCTGAGCCGGGGTCATCCATTGAGACCTTATGGGCATTACGAAGAGTACCCACAACGCGGCCACCACGGTTCAGATCCCAAAGAGTGATGTCGCCGTTACTTACACAGGCGGTGGCCATGGCCCCTGGCTGCCGGCCCTCTTCTCCAGCACCAGCGCCGTCACTCCGAAAAGTGATGGACGTTACGGCTGGCGCATGCGGCGTCTGTGGCTGGAACGAAAATATGGACTGGCCGGTTTCAACGTTTCGAATGGAAATTGACCCATTCTTGTAGGCAATTGCGACAACTGAGAGCGCAGGACTCGGCCGAAGTACAGTAACCGGGCCAGCGTTGGGGAAAGCCGCGAAGATGGTATGGATAAGGCTTCCAGTCTTCACATTCCAGATATCCACGCTTCCATCTGATTTGCCGATGAGTATCTTGTTGAGATAGGTCGGTAAAGTAGATATATGAGTGGCATGAGCCTCTCCACCGGTGGTGCCCTCAGAGCGTGCAAAAGAAAGGGACGTGTAATATTCATATGATCCATTCTTCCAAACGCTAACTGATTGCCCACCACACCCGACTATCCAAGAACCGAAAACGACCAGATGTTCGATGGGCGCGGGAAGCTCGATGGGAGCTTCAAGCGCCGCAACTTTCTTGCCGCGCTTGAAAACCCAGATGCCGCCAGAGCCGCCAGGCCCGGGAACTCCCCATGCTGCGAATGATTTGTCTTGCCACGAGAATGTAGCAGTTATATCGCGCGGGGTCTGTGGACGGCTGATAAAAACCAGCTTCAGTCCTTGACGTAGGTCATAGGTATGCAGGCAGCGGCCAACACACGTTGTGATCTGAAATGTAGTTTTCCCCAGTCGCGTACATGTAAATGGAACAGATGTGGGTGAAACTAATCCAAGCGTCTAATTGGCATTGGTCAGAAGAGATAATACGCTTTTTCTAGAAGAAGCGGCCACTTACACGAAATGGTGAGAAGATCCTAGATCCAGCACGATGCGTATCCCTGCGAGAGGCATCATCAACGGCTATCTTCTGTCTCTTGGCAAGGGGCAAGGATAAGCTATTATTGCTGATTTCAGTCAAAGTCATTTTCACGTAAATGTACCGCTGCTCCAATATGTGTCTGCCCTGTCGGAAGAAGTTTCTGAATTTAAAGATAATGACTAATCAGAAAATCAGATCTTGGTTCTTGGCAGAGTACGCAGCTTGGTGGGCCTGGTCGCTCTGCTGCCTTTCACCGCCTTTGTGTACTTCCTTTATTAAGGGCAAGTAGATTCTGTCTGTGTAAGACCGACAAGTCTTAAAGATCTTTACTAATAATAAAAATAAAGATAAAAAAAATTAAGTAATAAGAATAAAGTATTTTAAACCTTATTAAATAATATTAAAAAAGTTACTTAAAAACTTAAAAAAAAGGCTAGCTTTAAAACTACTTTTATAAATTTTTAAGTTATACTTAAGCTATTTTTAATTAAAAAATAAATTTAAATTTAAAATACTTTATATATAGGCCTATTTTTAAGATTTATTTTAATTTTATTTAACTAATAACTAAAACCTTATATAATAGTAACTTAGTTAAGTTATATAACTTAATATAAAAATAAAATATATTAAGCCTTAATAGCTTAAGGCTAAAGCTTAGGTTACTTAAAATATTAATTTTAAAATAATAATAAACTAGCTTTAATAATATTAAATAAAACAATATTAGCCTTTGATGAGCAAAGAACTCTAATAGTATTAAAAGAGTACTAAGGAACTAAGAATAACATGGCCACTAGATAGTGGGCAGCGGTGCGGGGTTACTTAACTTAAATAACTTATTTTTTTAATTTTTAACTAGCTACCTTTAACATGGCCCCCTAGGTAAAAGGTTATAAAGCTAGTAAAATTTTTTAAATAAAAAAAATAAGCTTTATATAATAATTTAAATATAAAGTATTTTTATATTATATTACATGCTGTATTTTAAAATTAATATATATAAAAAATAAAATATTAAATTTTTTAATACTTATTATTTTTACTAACTAGCCTAAGGGCCTTTTAAAATTTATTAAAGTTAATTATATTAAGTAACTTAATAAAATTATTAATAAAAAAATTTTTATTATTAATATAGTTAAATATAATAATACCCTATTTATAAAAATTTTTAATAAAAAAGTATTAATTATTAATTTACTTAACTATATTATTAAACCTAATTTTTTAAATAATATATATACTATTAATATTATTTATATTAATAATTATTAACTTAAAAATCTTTTTTTAAATGCCTAGCGCTATAACAAGCTTTTAAATATAAAATATTTTTTTAATAACTTTATTAAATATAATAAAGTTTATAATAGTAAATAATAAAGTAATAATAATTTATTTTTTTATACCCTAGTAAACTAATAAACCTATATAATAAATAATAAATTTTTTAAATAACTTTTTATTTTTATAATTTTAATATAAAGTGTTAATATAAATCTTTTTTTTATTAGGTTAAAGGCCTAAAATAAGGTTAAATTTTATATATTAAAAATATTTAAAAAGTTTTTTTATGGCCTTTAAATTATAATTTAAAGGTAAATTTATATAGCACTATAAATAGAATATTATATAAGTTATATTTAATTAAGTTTTAGTAACTAGTTAATTTAACAAGCTATAAAAAATTATATACTTTTTAAAAGGCGCTTTTAACATATTTTTTATATTTACTTGCTTAATTTTTATATTTTTTAAAGTAATTGTCAACATCGGCCACCAACAGCACACTAATACTGCTGTCGGGCACCGCCCTAACCCCTTTTCTTTATTTAATATAGCTAGCCTTTTACAAAAGCGACTAATAATATTATAAATCCATAAATTATATACCTATAATAATGGTAGCATGTCCAAGAACATAACTAGTTAAGTAAATAACTTAATAATTTAATTAGGCATTTTAATTAAAATTAGGCCAAAAGGCACTAACCAAGTAATTCTTAGTATTTAAAAGGCCTAGTAGCACTTTTTTTAAATCTTTACTTTTAAATATTTACTTTATTATTTACTTATTTATTTAGTTATTTTTTATTAAGCCAAGTAATTAACCAAACTCCCAAGCTTTAAAAAATTATCTATATATTAATTAATAGGCGTTTATTTTTTGTTTTTTTTCTTAGAAATCTTTCCTTTTTTTAACTAACTAATAAATTTAATAAACTTACTTTTTTAATTTTTTTTATAACTTATTTCTTAATACTTAATAAACACCTATACGTAAACTTATTTTTTTTACCTTTTAAATAATGGTTAATAATCCCGGACAACATAAAAGGAATATAAATAAACTAGAATAATACCTTAATAATATTAGTATATTAATTAAAGATTTTTTAGCAGGTTAAATAGTAGTTTATAAAAAAGTTTAACTAAAAAATAATATTTTTTATTAACTTTATAATACACCATATAGTTATATTATTTTTTACTTAATATACCTACCCCCCGGCGTGGGATATTAATAAGTTAATATTTTATTAAGCTATAAAAAACCTACTATCTCTTAGTTAAAAAATAGGAAATATATAAATTAATAAATAAAAAGCTTAAAAAATTACTTATCCCGCACCCTTAAATTTATTTTTACTAAAGTTAAAGTAATCTTTAGGCCATACACAAGTAAACTTACTAACATATATTAATAATATTATTAGTTTAAAACTAGCCTCCGGCCTAAAACTAACTAGGTAAAAATAAACTTTTATAATTAATAATTATAATTTAATAATTATATAACTACTTATTAATAAAGCTAGCTAGCTAACTAACTTTAGTACTAGTAAATATTTTATATTAATTTTTATTTTTATTATAAATATTTTTTTGTTCTTTAGGCTATTTATAAGTTTATTTACTTTTTTAGTTATTACTTTTTAGCCTAGCTTATTTACCCCTTAATAAACTACTAGCTTATTTATATTTTTAACTAAACTTACTAGGTAATAGCTAAATACTTTAGTAGCTTATAAACTAGCAAGCTAATAAACTTAATTAATTACTAGCTATTACTTATAGTATTATTTAAAATAAGTAATAGCAAAGCTAATTACTAAATTTAAACACCCTATAAAGCTAATTACTAAACCTAGGTATTTTATAAAGCTAATTACTAAACCTAAGTATCCCCTTGTTTTATTAATTATAAAAAAAAATAGTGTAATTAATATTAATATTAATACTAATATTAGTTCTTAAATTTATAATATAAATTTATAAATAAATCTAAATTCTTAATAACCTTTTAACTCTAGCTTATAATAAGCAAATTAGTAACCTTTTAATTTTAGCTTATAATAAGTAAATTAGTAACCTTTTAATCCTAAACCTTTTAATCCTAGTCTTTAACAGGTAAATTAGCTGCCTTTTAATCCTAGTTTTTAATAAAATAAAGACTTTAAATTAATTTTATAATAAAAATTAAATAGCTATTTAAAAATTATTAATAATAAGCAAGCCGCCTTTAATAAATCTTTAAAAAAAACTTTAAAAATTTTTAAAAAAATAATTAAACTAATAAAACGCAGGAATTAAAAAATATATATAAATAAAATCTTAAAAATATATATAAAGTCCCTAGCCTAGTTTAACAGCTAAAACCCTGTTTTAAAAGGCAAGCACCTTAAAAATAAAAACTAGAACTAAAACCTTTAAATCCTTTTTACTAAAACTAAAAAAACATAAAAAAGGGACGTGAATATAAAAAAGGTAAAGGTGGATTTATTTTACTAGCTAATAAACTAAGACTAGTTCCCTGTAAAAAAAAGCCTTAGCTAGCTAAAATTACGCTAAAAAATACTATTAAAAAATAAAGAATATTAGTTACTTCTAGCCTAATAAAGTTAATAATAAAAATTTATTAATAAAAAAGTATGGGTTAAAAACCTTTTATAAAAATATATATATTTTTATAAACTATATTTTTAACATGGCAATTCTTAAAAAAGAAGTAGTAGTAAAAGTTAATATTTATAGTTATTTAAAAGGTACTACCCTAAAGTAATATATTACTAAGTTATCCCGTGTAAATAAATAAGAGCTATAAAACTTTTTTTTAAAATAGGGATAAATTACCAAGCTTATTAAGTATTTTAAACTTTAATTAGTTAAGGTAATAACTTATTTTTAAAAAATAAGCTATAATTTTATTAATATTTAAGCTAGAAAAACCCCTTGCTTCTTTATATAAAAGTTTTTAAAAAATATAAAATTAGTAAATATTAATAATATATTTAATTAACTAACCCTAGCTTAAAGTAAGTTAAATAATATATTATATTAAAAAATTAATAAACCAACGCACCGCACCATGGTAGTAAATTTCCTAAATATTTTTAACTTTAAATTTAATATTTAAAAAAATATTATTAAAGCCCGTGATAATAAGTAAAAAAATAAACTATTAAAACTTAAGAAACCTTATTATAATTTTTATTAAGTTAACTAGCACTTTTAAAAATAAATAGCCGCGCCTTAACCATATATTTAAGTATACTAGGCGTGACTAAACTATATACTATAGGTTTAACTACTACCTTTATTATTATAAATAATACCTTGGCCACCTATTTATTAATAAAAATTATAAAATATACCTATTTTTAACTAAGCTACTTAAAAATCTAAATATAAGTATTTAGCCAGGAATAAAAATAATAAAAATAAAAATTAAAAAAACTTTAATAATTAATACTAACAGCGCGGACCTAGTAAATAACCTTAAAATTAATATAAGGCTTTTTTAGCTTAGTTTACTCCTGCTTTTTAATTATAATTATATTATATTAATTTAAATACTAGTGCTTTTTACACCTAAGTTTTAAATTTTAGGTCTCATGCTTTTTATACTAAACTATTAATAATATTTATAATAGCAGCTTTTTATGCCAGAGCCCTAGCTTTATTATTTATTTATTATAAAAATTTTATCCTGCCTTCTTTCTTAGCTATATATTTTAAAAAATTAGCTAAAACTTTGTTAACTACTTACTTTAAAAAGCTATTTAAAAATTAAAACTAGTATACTAGCAAATTTATTAAAA